CCAAAATGAAAAAAACATGCCATTAATTGAATCCCAGAAAAAAATGCATCTCATCGACTGATGTGCCGCGACTTCAAAATCAGTGGTACAAGATACTGGCTGCAAATTTGGAGACTGGAGTAAATGTTAAAACCTTGTCCCACATTTTGTTATAAAGAACCCTTGTTTTAGCCGTGACACATACCAAACGGGTATCCCATGGGGCAAGAATTTCCGAAAAGTAGCAAGTGATTGAATTTCATTTCGTCGCGTTCGGTTTCGCTATAACTGTATTCGCTCAATTGGTTTCCCATTGACCACCATATATTCGCTCAATCTGGTTTCGGTGATTCTGGTCCTCGCTAAAGTTGCTAATCGCTGTGATTGAATTCGCCGATTTGACAATCGCTGAAAAAGTCAATCGCTTGAATTGATAATCGCTGAAAATGTTTCGCTCAAATGTCGTTCGCTGAAATGGCGCTCGCTCAGGTTTCGCAGAACCTATTTTTTGCCCCCCCCCCCTCCAGACTTTTCGATATATCTCCAGAAACGCTGCGCCGATCGTCACCAAACTTTCAGTACCCTCCCGGACATCAATTTAACACATTGTGACCAAAATTTTTTTCCAAAAGCTATGATAGGTTGGCCGGAAATGACGTCAGAGTGACGTCATGTTCTGCCGTTTTCGACCCAAAAAAGGGTTTCGCGGGAAGAGCTGTCAGGCCTATAGCTTTGCAAATACACACTGAAAACACTTTGGAAGAACGTTAAGAACGTACAGGGGTATTTAGTCTCCTGTGGGGTAAAATGTTATGCCACCGTTTTTCAGAACCCCCATGGTACTTCACGTAGACGGCTTTGAATTCTCATGAAAAGAATCCACACGATTCTTCCAAAGACTCTTATGAGGTTTAGGGTTTATAATAAGAGCGTTCCTAGCACCTAGATAAGAACCCCAAATGGTCTGTGAAGAAGTCTTTGAGGTTTATAGGGAAACCACCCTGTGTTCTGAATATCGGTTGTAGAACCCTTTCAGTTCTATTGCAATACCGCAAAATCCCCGTTCATTCGTCTATTGAACCTCCCATGCATGGCTATCGACCTGCGCCGTCACATCTGCTGCGCAAACACAGTATTTGATACACCTTAAAATGTATTACCGTCCTCTTTACTCTGAGCAATCAGCCTGCAAGTCTCCAGTCAGGAACAACCAGCCCGCAACCAGCCCATGCGATCAGCCCGCAACCAGCCCGCATTCAGCCTGCGATCAGCCCGCAAACAGCCTGCAAGAACGCTTTCCCCTCGGCCGTGTCACTTGCCTTACACATCCAAGCCAAAGAACTCCAGAGCCTTTGGGGCATGTTTAATTATTCAGGTTGATTCCTTCACGCTCAGGGCTGCTTTCTGTACAAATATGAACACATTTTTAGCTTTAGCAAGTGGATGTTTTCCCAAACACAGTCGCTATCGCCCATGTCAGCAGCCGGGTGGCGATATCGCATTCTCCCAAATCACATACAGTTTCTGCTGTTTCTCCTTCCACCACCAGCTTCAAGCCAGCGTTTTCGACGATGTCGACGTCTCCGCGCGCCAGGACGCTCTCCTCAGACTCCACCAGGGCCTCAATCAGAGCGGAGATGGCCTCGTCCCCTAGAATGAAGAGGCGGGCGGATGCGTTATTCAACAGGCAGGGAGTAAAGAAACTTGGATTGACTTCAGAGACCATGAGCCTACTCCAAAAATAAAATAATGCACTTAACATATAAAGTGCAGCTAGATAAAATATTGCACTAATCAGCAAGAACATATGTTTATTAAAATCAGCCAAATTTAAACCTAAATCAGTTGACTCCAAAATGGCAAGCTGATTCTATTCCTGATTTATCTTCATTTGGAAGATTTGTCAAAATACCACATGCATAATTTAAGCTATGGGGCATTTATACAACATATAAATACTTACTGCATTGATGGCTAATGCATTTTCTTCATCCAATGCATTCATCCATGCATTTGAAGAGCGTTGTGATATTGCTTATCATTGTCAATCACAAGTAATATAAATAATACACAACACTTGACAAGCCAAAAATTAACCTTATTTCAGTTCTTCAATATTCGATTACTTGCCATTCACCCAATCTTGCACCAGCCGCTCGTCACTGCACAAAGCGTGATCCAACGCGATCGAAAAATGGCGATCGCTTCCGGTGGACGCTAGAACGTGGTACCGCGGGCGTGTTCTTGATGAAAGCCATTACACTGATTAAACCACAACCCTTTCTTCTTAAACCCGATGCTAGTTCGTGCAAAACCTTCAAAGGGTTTATCTTTCGCGCGCTTGGTGTGACGTAATATCACGTGACTAGGGAGAACGAAGAAGAACCGGTGTTGGTCGAGTTGAAGCCCCCTGGGGCCGCCTAAGACTGCACGCGAAGAAGCAGCACGTGTCTTCGGTCTATGTGAAACACTGTGTGTGTTCTTCATGAACCAGACGTTCTGCTTCCCCTCTAAGCCAGTTTACCCTAATACCCAAAAAACCTAAGTGTGGAATATTGTAAGATGCTTTTGCATTACGTTCTTTCAACTTGTTTTCAGTGCAGAAAAATGATAAGACCTAAAAGCTGTAGAATCGACAGGGCTACAAAACTGCTATCTCGGATTTTTGAAATTTTTGGATTTTGACCCCCAAAAATCAAAAAATAGATTTTTTGAATATAATAATCGAAAAATCCAAAAAGTTTTTGGAATTTCGCAAAACCGGAATATATGTGATAGTCCTTACCGCCTTCCATCCACATACCAAATTTGAGATTGATATCTCTTTTTTTGGCGAAGTTATGGCGAAAAAACTGTTCAATTAATTGATGACGTCAAATTTTCAAACTCAATTTTTAGCAATTCTAGACCCCGTAGCGCAAAACAAAGACCATCATTAGACTCCCCGTGACGAGCTGCATCGAATCAATACCCATTTTATGCAAAACTATCAACTTTAAAATTTGACCTTTTTTTGGCCTGACCTTGACCTGACCTTGACCTGCACTTCACCAGAAAGTGACCTAAGCCGTACCTGATAGTCTTATAACCAACACCATTGAGTTGGAAATGAAAAATTGGCCATAAAACATGTATCACACAACCTTAGTAAAGTTGGGCTCATGTGACCTGACCTGTGACCCTTGGTGACCTGACCTGTGACCTGACCTGGTATTGTCAGTGACCTCGAATAGCAACATATCTACCAGGCAACTGACGCCCTATCGCTGATTCTCGACAAAATGCGTTTTCCTCGGTGTTATAGCGCATTCCCTAGAAGACCCGTGAACGGTGAAACATTTCATCTTTGACCTGACCTGTGACGTCATCGGTGACCTCAAGGTCAATGAAATTTGGTTTCCTTCGACAAATTTGACAGGCCTTTCGAACGCCGTTTGAATTTTGCGGATCCGTCCAGTAGTCCAGTAGGGGGGCAAAAAATAGCCCCCCCCCCCCCCCCCCACCAGGTCGCGTTATAAACAGACACCACCAGGGCGCGGGTCAAAATCAATCACATAATGACAATCGAGGAACTTCCACTCAGAAGAAAAGGGTACCTCTTAGTCAGTCTGACTCACGTAAGCGCACAAACAGTAGGACAATGCTCTTCCTAAATCGCATACAATGGGTCACCCCGCTGCTACGTCAGACATGCTGATGCTAACCCGACAGCCGGCTTCCACAGGTTCGGATTAACGCGGAGCTGACAAATAGTGCGGGATTAACTGGCAGACTATCCGATCGAGAATCTGATGTATCGCTGCGGTTATTTGTGCTGCAAAGTTCTGACGCTGAATGAGTAAGCGATCCTGCAGACTGGTGACAATCACCTAACGGAAGAGCTTGCACGTATTCGTGCCGATTAGCGGTAGCAATATGGACAAGCTGTATAGCTGAGCTTAGGTGCATATCGTGATAATCAGCTGGGCTTATTGCCATGCGCGGGCGACGCGATGGATCAGGTTACTGGCACAGGTGCAGCTCCCTTTATTTAGGCTTCCTTCATAGTTCAACTAGAGAAACATTTTTTTTCATTGAAGAATCCTTTGCCCTATCCCTGACAGATATGAGACAGGACTAGTTTTTATTTTAACTGGAGTATGTTCCTAAGTCTTGTTTTGCATTGCACAGCAATACTCAGGAAGCTAAACCGAGGAGGGTCTGGAATTTTGTCTGAAATTGAGTATCTGAAGACTTTTGGGCAGTGACCTCGCAGCACCTAACCGTAACAATGACCAACTGTCAATGCTCCTCGCAATGCCCGGCTGACTGCAAATGGTTGCAAGGCTATCCAAAAAAAAACACCATAATTTGCAACCTTGGGGAAACAATAACCCGTAGGCAATGTGGCAAGCATTACTTCTATGTAAAAGCAGCAAAGCCAAAACGAAAAAGGAATGTCTGGAAGAAGCCCACACAATTGATTGTACGAGTATGAGATTACCAGCATCTCATCGAACACAGGTTGCATAGGTGTCCCTTACAAAACACGCGGAAATCCTTTGGTGATTCGTACTTCGCCAACATCCATCAGTATGGCCCCGTTGGCGGCGGACCAGCTCGAGAAAGTAGCGTCTGAATTACCGACCATGTGTCGCCAGTGTCCACAGGCAACTATCCCAGGGGATAATCCCCCGAGCCGCCTCGGAGACTGCACGGGCGACGGGGTGACGGCACCGACAGACTCCCATCCGGACCGCGCCCCTTGTCCGCTCCATGTGCCCTTCGCCCTCGGTGCAAAACTCCGAGGGCCCGGCGCGAACAGTGGCGAAACTGTCGTCTGTGTCTGAGTCCCGGCAGCAGAGGTGGCACACTGGTGACATTCTTGGCGGGGCTGACTGCAGCGGACAGTGCCGAGAGCCGCCGGTTGCAACAGCTCGCGGCTGGCCGGCCGGCCGGCGCGGAGCCGCGAGGGGCGTCCCAGCGCCCCGGGCGGGAGAGGAGGCCGCCGGTCCGCCTTAAATACCGGGGGCCCCGGCAGACGGCATCACAGTCCGCCGCCGCCGCAGCAGCAGCAGCAGTGCCTCCGCAGTCGTGACAAACCCACCCAGACAACCATGAAGCTGGTGAGTGAGCGACTCGCCAGCGAAGACGAGCCGGCGCAGGGAGAAAGACCTCGCGAATTTTCGAAAGATTTCGGTGCTTCGGAAGTCCAAAGCAGTGGCCAAATAAACCTAAATAATTGCAAAGGCTTGTGGGAAGGCTCCCGCATCAAATTCTAAACATTCCTAAATACATTTTTGAAAACGTAAAAACTAAGCAAAAATATAAATAGCCCTAATTACCTAACAACAATTTCACCTATTCAGTGCTAAGTCGAAAAGCCCTAAATCACCGTTCCAACATAATGGCGAGAGCCTACTTAGGCCACTTCGGCACTCTTATTTGCTCAACGATGGCTTGGAAAATATTTGTCTGCATTCCCATACGTTGCTGTCACTGCCAAAAAACAAAAAGATCTATCCAAATTTTGCCGTTCACGAGGTCGCCTTCTTTTCCCGTCTAATTTCATAGAGGCCAAAAAGTAAGCAAGGAACACCACTTAGCGTCGGCTGTGACAAACAATCCACAATTTCTAAACATTCCTTCCAAAATTATGAAAATAAGAGCTTAAAAACGACCAAGTCATTCAGAAAGGTAATTTATTTGTTCCTTCAGTTTCAAATAACTCCGACAATTTAAACAAAGTAAATTCGTTAAAATTTCAAATGCTAATTCTTACCGTTGCTTCTTTGAAGATCAAACACCAGAATGGAACCTCCATTTCGACCCCAAAGTACCCCTTCTCTTCACAACCTCAGATCATGTGCTGCGTCCAGCTGATGTCGGTCCTGTACGTCTCCCCTCTCCCCTCAAGGGATGCTCCCTGATCCCAGCTCAGCTAATAATTGTCGAGGGTAGCCCTGAGCCCTCCCTTTCCAGATAATGCTCTCTGTTTCGCCGTCGCTTCTCCTCAGTGATCCCTTCCTCTCTCCAATGTTCTTCATCCTGCCAATGCTGCTCATACGGAACGTTGTGTCCCCTTAGTTCATGACCTTCAACCCGCGCAATGCTGCTCCTAAGCGGCTCCTCCTCCCTTCTTAATTCATGATCTCTTCTCCGGCCATGTTGCTCCTAAGTGACTCCTCCCCAGCCCATACTATCTGCCCTGCTGATGCTGTTCCTAACCAACCCCATCTCCCTTAAATCGTATTCTCCCCTCTGCTGGTACGGGGACCCGCAGTTGCTACTGTACAGCGACCCTGAGTAAATTGTCCCAGCACCCTCACAGGGAACAACGATAAGCTGTCAGAGGGCACGCACAGAAAACCTCAGCTGCTCTTGTGCAGGGACCGGCAGTCGATATCAATGTTATCGGTTGTTACTGGACAGGACAGACGGCTAGAGTTGGGGTTCGTGTACAATAGCAACTGCGGGTCCCCGTACTGGCCGCCCACTGACTCCCTCCCCTCTGTCTCCCTAGTTCGTGTTCTCCGCCCTGCTGGTGCTGGCCGCCGCCCGGCCGCAGGACTCCCTCGACTCGCTCGAGCCCGAGGTGAAGGTTCTCAGCGAGAGGTTCGAGCAGGACGAGCAGGGCAGCTACCAGTACGGCTACGAGCTCGACAACGGACAGAAGGTGAGGCGCAGACCAAGTGTGAGAAGGACATTTCGAGCATCATTTTTCACGGACCAGATAAAAAAGCAATTGAAAAGTCTTCAATTGTATTAAATAATACGCCAAAGCTGTAAAACCAATATTGTTGGGCTGTTGGCAATCCTTTAGATATAGTAGCTGCCAAGAAGCATAAATGAGGAGATTTCGAGCATCATTTTTCACGGACCAGATAAAAAAGCAATTGAAAAGTCTTCAATTGTATTAAATAATACGCCAAAGCTGTAAAACCAATATTGTTGGGCTGTTGGCAATCCTTTAGATATAGTAGCTGCCAAGAAGCATAAATGAGGAGACTTAAAGTAAGAAGCAATCGACATGCAGTAGAAACCGGAAGAGCGGTAGCTACTTCAGAGAGCAGTAGCGGAGGCCTTCCCGGTAGATAAACTTTATACATAGGTACATCCCCTCCAGAAAGGACGGGTCTTCACGGTCTTCACTCTTCAGTGTGAGCTCGAGCTCAAAATATCAGTCTCAAGCTCTATCCAGTATTCACATTATGGAGATCACTGCACTCGATATGCGACTTGCAGCGAACTCCCCAGTCCCCGGTCACGACGGCTGTGGACTCTCCTCACGATGACTCGCGACCTGTGACCCGCGTCTAACCGTTCCCTTCTGTCCTCAGGTGGACGAGCAGGGCACAGTTGTGCCGGGCCCCGAGCCGGAGACGGGCTCGCTCGAGGTGCAGGGCAGCTACTCTTTCGTCGGCGACGACGGCGTCACCTACACGGTGACGTACACAGCCGGCGAGCAGGGCTACCAGGCGCAGGGCGACCACCTGCCCCAGGCGCCCGCCCAGATCCCTGAGTACGCCGAGCTCCGGGAGAAGTACCCGCAGCTGTTCTGGGCCGAGAACCAGCAGCCCGCCGAGGCCGCGCCCGAAGGCGCTCTCTTCTAGACGGAACATCACCCCCGACCGACCGTCCGTCTCCGAGCACCCCCCAGATGACGTCATAAGTCAGCTGATGACGGTAGCCATCCGCCGCCCTGTCCACCGACAGCGCCGTGCGCCCGCGTATGACAACGGCATACACCCGCGCGCGGAGGCCTCACAGGGTAGTGGCAACGGAGGGCAGTGTTATTTGTGATACTGTATATATCATGTGCGTTGCACTGTTGTTCCTATTTCTAATAAATGTCCAACCAAATGAACGGATGTCTCTTCCGTACGACCTTTCCAACATCGACTGAGGTTTTCGACATCAACTGGTGTGCACAGTTGATGTCGAATGAACAGAAGATAAAAGACCTATCTTTAAGTGCATTGGCCCATGAGACATGCAACCATTATTGGAGTGCAAAACCTTTGCAAGATTCACTGTCAATTGAATAGGGCTTTGGCCCCTCGCCATTGCGTATGCGACCGGGAAACCCTTTGAAAAAGTTAACGAAAAGCGGCACCGGTCAAACTGCGTAAGAATACCTAATGCAGCTTTGGTTTGTAAAAGGTCAAGATGAGAGTTGATATAAGGTCGAGAGCAGATGCAATTGAATCAGGCTTCCTGCTTGACACTTAAAAGTCGCACGCCTTTCAAAAAGTGTTATTCAAAATTTCATTCTAAGCAAATTCGTGTCTTTCTAGAATCCAGCTGAGCGTTATCAGAAGTTGGCCCCTAGGAAAGTTGAATGGGCTTTTCCATCAGTTCAATTCCACAAATTCAAGACCCGAAAAGTTTTGTGCTTCTAGTCCTGCCATCGAAATAAAATATCCCTGCCCGCTGTTTCGGGCCACATGCGGTAGGTATAGTCTCTCTTGAAAGTATCGCGTCATGGGCTGCGGCGGCTCGGCGAACTATTCCCTTCAGTTTGAGGACCCCAGCAGTGAGGTCATGGCCTGTATCATAAAAGTACGCTGTAACACGATTTTACGCCGGCGGTAGGAGGAAAACTGCTATATGACGCAGGCACCAGCGGCTGACAACTGGGTGAAAACAGGTGGAGGCCGGCCAAAGGTCATGCTCGTATCGCTCGCCTTGACCCCGTCCCCCGCCTCAGGCGGATACCGGCGCCGCTTGGGTTCACCAGCCGGGCGCTCATTGGTCTGCCTTAGTGGGCGCCAATCACTCGTGTGTGTGACGCGTAAAATCACAACGGAGCAAAGTTCCGTCATAGCCTTTCTGTGAAGAGGCCTTCTGAACGACGTAAAACTTGTCATGAGGGAGGGGGGGGACCTGGCATCAAATGGGGCTTTTAAAAAGAAGACGGCTGAACGGTGAATATTCTTTTTTGGTGCCGTTCATTAAGCGGCTCATTCAAAAGAGAGAACTTCAAGTAGGTATATGACTATAATTGGCTAGAGAGCGAATTGACAAATTAGCTGGAGAGATAATTTTTGTGATTTGAATCCGCTCGCGGGTGCATCTGCAACCACGGATGCATTCTGTTAGCGGGCGCAACTGATGATTTTGTTTTGTTTTGTATTCGGCCACGGATTTCCGGATTTTACCAAAAACCTGTGACAGTTGTGCCGATGACAGGTCAAATTGTTAACTTTGCAATGAAACAAATCTCAATAAATCCTCTGCGGGTAGGGTGGCTTCCGTTGACCACATGCCTACTCCCATCACAAGTTACCGGACGGCGACTGCCACCTCCCCCTATCCCTCCGCAGTCCGCAACCACTCCCCTCGGCCCGGCCCGCCGCGCTGGCTGCCTCCGCGTGTCAGGCTTCGGTCAGTGCTTCCAGCGGCTCTCAAACTTTTCCGCTCAGCCGCGGCTGGGACAGGTGGCGCCTTCCCTCAGAGTCGCGATACTTTCAAGAGAGACAATACACGCTCGCCGCCTGTTGAGCGCGCCGCTGGAGACTGCATCTGAGCATGCCATCTAGCACCAAACCCAACCGCGTCGTCCCAATGAAGACGATACTTGATGGGGTTAGGATAGTGTGTAGTGTGTGATATGGAGTAAAGGAGCGACTGAAGATGGGCTTATATAGCGATATAGGGATATAAGGTGGAACTGACGATGGTCGCTTGGACGGTTGAGTAACAAAGCGCAATGTAGTTGTGATCGTTTCAATGGCAGGGAGCCCAAGCCTGGATTCAGCTTTCTATTTATTGGACCAATAGAACCGTTCAAAAACTATCTCAGTCGGTTGGTTGACCGTTTTGTATATGCAGACCGCACAAGCATAACGTCGCACGTTGGCGAATTATGCAAATCAGTGGCCGAACATTTAGTAGTTTTTGTGCACCGACGGTCATACCCTTATGGTGGACAGCGCAGTATGCCTGCATCGTCCATCCCATTTTCCCGTATCACTATGACAGTTTTCCCGTATTACTGCCTCCGGCATGACGTTATTTAATGGGTAGGTTAGCTAGTAACTTGCCTCTCCGTATTACCGCCAGCTCCGAATAACGGTAGCTATTAGACATCATACCAAAAGAAATCCACATGCCACAGGCCATCTCGTTTGTAATGCCTACAAATACCTCCGTATGCCTCTTCTTCAGTCTCTCCCGCCATTGTGTTAATCCACACTCGTACAAGCCCCCCACCGTCATCTCAGAATAGCCCCCATCGTCCTCGTCTGGCCACTGTCGGATGTCGCAAGTGGCCACCTGTAGTGCCGCTGCCGGCGGCTCAGAAAGGCTGCCGAGGTAGCCCTCCCCTGAACAGTTCCATTGCGCGAGTTACTGGTTACACGTCACTCCTCTCTGGGCTACCTTCTAACCGAAACCATCGTCTGAGGTCGTTATTAGCGCACCGCGGGGTGTGGTGCTTCAAACGACAGCACGTGATGAGGTGGGTGACAGAACATCTCCTGCCTCGAGCGGTACATCTACAGAGACGGAGAGACGAGAGACACGCGGCAGACACGTCCCGTGACGGGCCGACCGCCCCGGGCAGACAGTTCCGCCGGTAAATGAGCCGCGGCGCTATGAGAGACGGACACCGGTAGGAGACAGGCACAGAGGACAGGAGTGGGCACACCGTGTCCTTTGCCGGTAGGGGACAGAGACACGAGGACAAGGGTGGGCAGACGCGTGTCCGCCAAGAACGGCCACCGCGCTGCCGACCTTGACCGCTGGCCGCCGCACATCCGCCCATCACTGCCCCCCGGGTGCAGAGGGTGTTACCCAACCACGGGAGGGGAGGCGGAGTGCCCGACACCGAAACCCTGCAGCAGCGAGAGGAGATGGCGCGCAGATGGCTGAGCAGGGTCAGTCGCAGAGGGCTCCCCCTTCCACCATTCTCAGGCATGCAGACACCCCTTCGGAGCAGACCTTCGCGCTTACACTCCCGCTTCTACAAGCGAAGGACGCAGACCCAAGAGTGCGAGGGGTCTGTGACGTCCAGGGTCCAGAACATTCTATCCGCAGATGTTAAAACAGCGTGACCTCCGACCGGTCACGGCTGTACCGACGCGCCGGGCCCGGCAGGCTTGCAACATCCGCACCACGTAAAGACAGTCTCCCCTCTCTGAATACATTATAGGGCGCCCGGGGGTGCAGAGGTGTACGTACAGATGTTACCATATCCAGTTCATTGCGAAAGGCTTTATTGCACTGTTGCCGCGATGTTGTAGCTTTTCGATGACTCGATCAATGAAATGTGCCAAGAACGGAGAAGCAGCCGCTGTCGTGACTGAATTCAGGTGCGAATTACCATCTTAGGGCATACTCGGTTTCTTAGAACTTGGGAATAATGTGTAGCCTTACATACGGCTATTAATTATGTAAATGACTGATCATAGGTCAGCTAAAGCGACCATCATCACATATCAGGTTGAATACAAAAGCCCATAATATTTCTTCCAAAGTAGACGCCAATGAAGGGCCATATCAATGAAATTGCCATATCATGCTCCACGTGCCCATTTTCTAACCCAGTCAAAGTCATAGAAGTAACGGTAAATCCAAGTAGATAGTGAAATACGGTTCCTACATGGGCATGGGCTTAGCCCATAAGGATATTTTTTAAAACGGTAGTAATCGGTACCCGACTTAATGATTTTCTGAGTTTCGTCACCGTCATGTGGACACCATCAGGGACCTCGGTGTCATCCTGGATCAAAAACTTACCTTTTCCTCCCACATTGAAAGCACCGTCAAGAAAGCGAACCGGGCACTTGGGCTTCTGATTCGGACTTTTCAAAAGCCTTAAACTGGCCGTCAAATTAATGTATCGTCCATACGGGTCGCGTACTACGCACATGTTCGATCAATTCTCGAGTACGGTAGTGTTGTTTGGTCGGGGGCATCAAAAACAAACACAGCCAGACTCGAGAGAGTTCAACACAAATTTTTGATCTGGCTGAACCGATGCTCTCCCCCGGCCACAGCCTCTCAAAGTTTGGACTACACTGCCCTGCTTCGGCACTTTCGGATGTGTGCACTGTCTTCTCGAAGGGTGCAGCATGACATTTTATTCATCCGCAATGTTTTTAAAGGGAGGATCGATTCGGCTTTTCTTTTACGGAGTTTTTGTATATCTGTACCTGTTAGGTTAGGTCGCCAACTATCGCTATTTCAAGTGCCATATGCACGTGTGTGTACAGTCAGAGATGGTCTGTTTACGAGGGCACCACGTCTGATCAATGAATATTTTAGGGCCTCGCCGACATCTGATATGTTTTTCGATGGTTTTAGCACATTCAGGAGATGTGTCGTTGACTATGTGAGAAGCCGCTAAATGTGCAGCTGCTCTTCGTGATTTTAATAATTTTGTCATTTTGTTGTATTGTATTATTATAGGTAGGACTTCGTCTTTAAATGGGGTGTCCCCGTCGACGATGAATTAAATAAACTAAACTAAACTAAAACATGGGCTTAGCCCATAAGGATATTTTTTAAAACGGTAGTAATCGGTACCCGACTTAATGATTTTCTGAGTTTCGTCATTCCGTCAAAGACAAGTTATCCCGTCATGTGGAATCGCTTGTCCTTGTCGGAGCCCATGCCGATGTAGGAAGCTCTGTCGAAGGCAATGAATATTCATTACGGCATAAATGGACAGCAAAAAAACGAAGTAGCATATGTCTGAGCAGCCACGACTAAAAAAGAGCCATTCCAGGCTCATTAATTAAAGCGATACATCATTTATGAAGCAGGTAGGCATATCGACAGGAAATGCTTCCGGAGCACCGAAGGACTGTTACACAAACCTGAACCTTTAGATAAACCTATGAAAGCGACTCTTTGCGTACCAGTCACAAAACAATACCGAAAATTAAGCAACCGGAATAGTTATCCACGTTGTAAGGGGTCACAATGTAGCAAGCGTGTGGCAACTTTGTGTCCTTTACGGACTGTCCCGGCGTGACCACACCATGCATACAGAGGTTGTGACGGAGCCCCGTCTGGCTCTGGCAGGGTCACTCTGTTGCAATGGCAGTGCCGGGTCGTATGCACGTGCACAACACATGAATACACTAACACAGTAATCCGCGGCGGGTCAGAATGCCGTGTGCGCCGAGGGGTACGGAACGGACGGCGCTCCTTTACGGAGGTACCGGCACCGCAACAATGCATCATCCTGTCTCAGCCACGGCAAAACGGTGAGTTTACATGGGACAATGGTAAAGTTCCGTGGGACAGAGCTCGTATAGTAAACAACTGGGCGGATGTGCTGGTTCGTAAATTGCCAGCAATGAGTGCTACCCTGACCTAAAGCGAACAATAGCATAGACCTTAGCTGCGCGTTACGTACTCATACATCGTAAGACATAGACCTATGTGCATCTGTCCTTTACAGAGGCCTATGCGTAAAACAGTCAAGAATGTAAATAATTAATGAAATGTAGAGTTGTGAGAAATGAATAGGACCTTGGGTTCAGTCGCAAATTATGGTATTCTGTGTCGTATGACCGATGTCGACAGTGTCTCATCCATTTTTTATCGAGCCACCTGCCACGATACATCTCGGGACAGTGGAATAAACCGCTCATTGATTTGGTGCCGTAATACTGCCTTCCAGAGGTGTGATTTACAATTCAATTGGGTACGTTTACCACTAATCTTGACTTGAAACCCTACAATTACATTTGTGGTGTTGTGCTACGTCTTAGAGAGAAAAAAAAACTATTCCGGTAAAAAATCGATTCGATAAAGTACCTCAGCGAGATTTGTAAAGCCCTTAGGCGTAACTCAGGTACTTTACTCCTATAAACATTTGTGCTCGTTTGCAAATATCAAGTGACGGTAGGATCTTTTCGATAAGCTCTAGGCAATGGTCCGTCCCCTTCTTAGCCCCATACAAAGGGGCCGACTTTGCAACTGGAATGGGGGCAACGGTACTCACTCCTTGGTAGACAAGAATTTATTTTTGCGGCTGGGGGGGGGGGCAGAACTTACCCTTTGGCGGACACCAATTTGGGCTTTTGTGGGCTCTGCAACTGAGGAAGTGATGAATTTAAGGGATGCGGTACTCAATCTTCAGCGGACACCACCTCGGATTTTCGTGAGTTCTGAGGCTAATGGTTGGGGCAGGATGTGTGTGAGGGGCGGCAGTACTTACTCCTTGGCAGACACCACCTCGGACTTGGGCTCCTCGGTGGTCTCGGCTCCTTCGGCCGGGGTGGCGCCCGGCTCAGACATCTCGCGACCGCTGCCGGCGACGGACGGAACGGGATTAGATACACCAGTCACAGAGGGTTGGATACCCTGACAGCCGATTTGAGTATCGCGGTACAAGAAAATTGATGTCAATATGACTTGGGAGCACAAACACATGTCAGTCAATTTCGTAATTCTAGCCATTGCCTAGAACCACCATGCCTCCTAACGGTAAAGGCTGGTAGATAGAATTTGTGCCCGCCCGACCGACCACTAGCCCCACAGGTAGGAATAGAGGACAGCACTGTCGCCTATACTGCCCAGAGCAGGGCCCCAAGCTGTCTACAAAGCCAGCCAAGCGGTCAGCCTGTAAACTACTCACATTTAATCGTAAGTCAGTCCCCGAAGCAGCTTCTGTTATCAATTTACCATATACCCTGGTTTATACTCTGCACATTTCACCCTCTCCATTCACCGTCCCACTGCTTTTTTTTTCATCTGACCTAACTTCACCCCAGGTGCAAGCCTAATTCTTCATATTTCTGCCTCATGTAGCCCCGAGTATCACGGTCTACCGCCTCGCTCAGCTCCCTTCCATACCCTTTCCCCTTCCACCACAACCATCCTCCTCAGTCCTCACCTCTCATCCAGCATCCTGGCTGGCGTGCCATCCCGCGGCGGACTGCCTCCCGGCTCTGGTAGCGGCATCACGGGCGGCGGCGGCGGCGTCACCGCCAGCGTCATCGGACCGAACACGTCATCCTCCTTCTTCTCGGGCGGCTTCTCCAGCCGCTCGCCCTGCATCAGCGCGTTGATGACGCCCAGGACGTACTTGATGACAGCGGCGGCCGCCCAGCCCGTGTAGTAGACTAGCTGGAAGGCGAGGCGGAAGGCTGCCAGCAGGAGCTCGACGGCAGTCATACGGCGGAGCTCGGCCAGCCGGCGGCGGAGATTGGCGGGTGCGATGGCGCTCAGGCCGCCCAGAAGCATGTCCTTCAGCTTGCCCAGGTAGGACTTGACCAGGTCCATGCCGCTCCTGGGGGCAGATAGGGGAGGAAGTTTCAGTGTTGTGGCGTCCGAGGCTAATTACATGCATTATCTGCATAGAAAACCAGCAACCCAGCAAGCCTCGTTCAGCTGTTACAAGATTATGACACGACAACCAAGCGGGAACAAAACAAATGCTAAAAATGAGCCTATAACAAGTATGAAGAGGTGTGGTACAGAGCATGAACGGGTTCAAAAGAACCTACAATAGCTGTAGCGTCATATATCGGGTTCTGGCGCTTCAAAGCCTGCACCAATGTCTATCGTTCCTTCCTTTACAGCGCCAAGTCTTTCATCCCGATCGCCCTGGACTCACTTTTCCTCCTCGTCGGCATTGAGGATGTCGAAGGTCTCCTTGCTCTTTCCGCCCGGCTTGGCGTCCTCCTCCTCCCCCATCAGGCTGGTGGCGTGCTGCATCTCAAAGATGGCGTCCTCACAGAAGTTGACGAACAGCTCCAGCTTCTCCTTGTCGCCACCCTCGGTCACCACTTGGTAGAAAAAGTCCCGTTTCGATTGCTGCAAATACACCGCAGTCGTCAACGATGTTTATGTTCAACACAACCAAAGCATGGGTTAAGCAATGGTGAAAAAACAAGGGCGGGAATACATACTGAGGCGATGGAAACGATTCGTCGACTTGTTTTGTAATACAAATTACAAAAAAAAAATGTTTAACGTAAGCACGCAAGCGAGGAACTGAATGCGCAAAATGTCAGCATAGAATATCTTGATCTCAAGAGACGAATGTAGAACGTAAAGATGTTCAGCTATTGAGGCGACAGTGGTTGGTAGTAGTTTCTGACGGTTGGCCGAACGCCATTCTTACCTTTTCCCCACGGTTGTTACCTTTCTTTCACGGTTCTTACCTTGATCTGCGGCTTCTCCCACTGTTCTATGTGCTCCTGTTTGATCTCAAAGTAGACGCGCTCGATCTTCTTGTTGCCGCCGAGGATTTCGATACGGCCAAGCAGCGGCTCGAAGTAGTTCAGCACCGAGCCGGCCGTCTCCAGGAAACGGGCCAGTCTGGCGACACACAGAAATACGAGCATGGCTGAATGACGAGCGAGCTCTGGTGGATAATTTCAGCGATGATCTAAGCACTATAATTCTCGCATTAACTTGAAATGCACGACCCAATTTTGCATTGCAATATCTAAAACAATGCATGCAACTTTCAAAATTTACACCCGATCACAATGTTGTCCGACTCAGGCGTATCGCCCCGCAATTAAAACATTAAGAACTCCATGTCTGGAGAACGTCCGGGCTTTACGCGAATCTCCATGCCCGGACCTGGAACATATTACCGTTGACACACGCTGCTGTTCTCACCTGGGATCGTTGGGCATGTGCTCTGACAGGTTGGTGAGGAGCACAGCCAGGTTGAAGCCGATCTCCTTGGCCGGGTTGTGGAAGCGCTCGGTGAACTCCAGGTAGTCAATCTTGCCGTCGTGGTTCTCGTCGCAACACATGATCAGGAAGTTGATCTCTTGACTGAAATGGCATAAAAGCAGATCAATTGATGTTGATCTTACTGACACTATGATAGGCATGTTCATCTGGTCTAACAATAGACGCGTTTACATAGGGTTTGTTCCAAGCTTATATCTCCGTCCGTGATGTTGCAAAAGATGCCAATGGTGCTGAACAATTTACAAAATGATCCCCTCTAAATATTTGAAGACCACTGCATCGAAATTATCGCCAAATTAACGAGCTAGAGCCTCGTCAAATATGCTATGTAAACCGGGTTAATAATTATTTACACAACTTATTCAATTCTGGGTTGTTGGAGCGTCCCCTTAGCACAAATAGCACCACCTCAAGTTCGGTTATTTAGCTAAATTTCTATGGCTCAGACGTGGAATACTCACGAAGTGTAGGCCTTGGTCTGTTCCATCTTGTCCTTGAACTCCTTCGGTGTGATCATGCCGTCATTGTTCTGATCGATGTCCTGTGAAAGCACGGGAAAATTGGGACGTTAATGCGCTCGAGAGCCGAATGGAAAGTTCCTTAATCGTTTCGCATTGCACAGATACTAACTAAGATAACTGTTTTTATTCCGTTTAGTATAGGCATGGCCATGAAAATCGAAGTAATCAGCAACAAACCAGTGTGACACTGACGACCAATGCATCAATATATAATGTCGCGTGCATACCTGGAAGTTGGTCGACTCGGTCAGATCCTTCAGCTTCAAGAACATGTCGAAGAACTTGAGAATCATCTGAGAACAGAGCGTAAATTTGTAAAATTCATTTTAAAACCAAGCATCCTCACTAGTCACTTCCATAGTCGATTCGTACCCAGGACTACAACTATGCAGAGATAATCCATTAGTGACAAATTAGTATCATCCACGGAGAATAATAGTGTAACTGTCACGTCATCGTGTCGATCGGGCCTGTCGCCGTGCTATTCACCTCGACGTTGGAGGCCGACTCGACCAGGGTGTCCACCATCTGTTTGCCGATTGTGCCGTTCACCACGTTTCCTGAACGAACAGAGAGTAAGGGTCACGGTTAGAGCGTGTCGTGTTACGTGTAGCAAAACCCACAGAAGATGCAACTCAATTCCATGGTTGTCCCTCAATCCCTCAAGCATTAGTTTTTTTCTGACCACAAGCAAACCCGATACCTATGAGGCGTAAAATTTAAATTTATGAGCCCGAAAATCAAAATGTGCTTGTCGACGAAGCATGTGCTCTGGCAAAGCAAGGTTGTCAGCACTGCCCCAGATTGGGTCTTCCGCGTGTCTGACCTTCCAGCATGGAGAGCATCATGATGATCATGTCCTGCTGCAGGTTGAGCAGCTCACGGAGCAGGTCCACTTGGCTGGCGTGGCGCGACAGCTTGTCCTGCATGTGCGAGAACAGGAACAGGAAGCCGCCCACGGCGTCCCACAGCCTGGGCAGCAGCGGTGGGAGCGGTGTCAGACCTCCACACACGTCAGACGCATACCAGCCATTCGATAAACATCGGAGAATATACGGCCACTGTCCACCATGAGTACTTAAATAATAAAACGTATATCAGACATTCTAAGCCACAACCGTCAGCATTCTCTGCCAGTGTAATGCAGCAGCAGCACTGCAAGCCAAGCGAACGGTATATCACAAAACCTTTATCGCTCGATCGTAGAAGAAGCCTGACTACCGACGTCCTAACGCTGGTCTTTTCCATTTAGCGACCAAGTGGACGCTGCCGACCCCCTGGCTCTCTCCGTAACGGAAGCCCCGTAGCTGCCCACATCCCGCCGGAGAGGCCCGGGACCTGACCTGGAGTGGGCCAGCGCCTGCTGGTTGCCGACACACGGGCCCTGGATGACCTCAGTCAGCGTGTTGAACACCTGACTGGCCACGCCGATCGCCTTGAAGAAGTTGGACTTGCCGGCCTGGAAAAGAAACGATTCACATATGATTGAGCGAGTATGTTACAGGCAAAGTGAAAACTCGGGCATTTTGCAAAATGCCTAGGCAATTTGCAAAATGCCTGACCGGCCAGGCATTTTGCAAATTGCCTAGGCAGTTTGCAAACTGCCTGACCCACCAGGCATTTTGCAAACTGCCTAGGCATTTTACAAAATGCCTGACCTGCCAGGCATTTTGCAAAATGCCTGAGTTTCCATATATTCCACCGTTTTTGTTGACTACAGGCGTTGATCATAAACGTTCCACTGTGACTGTGCCCACAACACATTTCACATGTGTTGTGGCCTGTGGGCACATGTGACACATTCCACGGTCACGAATACAGGGTGTCACGAAATTGTTGCGGGATGTTGTACTTGTGTCCCGAAATGTATTGCATCGTAGTTGCGTCAGTGTTCTCCAGCACCTCGCTGACAAGTTATCAGCGGCCACGTGGTCTGTCCCCGCGGCACCTGGTGAAGCTCAAATAGGCCTCTGTAGCCCATCATGCCCCAAACGAGAATCCCCAGCGCCCAGTGGGTGCTTCACCATCTCGACGGTGTAGCGCCTCTGAGCTGTTGTTGGCCCAGAACTGGTTGTCGGGACGGTTAGTGACTAAGAAGAGCTCTAATAGCCGTTTTCACGACGGGCTATCCGGCGAGTGTAGGTACCTCATTTGACCAAATCTGCACCTTATCTCTTTTACAGCTAATATCTTTATTTTATGAATTTATTTCAGTGTTTTAACCGATGATGCTCTCTGATAATACACAAAGGAGGCATATAAGCAATTAGTACAACCCTAGCTGATAGCTACCAAGAGACACACTGAACCTAATTTGACCAAATCTGCGCCTAATCTGCACCGGATGTGAACCAAATGTGTACCAGATGGCCGTCGTGAAAACAGCTAATATCGCCTCACGGCCTCATCATTGATAAGTCTTAATCTCTAGTCCTGAATGGTCCAGATTTGGTGGGCTTTGTCGAAATCCAGCTGCATCACTTATGGATGACGGTAAGTCAGGGTTGCAGCCTGAGGTTGAGCGGCTTCGGCTTCAGGGTAAAGTCTTCAGATACCGGGGGATGGCCGATTTAGATGCCGAGTGCCCTGGTCCAGATGCCCTGGTGCCGGACCCGTTAAAATAAGGGGAGAGTGGGGTAATTTGGCCGGTGGTGTAAATTTGCCGCCCCCACCTGTACGATGTCTAATAAAAGTGAGTGAAATAATCTAGTCTCTATTCATTTGTCATGGGTAGAAATAACTGGAGGACAAATGTCAAAACTTTGCCCCTCGTAGTTTTATTTAAAATTAATAAAACGTTAATTTCATTAGAAAATGGTAACTTTTACTTCTGTTTACAAAGTTGTATAACATGTAGTATTTGGGCTAAAAACGAATTCAGACATTATAGCGCCGTTCTTGGGGGTGTTCAGCGGTTCCAAGAGCAATTTCATCTAATTCCGTATAGCCGTGATGACTTTATACACAAAAATTTTCAGAATGGCAATATGGGGTAATTTGGCCGGGACTAGCGGGGCAACTTGGCCGGTGCGCTCATGGTCACTATGCTGGGACGGCCGAGTTTCCATGGTCAATTGTACCATAAATGACATAATTCATGACCAACTTTGACTACTTTGATGCCTTACTTCCGATTGGTCAACTGTAAGAGCATGTGACGTCATCAAAGGTTACCAAACGTTTTTTGCTAATAAATCCTTACATAAAAATGGTACAGCCACACAAATGGTCTCATTCTGTTCAGCTCGCCAAGGCGCATCGAATGATATGCATGATGACCTTGAAATCACGTGACCTTGAGGTCAAGCGACCTGAGGTAACGTGACCTGAGGTCAACCTTTGACCTTGACTTCTCGAGGTCAACACATATATGTTTTGATGCGGAATGACGAGATAATTACGATGGCACTCGAAGTTTTGGCCTAGCTTGATTACTTCAAAAGTTATTCGTAAAAAACTGTCTTCGCATCTAGAGCCGCTAATTTGGCTATTTTGACCCCTGTGACCCCATGAGTCAACCTCCAAAATGTGGTAAATGCGTCATAGGACACACGTCATTGCTGAATCTGAAGCTGACTCGCAATATAACAGAAAATCCTGACCGCAAACTAACACCGGCCAAATTGCCCCACACCCCCGGCCAAATAACCCTGCTAGTGGGGCAATTTGGCCGCCTTGCAGATCTTTGTAATACGTCACAATTTCAATATAAGTAATTACTCTATCATTTCAAGTTCACTGTCCAGTAAAGTAAAATGAATGCGACACCTGCCAGCGTTGAGAAAATGCAGAAATGTGACGTCAATTTTAAGTTACATCGTTTTCTAAAAAAAAAAGCGGCCAAATTACCCCACTCTCCCCTACATCCATTCAGCACTCAGGAGGGGCATGGAGGGACAAGACCGCGCCAACCGCGCATCAAGTTCGTGACAATCTGTATACCTACGTCTTGCGTCAATTCTGTCGAGATGGAGCCACCGCTGAATGGACTTGAGCCACCGTCTCCGTACCTTTCGTATATACGGAGTTGTAGCCGTGTGTATAAAAGCTGCGATGTCCAGTATTCTGCCCTGGTGGGCAACTGTTCTGGCAGAGACGATTGTAAACGTGTAACAATCAAATTTTCGTAAATTGGAAGAGTATTCTTTTCTGATCAATATCCACCCATAGTATTTTTAAAAAGCCACCAAGAGCTCTTAGAAACAGTACAATCATTGTACCGAGCGCATGTTTACCCACGAAACCACGCTCGGTGCTCGGCACCCGACGGCCGCTGGGGCTCAGTGACCTGAACTCGGCGGCGCTACCCGGAGAACGCAGTGTCCCCTCCCTCACTTGGTGCGCATTGACAGCGATTAACTTTTGTAAGCGGCAGTTACAAATGATGCTTACCTATACATCGTCGCAAGTGCGAGTTTGATGTCAGGCATTTTGCAAAATGCCTGGGAAAATATTTCAGGCAGTTTGCAAAATGCCTGGTGGGTCAGGCAGTTTGCAAACTGCCTAGGCATTTTGCAAAATGCCTGGCCGGTCAGGCATTTTGCAAATTGCCTAGGCATTTTGCAAAATGCCCGAGTTTTCACTTTGCCTGTAACAAGTATATTTTAACGGATCTATACATAGGGCGGCTTAACATGAATATCTGCACCTCACAGCAGTTTTATCATCCAGAGGATAACTGAAGTATCCGAAGCACCCTTGGATCTCTCAGAGACTAACTCAATTAAATGTGCAGCCTGTGACTGGTCGCTGACCTGGTCAATGATCTCTTTGGACGAGTAGTGCCAGTAGAAGTCCATAATGGATTCCTGCAGCCTCAGTAGGTAGTCCACCGTGCAGATGACCAGGTTGACCGTGGTGGTGTTACCCGCCTGGGAGCGCAGGTAATTCTGCCAGTCTGCGGAGCAGGACAAAAATAAATGCCTGAGTGGAAACAGACATAACAGGCCAAGAACGAACAAACGACAAGGAAAGTGGACCTAGAGATACTGAAGTTTGGAAGAATCGATGATAGTTATTCAGCTTGGGACACGTCATGTCCATCGCTTAGGCTACAACGACAACAGGGTGCCAGAGTGCGTCTTCAGAGTCTAGAACAGGAAACGGAGAAGAAAGAATCAAACATGCACGTCCCCGCCCCGTACCGAGGTTGAAGCATGTTAAACTCCCCCTCCTGCTCCATACCGAGATTGTGCCATCATAAATCCCATAAGCCCTCACTCCGTACCGAGGTTGTGGCCCTCGCAGGTGAGCTGCAGGAACCGGAATACGGCGCACGTGAACACGTCGTCATGCATGTTCTTCTCTCCAGCGGCGCCCTCTGAGCCGACGCCCAGGCCCTCGGCCTTGGTGTTCCGCTCGAACGCGTCCAGGTCGAGCACGCTGCCGGCGGGAGGTCACGGCGTCACGTCAGAGGTCATAGAGAGGTCATGGCAAGAGACCACGGTCGGAGGTCACGGCCGGTCATAGTTGCAGGTTGCAGTGTCAATGCCAGTGGTAATGAAGACGATTACATCGAAGCCACCTTGTGTAAAAGGACTAACGAGACGGCAAAAACTACTTAGGTGCATGACGGGGGGACAATGGAATGTCACAGGTCATATGTATGAACCTGAATTGAGCACCAATACCTTCAACTCGAAACAAAGCTTCGAAGAGAAAATTTACATGTAAAGAAGGCATAAATGATTGAGAATTTCAAGCCTGCTCAAAACAAAGAGGTTCACCGTATCGCGCAAAATAGGGAAAGTCTCAGCATCATCGGAGAAAATTAAATAAAACAATAAGCTACCCTCACCAAAATTGCAGCAGTAGTCCACAAAAGCATGATCTGCTAATCCATAAGGCTGAAAATATATGCCCAAATAACTAGCGGCTTTATAGAACAAAATTCGCTACGTGGGGGTTCGGAACACTCCATTCTGACTCTGCAGGCGTCTGTGCCGAGTTGGAACGGCAAGATCGCCCGTGGTCATGCTTTGATAGGTTCACCGCGGTGGCGACCGGGGACGATCCAACGGGGATGTGTCACAGCACGCTTATCAAACCTAAACATGGATCTTAATTGTCTTCCTTATTTATTTCAACCATCATCAAGACTTATGTACGCATTACCCTGCCGCTTGCTTCAGTTGTGTTACGCAGGCAAGTGCTCGACGTAAACAGAAAAGGCTCTTTTTGTTCTGCTCTAAGAAATGGTTTTATTATTCATTTTTAAGTAAATGTTTGGGCGTAACGAGCAAATAAATAAGCAACACATGTTTAACGTAAAAATAAGCCTGAGTTACAAGCATAACAGTCAGCAAATGTACGTACATCTTTTTATCTTAATGCAAACAGAGCAGCGCAGCCTGTACATTTATGTATACCAGCCACTACAGGTCCCTCGTTGCTCTCTTGTTTAATGGGGTAAACCGTGTGTTCTAGCTAGAGGAAGCAGAGAGGCATGCCTCTGTAGGCGGTGCTGATGGGCGTGTATGTATGTATTCAAATGTGCAATACAACTTCGAAGATTCAGCTAACCCTCTGAGTTTGTTTGCACGCTCAAGAGCATCCAGATCCAAAACGCTGCAGAAACAGAATAAAATGTTATCCGGATATCGTTCTATTGCGGTACCTACGCATTCTATTAACTCTAAATATTTACTCTTAGTAGGTATGTTATGATTCCATGATCGTTAAGAAGGGTAAATGTTAGAGTTAAATTATGGGACATAATTAGTTCGGGAAACTCGCGGCGGATTACATTCAAAACGACAAAAGACTCAGTGAAACACATCAAAAATATAAACTAAATAATATATTTACACAGACCAGACACGGGCTACACCACGCATTGCTACGGCAATCGCTAGATTTGTTATAAAGTACTAATTAAGTTGTTTGCCTATCGTAGTAAAAAGGATGGACAGAAAAGTAGAGAAGAGACTATATTCTAAGCAGACGCGGTTGAAGAGCACGGAGGGTGACAGTCAACGCATACCTGCAGGATGACATCAGACCAGAGATGGACACGAAGAACGACGAGTCCTTCTTTTCCTTCAGGTAGTTCAGCATGGCCTGCCGGGAAGGGCATAGTTTAGAGGTAATATGGGGAGAAACTGCAGCCATTGTTTGACAAGGTACGGATTTTTAAGCCCACGTCAAATACCAGTCTTGCGAGCGACCATCGTCCAGGGTCAGGTCAGTGCGCTTAGTATCAATCCCTTGTTAGGTCACTACCATAACCGGTACCGGGTAGATCACCATCCCGGTCATGTCACCCCCCTACGGTCCGGCCCAGGTCAGGTCACCACCCCCAGGTCAGCCCATACGCACCATCTGCACATCGACGTTTCCGCCGCGTAGTATGGAGATGCCGAGGTCCAGCGACTTCATAGTCATCTCGCTGGGCTGGCCCTTGCTGGCGGAGATATTGAGGAGCACCATCTCGGCCACTCCGCGGCTGGACAGCCGGTCCTGACAGAACAGCAGCTTCTGCTTCTCGATCTCCTGCTCCTGTGGGGCGACAGGACGAGGGCACAGCGTCACAGGGTGCAATTTGGGACTTCAGTCCTATCAACGAGTTTACGGAAAGCACATCGTATAAGATGTCCTGCATGCGATGTGACACTAAGCACACTGAGCAGTGAGCAGGTCTGTAAGACCGTCCCATTCATAGGACATACTGTCATTATGGAACCGTCCTTTCCTTATACTCAAACGATCTGCTTCCTACTGATTCCCAGCTCGTCGTTCTTTACCATCGGCACCCGAGGAAAGAGCAGCGTCCCATCGACTCACGTTCATGGCGTCAGCAGTGTCGCCTTCGTCACCAGCTCCCTCCTCTCCCTCCTCCTCGTCTCCCCCTTCTTCCTCCTCCTCGCCGCAGGATCTGGGAACAGCGGCAGAGATGGGCAGATCGGTTAGCAGCCGCGGACGAACGGAGACTGAAGAAAGAGCCAGGAAGGTGGTGAAATGCCCGGCGACGTAAGGAGTATTACGAGAACTAGTAGGTAATGTCTCCTTTTCCAAGGAAATGAGAATACCGTGAAAATAATTATTTTGCTAGACGATCACGACGTGGATTCTATTGTGATGAGTAAATGCTACTGTAAAATATAGCAGGAATAATATGTCACATCATGTCACACAAATCCCAGACTAACTAAACATCTCAAGCCCCGTCAGCCATTTATCCAAGGAAACGACACCCACACCGTCTAAGAGCGCCTCCTACATCATCCCTTCTTCCTTCCAGGGTCGGGTTATCGTCTCAGCCCCACTGCAGCCCTCTCACTTGGCCATGATGACGGCGTAGTCCATGTAGAGCGCGTCCTCGCACTGCGGCCCCTGCTCCATCTGCGCCTGGCGCGAGAACATGGTGACCAGCTGGGTGACCGGGTCAGGAGCCTCCTCCTCGTCCTCTTCTTTGGTGGTCTTCTTGTTACGCTCGCTGTCCTCGAACGATTGCTGGGAACGGCGGGGAGACGGTAAATATTGCACATACGCTGCTGAATACCATGAACGTCTACGTCTTCTTGTTACGCTCGCTGTCCTCGAACGATTGCTGTAAGAATACAGGGAGACAGTGAATATTGGACATTCACCGCTGGATTTCGTGAACGTCTTCTTGTTACGCTCGCTGTCTTCGAACGATTGCTGCGGTAAGATAGGGAGACGGTGAGCGAAACCGCTATGAAACCGTGAATGTCTCGTGATCTCTAACAATCGCTGGGGATGGTGAGGAGACGGTGAATATTGGACGGCATCGCAGGATTCTTGACATTAACGTGGACTCTGGCTGCATCACTATTCCGTTGATGAGCAACTTCTCGCTAATCGTAGTCGTGGTTATTTTGTATGCACAGTGGCACACAAATGCTTACAGCAGGTGAACTTGGCGGAACAAATTTATGGGAGCGATTATCATGAAAAAAATAAAGACGCAGTCAGCTGCACCATCCAATTCAATTATCATGTTTCGAACTCATATTTAGAACCGTCCCACCAGCGAGTGGGATGGGAAAAGATAACCCCTGCGGCAATAACAGGGAAGAACCGATACCGGTCGCCGTCTTACCGTCAGGTCCTCGATGAGCACTTCTTGGCCGGAGTTCTCGTCCGAGAGCCACACGTTGCTGTAGGTCTGCAGGAACAGGTTTACGGCACGGTGCCTGTCGCCGGCAAACGGGGAGCGTCAATTAGTGGTACTGGTGGTAGGGATGGGTTGAGACAGCAGGGAGGCATGGAAGAAATTGATTCATCAAGCATTGATTTGTGCTACAAAAAAAACAACAACAACAAGCGATTCACATCGATTACTGGATGCCATTTCAGAACAAGTTAAGTCTAAATAGGAACAAGCTTACTGATTTATTTTCATACGACAGAGACCTTTAGGTTGGCACCAGAAAAACGTATCGACAAACTCCTCTTATTGAATGATCATTTGGTATTTATGTGAGGAGCATTTCACCGTCTAAATCCACTCTGACTCCAGCAAACACCGGCTCTCTCGGTACCTAGCCACATTGTACATCGGCGTGCTGCGCAAACACTTGAGGACGGCCATCTTGCGCGGAGTGCTCATCATTTTCTTCCACTCTGTCTGTTTGCCGGACGCCTTGGTGAAGGCCTATAACAGGGCCGAGAAAGAGTCGGGGAGGGTGTAGTGGGGAGGGCTGGGTCAGCTAGGGCGGGTATCACTCCGTAACGCGCTAGGTCAGGCAGGGAGGGAGGGGGAGGGTGTCTGTGGTGGTGAGGGTGGGTGATTGGTGACTCAGACTAGGGATGGAGGTGAAATAAAAGTTTGGATTTGGGCAGTCTGCGGGTAGGTGAACATAAATGATGATCAGGTTTTGATGGTTACGCTATTTTATTATCAGCTAAGGATAACAACACAGGCAAAACAAAACATAACGGGATGCAAGGTATGGGAGCATGCATACAACATCAGCAAAGTTGAATGAAAATGACACACGAAAAGTAGCCACTGAAGGTGTTAGATTCTCGAGGCAGGCTGTCATGCAAAACGTTTCTCGTTAAACTTGGTTAGTAAGAAGGCAAATCTCTTTCGTTACGCTTTGTAACGATATTTTGTGATCAGTGGGACCGGTAATTTATGTATGTCCGAGGGAGCGGTAGCGGCATCGGCAGCAGTAGCAGATGTTGTCTAGGTCACGGTGGCAGACTCGGGACCTGGCCGGCCCCTCTGTGAACCTAGGACCTCTACCCAGCGGGGTGGGTGAGCGCGCTCCTCTATTTCTATCTCTATCCGATGGAGGCCAGAGCTCGGCTCTGCACCCAGCCGCGTCGCCGCGCCCCTGACCTGGTCATCTGATGCAGCGACGCCTGTCGGAAGCACTGAATGACGGCACGCTTTCGCTGCACGCTGAGCACGGATCGAAGCACCTGCTGTCGGCTCAGCTGAGGATGGTCAATCTGCGGGCGACACAGCGCGCGTGGACGGCGTCAGCCGCGCTGACCGGAGAGAACCCGTGCAGCGGAGAGGGACCCCGCGCGACGCCGGATCATTCGCACACAGCTGGGTGAACGGACGGACGACGGACGACGAACGGACGGACTGGAGAACGGCCGCAGGCGGATGGTCATAGCGAGGTGATCAGGACGGCGCGGGCCATCGTTCTTTAGAGCAGGAACATCGGGAGAGTACGGACCGACGTGCTTTAGCTTGGGAGCGTATGCGCACAACGTCGTGATTTAGAGTTAGAACATACAGCCGGAACACAGCCGCCAAGCTCCACGAGAAATGGCCGCAGTTTACTTGTATGCCGCCGATCACTCGACCCGGACACTATAAGCATGTCTCATTTCTAGCATCTTGATTCGATATCTCTCAAAAGGGCCGACTATATAATCAAAGATATTGAGATGATAAAGAAATTTAACAAATTGATTAAAGCAAAAAAACAATAAAAACCTGAATCTACCAAAAGAAGCGGCCGAAAACGCGCAAAAAAAAAACATACACCGTGCACAACGCACATACTTCACACACACCGTGCTTGATTTGTTTACGCAAATAAATAGGTCTTGGAAAAATGCTGACCACAATTTCACTGACAAGTAATTGCGGCTTCAGCTGGAAACGTCACTAGTTAACGAATGATCATCGATTCTGCAACTATCGTTTCGTTTTTTATACACATCACTCTAAAATGTTGGAGCGTAACACTTTTATCATAGGTCGTGGATCGAAATATGCCTCACGGCAGCCCTTCAAGCTTCGCTGCGAGCGGAGGCTGTAAGCCACACGTTAAACAGCGGCAGCAGCAGGCAAAGAGAGCGTGAGTCTCTGAACATACAGAGCAGCTGAGACCGATAGGCCAAGCGCACACAATTTTTGTATGTGCAGCTGTCTGGGAGGCAGAGACATCCGAGTGATGTCTGGTCCATATAGCCCATACAGTATGTAGTGGTCTAGCTGGGACAGGCAGAGACCAAGTATGACAGCAAATCATAATGAGACTCGGGTTGGGTTGAGTTATGGGCAGGCATAAGTGCCGAATGAGGCACACAACAACAAAGAACGAACACGGAAGCCGACGTCAGTCCTCGGCATACACGATGATGTGTGATTAGTTATAACAAATCGTGACGCGACCCAACTACGCACAAATATAAACAGAGAGACACAAAGACGTCGGGACAAGCCACCCCATAGGCTGGCACACTGCGACACATGAACCGAGTGATAGAATAGAGAACAGAGACACAGCTGTGACCTCGTATGCGCTGTGTGGTTCTGTTAGCGCAGTGTTGTCCATTTTTAAAACGTGAATGATTTTAAAGGCAAGGATTAAAGGGCACAGGATGGAAAGGATGAGAAGATGACATCCTGCGTGACAGGAAACTGGGTAGTGTGGAGAAAGGGGCAAGTGAATGCTAGACTAGAAAATGAATGTTTCAGCAAGAATTGCTCTGTGTCGGTACTATCAAATCGTATCACCATCGACTAAAATGTGGAACAAAAACAAGACAATAGCATTATGAAAACGTAATACCATAATAATATTAATCTAAGTAAATGTGCGGCTAAAGCAATAGCAGTATCTAACTATATACATTATACAGCACTGATCTCGATGTGGCTGCTATAAACTCTAACAAAATTAACCGAAACATTTACCAATTGAAAAGGTTGCGGTTCTGTCATTTATACGGCAGCAAGAGCTGTCCGCATTGGACAAACGACTGGGCCAGCATGTGAATCAGCACGTCCGTATGTACGTCCAACAGACCTAAAAACGTACAGCTTCGTAGCGACTAGCGCACGGACGCACGTGCGGATGTCTGTCGGACATACATACCTCCGTATAAAGCGTCTGACGGGCAAACAGAGCACCGTACGACTGTCTGATTACATACGGAACTCCGCACAGAACTCCGCACGGGCGGACGTGCTGGGACGTACCATGTGCAGGCCGTAGAGAACCTTGGCCATGTCGACAATACGCTGAACGATGTCCTGAACGGTGGGCGCCTTCTCCGAGATGGTCTTGTCCGACTCGGTGATGGCCTTGCGAGCGCCGCCGCCCAGCTTACTGTGGGGAAGGGAAGAGCAGGGTCAGTGCGGGTCAGGTTATAATGGCCTGTAGAAGTTTAAAGATGCCAAATTTGACCTTTCCGTACGATTCTTAACAGAGTAATTGAGGTAGAAAGGACAGATCATTTGGTGCCAGGTGTTTGACATTTCCCATTAGGTGGTAGCTCGTGGTATAACCCGTGATCTCCCAATATCTCACCTGTAGAGGTGATGCTGCCAGGACTTGGAGTCGGTCGGGTCGAGTCTGTCCGGCATGGTCAGCTCGGCCTTGGTTGTCTCGATGATCTCGTACTCGGCGATACCCTGTAAAGGAAATGTATAGGAGTCAGCCGGACAAACCATACGGTGGCTCCAACTACTGATGATGTTCAGTTTAATGAAAAACAATATCAAATTCTTATCTGTATTCAATGTACAACATTTGTCAAAATGAACAACATACTATTGATGATGGATATGGCTTCAATGAGTCCATGCCGGCTTAGCAGACTACGCTGAATAAATGCCCTAGCATAGCGACGCGAGCCATTAATAGCTTGAGCCCATGCCGTAATAATGTGTCGGCGCATCCTGTCGATTAGAATCTTCAATCTAGTAACCTAAAACATGTACCTATGCGCATTAAATTGCGTCCCATGTGTCTCCCTACCTTGAGGTAGCGGTCCTTGGCGTGCTGAACCATCTCCTGTTCACGTCCGGCGAACAGGTTCAGTCCCACCGGCAGCAGACGCTTCAGACAGGCCACCATCAGACTGGACGCCACGTCCTTGTCCTTGCTCTTCTTCTTGTCGCCGCGCTTCTTCTTTTTCTGTGGACCCAGGTGTAGGAATGTGTAGTAAAGCATGCTCACTTTAATCCAGTTCAATTACTTAAGTGAACCGAGTAAATAAAACGATTAGCTACTTCACCAAAACATATTAAATACAGGATTCAACGTATTCATTTTTTTTCGTTATCAGCCTCCTTTGTTTCTAAGTCAATCAAGATTAAATGAGCTCACTTTTACCCTATTTGTACCAGCGATGGGTTACTGACTACGTGGGGTCGTGCCCTGAAGACCTCGTTCATACCTTCCCGCGGCCGGCGGACGGCTCCGAGACGGCTGCCGTGGTGCGGCGCGCCGTCGTCGTCGGACGGATCAGAGTCATGTTGTCGATCTCGTTCTGGGAGATGAAGTTGGTCTCCTCGCGGGTAAAGTACTGAAAGAGCGACAAAGAGCGTCAAGGAGGTGATGGTTGACCGTACAAAGCTCATGTGAAAAGGTAATGATGTTTTCACTTTCATCTCTAGCATACGTGATTTTCAGGCCCTCTCGAGAGCGCCGGCGCGGTGGCCACCCTCTTGGAAAGTTGGATAGCTATTGACGAGAGTAAGTAAGAGTAAAAAATTCCTCACCTGTGACTTTGACCAGATCTCGAAGATGACGGCCACATGGTTGTAGAGGTCCTCGGCCTCTGGGACGCAGTCCTTGAGCCAGTGGGAGCGCTGCAGGTCCACGTACTTTATGAGCAGCGGATAGAAGGCGTATATGTCTCTGACGAGCAGGTACCACATCTCCTGCAGCTGGCCCTCCACCTGAGACGTGTCCTCGGTGGTGCTCTTCAGGAAGCCACGCAGGTTCTCCTCCTTGTGGTACATGGCCTCCGTCCGACGGCGAACCTGTCCGAGATACGTATACACTGTCAGATTTTGTATTGGGTCCGGCTTCTCTGTTCGGCGGCGAGTCTGTTACAGTATACATTGTCGGATACTGCACTGGGTCATCCTCTGTCATTGCAGTGTATCTTCACCTGACCTCGTGGAAATAAAGTGATTTTTAAAACACTGAACAGCTGTGACAACATATAGATAGCAACGCCGTTTCATATTATCTCCTCCGGTCTCGAGTAACCCTGCTCCGAACCAAAACGGCTCATTGGTTCATTTTCAGCATTATGAAAAAACATGTCATGTAGCTTATCTCAGTTTTTGTCTCACCTTGTTTCACTTCATCCTCTCCGCAGACTGGGACTAGCTCACCTTTTCAGCGAGCGGCAGGTACGGGTCGTAGAGCAGATCCGGTGAGCAGCTGACGATAATCTGCTGCGCGTAGCCGGCGATACGCGTCATCCACGGCGCCTCGGCGCTGCCGATGTTGGACTTGATGAGGTGCAGGATGTTCTTCAGCAGCTGGTTCATGTGGCCGTCCGTGACGCGGGTCGTGCTCTGGGTTCTGAAGAGGCGGACAGGGATGCTGTCATTCAGCAGCTACTGGTACATGAGGCATTTATCCTAAAGTAACTGCATTTGGCAGTAGCCCCGTGCCCATTTATTACTTATTTCGTTGTCCGCCCCTGCCTGGTAGGCACTCCAAGCAAACGCACCTAGTTAGTATCCACTCCCCTTCAACGACGTCAACTCAACACTCCTACCACTGTTTTCACTATTCAGTACTCAGCACTTACTCTCCCTCGCCGGCGTTATCCGGTCCCGGCCCCCCGGATTCCCAGTGCCCAGTACCTTGTACCCAGTACCCAGTACCCAGTACCCGGTACTTACTCTCCCTCGCCGGCGTTGTCCGGTCCCTGCGACCACCAGAACGGCAGGTATGCGCACAGCATGGGCAGCAGCGAGTCGACGATGTGGCGCGCCTCGTCGTACTTGCCACCGCTCTCGGCGAACTTTTCCACCATCTTCAGGATCTCCTCCAGGGTCGGAACGGCCGCCTCCAGACGGGCCATCACCTCTGTAACGGGGGAAGGGCAGAACAGGTCAGACGGGCCATTACATTTGAAAGTGGACCGGGGCAACACAGGTCAGGCAGGCTGTCACTTCTGTAAGAAGGGAGCAGGACAGTCACTGGTTTTGAGTAAAACCTATTGTCTCATTTGACATTTCTCTTATTGGCATTTCGCGTATCGAAGAAAATATCAAATTTTCGTAAATCCATTTGAGGTATGTCCCATTTGCAATAATCTCTGCTGCACCGTTCGCGCATTAGCACTCCTCCCAGCCAGCCAGCTGAGCTCCCATCGCCGCTCCTCCTATGACCTTACGACCTTACCCTGCGCCTCGAGCGACCTTTCTTGCAGCCGTCCGTGGATCGAGTACTGGTTGTATTTGTTAAGGTCGGGCTCCAGGAAGGCCACGGGGAAGCAGGCGGCGAAAGCGCCCAGACAGGTGCCCAGCGAGGGGCGGTGGCGGTCCAGCTCCGCCTTGATGAACTTCCTGCATACGGATAGGTACAAACAGTGAAATTCCGTATGCTTTGACAAGTCGACACTGCCGGTTTGGAAACAGAACAACTTTGACATTCTAAGCCGGTGCAAGATATGGCAAAAATCCGATCATTTCTCGTGCTGACATGAAATATCATGTGGTGAGTGCTGCACACTGACTCCAGACTACATAAGTCTTCCACCAAGTTCGGTTACGCGAAGTTACGCAGAGCACTGTGAACTGATCCTTAGGCCTGTGAACTGATCCTTAGGCCGAGTAGGCACTGACCTCTGGTTTGAGAGGTTTGGGTCTGTTCCCAGCTGGTAGAGGCCGTGGAACAGCTTGTAGCAGGCCACCTGAATCTCATCCACTGTAACACGGCGCAGCGTGGATGAGTGAAACGATAGAACTACAAATAAAGCAACCATACATATACAATGGAACATAACTAGAACAAAGCAAGTCACCTTCAAAACAACATTTTAACTCCGGTCCAGCTAGCGCAAGACATCGAAAAGAGAGGAGTTGGAAAAGTGTCCCGTTTCACCCACACAGCAGATCGGTGCCGTACCGCCACACTGTCGTTTTACTCACGGAGCAGATCGGTGCCGTACTCGCAGACGACCAGGTGGTCGAAGAAGGCGGTCAGCACCGGGAACAGCACCAGCTGCACGTAGTTGAGGCACGACGACGTCTTCAGGTGCGTGCCGCGGATGTAGCTGTACTTCTCCTGAGAGCCAGCGGAGCCAAGGGCGCGGACATGGGTCAGTGGCAAAGCGGACACGGAAGGGTTGGGCAGAAATATGGGAAACGTAAGCTTGGCAAACTAGAAGCGAATTAGCGAACACATCGTAAGTAATGCACTGCCTCCTACATACATAACAATGATGCAGCTTCAAACTTTGGGCTCATTTTCTGTGTGAAGGTTGCAGATGACAATAAAATGGCAACAATGGCTCGTCAGAGGCCGTAGTACTTGCACCGGACAAGTACACCGGCCTGTGAAAAATCATTTCATAAATTTCCATCGAAAATCACATAATTTGATTTAGCTTACGAATACGCAAAAAAAATTGACATTCAAGTAGGTGGCATAAAAAAAATAAAATACGGCAATGCACTGAAAATAAAAATACTTCCGGTACGTTTACACAGATTCAAATGACAAACAGATTCAAAAAAGATGAAAATTGCAAAAGCTAATCGCAATCAATAGCCCAATAAAGCTGACCCGAGATTGCAGGGTACTGTGAATTGTTAAACGCAGCTGTGCACTCAGAGATAATGACACAACGCAATTGATGAGTGTTAATGGAAAGCTAATGAATGGTGCGGTTAAAAATAGGTATGTTTAGTGTCAACTGTCAACACACATGCTTGTGCACATACGCGCAATCACTAGATATAAGTAATACAGGTTGCATTGTCCTACTCAATGGGATGTGTGGGTTTTATTCGGCCTTTCAGGGTGCAAAATGAGAATCAAACCAGCTAACTCCACCGAATGACCGAGGGAAGGGAAAACTGAACACCAATCCAAACTAGGGACCAAGCATACGGCCGGGTGGGGAGGGGTGGGGGGAGGGCTGGTAGATACTGGCGCGGGACGGAACGGGGCGCCGCCGCCGCCGGCTCCAACACTACCTGTATGACTCCGCCTCGTTCCCTAACGTTTATGTTGAGCAGTCCCCACTTCACCAGACACTGGGTGCGATCAACCAAACACAGGATTATGGTTTGATCAACCAGACAAGGGCTTAGTCGTGGCCGTTAATGAGACCCCGTTGATGGCGTCAGCTCAGTGACGCGCAGGGAACATTACGGCAACCGACACCGACGTGTGCCATCCGCGACGTTTTGAGAGGCAATGTCGGCGGAGTTTCCACGGGAGTATTTAAATGCTCTTTTATATTTATTTACATGTAAGATCCTTCAAGCTCTGTAGAGAATCCCGGAAAAAGTGCGTTTTGACAGCCCGGAGAGGTGGAGAGTTCTTATGCCCCCGAAATGCTGCGGAGCGCGGAGTGAAAATCGTTGGAAAGGTAAAAAAGGCTCTTGTGAAAAAAGTAAAACAGCATACCTCAGATGCGTATAGACAAGTGAGCGATGTTTATGTACAAGAGTTAGAGAGCATTGAACCACCACAGCAGCAAGCTGTCAATCTGTTCAAAAGCAATACCGTCGTTTTTGGTAAGAATCCAGCCACCTAAAAACACCGGATGATATTAATGGACGTCATCACAGGTACTAAATCAGCTACAGTTACAGGGTGATTATTCATTTAACCACATCGCGCTAAGTGCTCCACATTCCGCAATCGGATGAAGTATGCCATTATAATGTAGAACAATCTAAGTAAAGATCTCCAAGCAAAGGCAGATGCAAGTCACCACACTCTCCGCTGAATTCTATGACAAAATGTTGGAGCACTATGTCGGCAGGACCCTCTCTCTTAGAGCAGTGCGACCACTAACAGGCGGCCGGTCCTAGCGGTGTTTGAGGTTTATATGAGGTCACGGTACTGAAAGAGGGCTTAGAGCGGTGGTTTGATGTTATCAAGGACTGGTAACTCGGGCGGTACCAGGCCGGGTCACTCCGGGCAGGTGGTAACGGAACAGAAATGGAACGGGGCCAAGGAGCCAGATAGGGTTAGGAAATGGAATAAAGGGCTGGTGGATTTAACTAGGGTGCAGGCCGGGGATGGGCATGATCCATGATGGAGATGGGGACGGACAGAATGGCAGAGAAATAAAATCGGCTCATGCCGCACCTACCTCCTGAAGGTGCTGTACGGTGGTGCCCACATCTTCAGCAGCGTGGTTAAAGAAGGTCAGCATCGAGGTGCGGACAAACTCGGGACACTGTTTGGCCAGTGACCTAAAGGGAAGGGCACAAAACTCGGCGCTCAGTACGGTACCGTGTGAGATTTCCGATGGCTATACACGCGAAGTGACTGTATTATGAATGAGACGCTAAGAACGCATCTAACTGTTTTGAAAGAAGTGCGGCATAAATAGATGTACAGTCCACAGCAGAAGTAATGTGGGGTTTCAGTCATGGGTATGTTCTGCTTCTGAAGCTTAGGAACGATTAGCCAGACTACAATGAAACTTTGAATGTAGCTTATATGTATCGTCACCCTTGCAGCTGCAGCTTTAGCTATTGACATCTTCTTTCCGATCACTCCGCATTAAACAATCGCCAGTCAAAGCCAACCGTTGAGATTGGTAAAACCCTACATTACTTTAGCGGTGGGCTGTACAAATGACAATGTGCGTGCTTATCGAATCATTTTTCCAATCTTAAATTGGCTAGGAAGGTACTTCACAATGAACAACGAAGAATCTATCGATTAAAATGCTCAGAAAGTATGGTGTACATCGTCATAGCCACCCATCAGCGAACATCAGTGAACGAGGAGACGGCTGCACGAGGTACCGGCGGAGCGATCACTGACCTGGCGTCGACGGCTCGCACCAGGACGGTCAGACATCGGACGGCCAGTCTGGTGTCGCTACTGAACGACGACATCTTCATCCGGAGCAGGTGGGCCAGCTTGCAGAACACGCTGTCGAAGAGAATTGGCAAATGGTCAGTGGCCGGCAACAGCATGGGTCAGCGGCTGGCAGCGCCGTCGGTCAGCGGTTAGTGACAGAGCCTAAAACAGCTTGGACTTGTGTTGCGATCTGGCCTAAAGAATTTTGAAGCGGACGGGTTGTACACATATTGTGTAAAAAGCAGCGTATTAAAAACGTTTCGTGGAATTTAAATTTCGGAAATAAAAGGGAGGTTTGCCGAGGTTGTAGTGACTCACTTGGCGACCATCTCCTTCTCCTTGAGACTGGCCGCTCCGACCATATTGGTGACGGTCGGCACGGCGATAAAGTAGCTCCTGTTGGTGCTGAAGTACTTCTCCATCAGTGGCAGTACCACCTGTGAGAGGCAGAGGGAGCAGCGGCGTCAGGCAGGGGCCAGCGGGTAGGCTCTTGACGATTGAGACCGACATCGGACCAGACTATACAAAAAAAAAATGACTGACTAAAGGCTGCTTACAGTGTCAAAATATCCGGTTTAGGGATGAGGTAAAAAAACACGGCTCTATCGTAAACAGTCTTGACTTTTACATTTACACACATGTCACACTGCCGGGAGGATCAGATATATTAGCATGATCCGTTGGATAGACAAACTACCTGTCGAGCTAGCCGAACGCACCTTGAAGAAGAACTTGACGTCCCTGGACGGCCGTTTGAAGCTGACGCGGTGGCCGAGGTTCTGACTGGGCACCAGCACCTTCATGTTGAGCGCCGCACTGCCCAGGTACTGCTGCAGCTTCTCCAGTAGGCTGTAGGCGAAGCGGCGCTCGGTGGCGGCCGCGGCGGCCTTCTCCTGGCTCTCGCTGTCCGAGCGGGAGGTGCGGGCCCTGCGGCGGACGGGGGGACGTCAGTGGACAGTGGGAGAGGCTGACGGATGGTGAGAATGCTAACGGGCGTAAGATGTCAAAAGCGACGATGCGAGAGGTCGCCAACAGACGTTAGGTGCCGTAGTGAGATGTATCAGGGACGCTAGAAGTTTTCACTGGATTTTAATTACATCAGTACGTTAGAACGTTACTGATGACGTTCGTTAAAAACGAGCGTCGAAACGAACGTAACGTCGAACATGACGGACATTAGAAAGAATTATTATTTTTAGAGGTCGACATCGGACGTTAAAAGTCGACCAAATGCTATAGATAGCCAATGGCCGCTCAAGTGACAGAACATCCCAACCGGGCGGATGTTTTGAAAATGGGCACGATATCTTGAGAGTGCAAAAGTCCGACTGCACGGATGTCGAGAGCGTCATGCCAAAGTTGTTTTGCCCCCGACTGACCTGGCCAGCTTGTAGCCCTGGAACTGGAGGTACTTGAGCAGCTCCTGGCACCGCTCTCGGTCCTTGCGCTTCTCCTTGTCAGTGAGCAGGTCGTAGGGCACCATCTGAGGGTGGGCGCTGGCTCCCGCTGAAAACGAGATGGAAACTCACTTAACCCTCGCACGACCAGGCCATTTCTCATAACACGAACGACCAGGGGGGGGGGTTGTTACGACCCCCCCCCCTGGCGTTTCGAAACGGAAGGTCGTAGAGCTTAGCGGAAAAAACCAACGGATTGCTCTCAACGAGATCTCGCGATTGGTGGTATATTTTTTGGTCCTAGGTCAACATTTGACCTACTTTTGACCGGTCAAAGGTCAAATTTTCGGAAAAATAGACTTTTTTCAACTTTCGGCGGCGATTGCGGCAAAACGGTGGGAGATATCGACTTGAAACCTTCACTATCGTGTTCCTTGATCAATTCTCTATCGTTTGGTATGTATTTCGTTTCCCTAGCTCTAAAAATGGCGCGTTGGGAGCGCCGGAAGTCGGCAAGGTCACAGTCGGCGGCAGAAATTCGAAAAATCAAAATTTAAATTTTTGAAATCTGATTGTATTTTTGGATTTGGGAGGTCCATTTGCTCCCTATAGAAGCTAATATTGCTGCATATTCCCATTGAGGTGACAAGAATTAGCAAAATAGTGGTTCGGGCGCTTTTCAAAAATAGTACCGGACGCTGTTCCTCTTGTGACGTCATAGCTCCGTGACCTGACCTGACCCGGTCAAATTTCTTATACCATATGATAGCCAATACTTGCCCCAACATGCATGGGAAGTTTCATCACGATCCATCAACCGATGTCCGTACCACCGGCAGGAAACCTCGGGCGTTGGCACTCAGTTTGTGAAAATCCGGCCGGAGGCTGTACCTCTTATGACGTCATAACTCCGTGACCTGACATGACCCGATCAATTTTTTTCGGCAAAAGATGCGCAAAGGTTGCTCCAGAGGGTATTGAAAATTTCAGCCCGCTGCGACAAGCCGTTTAGCGTGCACTTCGAAAAAACCTCAGGGGGGGGGTTGATACACCCCCCCCCCTAGGCGTTCTAGGGTTAAGACGATCAAAGACTGACAAAGACTACCACAACACAGTTAATTATTCGATAAGCGTCACCATGATAAGATTCACCACTTTGTTTTGTAATTCATAAGAAAGTAAAACTGGTTGGTGCTCGCAGCACACAAAATGTTTCCATAGGTAAGCGATTACAACCTCACTCCATAATAATAGAAAACAACGAATGACCTTCAAAGTCGCAATAGCGGTTTCAAGGGCGAAACTATGCACCCCATTAGGTAAGCAGTGGACCCACCGGACGCCTCTAGTTCGTGTTTGGTCTTCTTGGCCCAGATGTCGTGGGCGTTCTCGGCGAGTCGTTCAGCCATGTTCTGCATTTCTCTGCTCAGAGTCAGGTTGGTCATGTCCACCGGCTGGGGGTTGTAGTTGGCCGGACCGCCGCCACTGCTCGAGTCGGCGATCGGTGGCTGGAGACGGAGAGACGAGAGCGTCAGGTGGGAGAAGGGAGACGGGAGACGAGCGCTGGCCGATATCAGAGACGAGGGACGGATAGAGAAGCGCCATCTATGACAGTGGAAACCAACTGACCGGGTTGCAGACAGCACATGGATTATACTTCAGTCGGGCGAAGACCAATTTAATGTAGCTGTCTTCCTTAGGAGGCCATATTCTGCCATTCTGCCAACCAGTATAGCGCCTTTTGGGGCGACTAACGGAGCGAGCGAGAGGGTGAGCCTTGCACGTGCGAAATTTCGAGGGGGTACCTCCAGCTGACTTGTGCACGGCACCCTACTAACCGGTCTCTAGCGATGTGCCAAATTTGAGCACAATCGGCCCAGCCGTTCTCGAGATCTGGAAGCGGCACCCTGCACGTGCGCACGAGCAAAATGGGTCCCAACTGACTTTTGCACGGCAGCCTACTAACCGGTCCCTAACCATGTACCAAATTTGAGCGCCATCGGTCCAGCCGTTCTCGAGATCTGGAAACGACCCCTGCACGTGCGCACGTGCAGCAGCACCCCAACTCTGGCACATGGATATGCAGTGCCTAGTGGGTGCCTACCTACATGCCAACTTTCAGCGCAATCGGTCAAGTAGTTACCGAGATATTGCAACAATTGCAAAAGTGACACCCCTTCGTTTTGCACGTGGCACGTGCATAAGGGGTCACCCACATGCATCGGGAATAGTCCAATACTTGGTAGAAGGAATGAAGTTACCCTACAAAAATTACCGCATGTAAATCGGTCAAGTGGTTGCTGAGATATAAGCCTCGCAAAAGCGTGACCACGGCCGGCCGGCCGGCCGGCCGCTCATACTCAGAAATTTCCGTTAATCTAAGGAAAGACTACGCTCGCTTCGCTCGCTCCGTAATAACGTTACGATTAGGCTGCTATCTGCAAGTCATTATTTAGAGAATACGTTTCATGTCCAATGGCTATTTCGCTAATCAGTAATCCAGGTCCAAATCAATGTTTGATGTGTTGGCACGCCCAAGCCATAACCCTCGTCAGACTCAAACAGCACCACGTTTCTCACCACATCCTGTCGCGACGAGCTGCGTCGGATGGATCCCTTGGGACTCAGTGTGTCGGCCTCTCCGTACTCGACGGTCCAGCCGAGGGCCAGCAGGGCGGTGAGCGCCTGGCGCACCGGCTCCCGGTACCGCTCCCGCTCCTGGGGAGCACAGACACGGCAGGTTAGCGTATGATGTACGAAACAACACGTCAGCGTCAAGCTATGAAACGACAGGGCACTAGAGCCTAGTACAGATAGAAACGAGTAGTAAACTCTTGGTCCTACATTGAACAGGGGCATTGCTTTTTTTTTGTTAATAACACAAAAATAAATCGTGGGTCCCCTGTTAGGAATACATTTCGTCTGAGGGCATCCCAGGACAGAGTTGGACCACCGTGTTACAATGTCCTACAACAAATTCAGCATTCCTTAATTACGCGCTTCGTCCTTCGCTAATCGTTCTGTGCTCACATATTCGGAGAGCATGTAGGGCGGCTTCAGGCGGGGGTGCGTCCTCTCCTCGCGGTTGTACTCCTCGCCGTAGAACCAGCCGTTCTCCAGCTTCCGCGAGGCCCAGGCGTCGTGGTAGTGGTCGCTGAACTTTTGGATCACGTCCACCATCTCCTTGGTCAGCGCCACGCTGTGGACGGCGAATGGAGTTCGTCAGAGCCGGCAAAAAAAAAATAATAATGCTGCGACAAAGCCGGAACAGATTAACGGCGATCAGCCGATCATGGCAGCTAAAAAAGTGTATGGTACTAAGATGGTAATCATTGCCCAATAAGAGACAAAACGTTAGTCTTCTCGTAATGAATGCGTCAGAAATACCGCACGAGCATATAAAACGCTGAACTACAAAGACGTCCTCCAGATCCAGACTAGTGCACCTTCTATCAACAAATATATTATGCGTCATCACTTTACCTACGCTGGACCTCCTCGGTCCAGAGAAGAGCAACAAATAATTGATCGACCCACCTGCTGGTGTCGATGGGCTGCGGGATGTACTTGGCGTCCGTTCTCGTGCTCTGTCGGAACAGCTCGTCCTCATAGCCCGTGGTCAGCGAGTAGTCGGGCGGCAGCGCGCAGCCGATGGCCGTCAGACACGGCAGAGCGTTACCGAACAGGTCAGGGTCGTACTCCTGTGTGCAGAGAGGCACCAAGCTGTTAACACATACGGCAGCAACGGAAAATAATGCACACGGGAGAAATCGCGAGCAGGTATAGGTAGTGTTGAGGAGGATCTGGCGCTGAATGATTAGCATGAGACAATAAAAAATGTTGCTATGATGAAGCACTACAATATTAAATATCCATCTCCAATGGAAACACCAAGACTGACAAGGCAGTGGGCAGTGCCCACTGCCGTATGGTGCCCACTCTCGAGATAAGAATCGGTGAGTGCCCACTGGGCACTCACCGATTATCTCAAAATTGAACAGCATACATACCATTTTAGCGAGCGAGTCGAAGATGTTTGAAAACAGTATCATGGTGAGCCTCTTCTCCTCCTCACTGGCACAGCCGTAGGATCCCTGGCCATTCGGAGAGCCGTAGTAGCGGCCGCACCGGTCGTAGTGCAGCGTCAGAAGCTGAAGCACACGTTACACATTGGTCACAGGTCAGAGTGGAATGGTGAAGTAGATTAAATTGCCGACACCCGAGCCCTAAATGGAGGACATACGGATAATAACTTTGGTCGGCAGTGAGATGAAAGTGGCCACCGATTCACATTTCACAACTCACTAGGTCTTTGAGAAGACAATCGATATGAGAAGAGGAGCGAGAAGAGAATATTCGAGGGACATCAGACGAGTCTCACCCGGAGAGCGACGGTGGTGTACTCGTTGATGTTGGAGACGTCCACCGTCAGCTTCCGCAGCAGCTTCAGCATCATTCCTGGATGCAGCTCCCTGGCAGCGAAAGCAAACAGTTATTGTATTTTCGGACAGATACAATGAACAGGGCCACTGGATTGCAGCAGCATCCCATCTCAAATCCCATGCCGTCTCATCCCATCCCCCACCCCCTTGTGTGCCAGCCGCTTCCCTTAATGAACACCACCCACCCACCTGGTGAGTGTGACCAGGAAGTCGGAGACGGCCTCTCGCTGTCCCTTGGTGAGGATCTTGTTCTTGCTGAGCCGGTACACGGTATGCAGCGTGGCGTCCAGCAGACTCGAGTAGTTGTCGGCGTCGGCGTAGAAGCGCGAGTGTTTGATGAGCAGCGGCAGGATCGAGTTACCGATGTAGCGGTTCAGAGCCAGACCCATGTCTGACTCGCCGCCGTCACTCTGAGGGGTGGACATTCAATGAAGACGGGAAATAAGGGCAAAAATGCAAGGTTGAAAACGGATAATTTTGAATGCAGACTGCAGTTACAGTTATATAAATGACGATTAAATTCGCACATCGGCGAATGTAAACAGAACGTTCTTCAAAAGACGATTGTCTCTTTTATTAAACTGGACGGACAGAAAAAATGTCCCGTTTTTCATATAGTCCACCTTCACCCCAAAATGGCAGACTATGCATTCACTGATCCGGATCACAAGTGAACATGGAAGCAAGATAAAAAACATGCGCTACAGATTACAACAGACATCATAAGTCCATCTTTTCCGTCACACACACAATTACACATGGCTACTGAGTACTGACCTTGTCGAGAACGGTGGCGGCCCGCAGGTCGGGCAGGAAGGCGAACTCGAGCAGTCGGAAGAAGAGCTCGCGGTCCTCGATGCCGTACACACGCTCCAGGAACAGAACCACTGACTGCTTGTGGGACGGAATCAGACCTGAACGCGCAATGCACGACGCCAGTTAGTAATGATGACACGGTACGAGACAAATCCGACCAGTCAACTTCTTTCCTGTCCTCTATTCGAATGTGTCCTCAGTGCCTACTTCGGTCTTCATCTCAATTAAGCCGTTCTTGCTTGTCTACATGATATCATGCATTTGTATCACGAATCAGCTGTTGATCGGTCCCATATCTGTTCCCCAGTCCCAGGTTTCCTAAATTCCACTTCTTCGTTTTCCTACCTCCACTTTTTCACATCATTTTTTTCTCAGAAGCGTATCTGATGCTCTGATATTCACCCTCCCCCCACGAAAATATCTCCTGTTACTCCCGTATTTCTCCCAAGACACCCTCCAACCGTTCGAGGCCTTACTGACCCGCCGGCATGTCGCTGCTGGAGGCGTCCTCTCCCTCTCCGTCCCTCAGCGTGAACGGCAGGCTCAGCACCCCCTCCAGGTCAGACAGCGGCACCAGAGAGCGGAGGATGGCACGAGCTCGCAGCGACTCGTTCTTTCCCTGCACGCCACATAAAAGAACAGTGGTTACAAAGCTGGCGTATACCGGTAAACGGTGGTCACAAGAATGACACAGATCGGCATCGGCATCGGCATGACACAAATCGGCAAATCCTATAGCGATCATCAAACTAGCCCACTCTGGCAAAACAGTATACTTGGTGCATGGTGCACACATCATTCATTGTGGGAGAGAGCATCCACATCAGTTACTAAAAAATCTCTTTTCCTTTCAACTATACCTACTGGTTTCGTGATAATATAGTCTCGCGTTGTGTATATTTAATCATTTAACTTAGTCATTGATCTTACGGTAGTAGGTCTCACAAATCTTACATCAATCATGAATCATAAATGCAAAATCTTAGCTTTATATTCTTCGGTCCTTTGATTCACACTTAATTCACAACATTTCATTCCAAGTTCCCCATTTCCTCCTCATCTTCGACTTCCCTTATTTTTGGCTTAAGTCTTTTTTCTTGCGGAGGACGGCTCGCGCTATAGAGGCAAGAGTACCGCTAAATACTCGTAAACATTCTCCCCCACCTTGACCTTCTGCACCATGAAGGTCAATATACACAATGAATAGGCACAGTTGCAACTTGCAAGTTCACTCGACCACACCGCCTTGCAGTTCGATAGTGTCGACGCAACAGTATGTTTAAGCCGTCCGTTTCACGGGCAGCCTTACGCCGGGGCAGATTCTAGATGCACCAGCTTCACCACGGGTCTCGTGTAGACCTTCCCTTTGCATTGGACATCTACCACCCTCACATGTCCATCAGCTCCAGGGTGCACCTTGATCACTCTGGCCAGCGGCCACTGACCCCTGGTGACCGATGACTCTGCCATCAGTACCACGTCCCCTACTGCCAGGTCTTCATGGGACGTCCTCCACTTTGTACGAGCTTGTAGCGAAAGCACATATTCTCGTTGCCATCTTTTCCAAAACGCTGCGACCAACTGTTGAACCAGACGCCACCTCTTCAAGTGACCTCTCGCGCCCTCGAGCCCGGTATCCGCTTGCAGCTGAATATGTCCCACCAAGAAGTGTGCAGGAGTCAGAGGCGGCTGATCAGTCGGGTCTGCTGACAGCGGAGTCAGCGGACGCGAGTTCAGAAGAGCCTCAGCGCGACATAAGGCGGACTGTAGCTCTTCATCGGTGATGCTTGTGGTCCGCAGAGTGCTGTACATAGCACGTTTCACGGACTTGATGAGGGATTCATAAACTCCTCCAAAATGAGGCGCAGCGGGAGGGTTGAAGTGCCAGCGGATACCTCTCGTGACTCCTTGCTTGTGGATTTTACGCCTGTCCAGAGCATCTGACGTTTTCCTCAGCTCTTTTTCGGCACTGACAAAGTTCCGGCCATTGTCACTCCAGATGTCCTCAGGAACACCCCTTCTTGAGGTGAATCTGTCCAAGGTGCACAAAAACGAGTCGGTGTCTAAACCATACGCCATTTCCAGGTGCACTGCTCTAGTTTGAAAGCAGGTGAAAAGACAGATGTATCGCTTTGTCTTCACTCTTCCTCTTTCGTTTTTTGTTTCCACTGGCCCAGCGAAGTCTACACCGCAGTGGGAAAATGCTCTGTACGTCGGCTTCAGCTGCTCTTCCTTTATCGGGGCCATTATTTGCGCTCCAGTCTTCTCGCGCCTTCGTTTGCACTCAGGACACGTCCGAATGCATCTCTTGATTTCTTCTCTTGCGCTGACCAACCAAAATGTCTGCCTCAGCTCGGCCAGATTGTGTTCTACCCCGAGCTCGTGGTCGAACTTATCGTGGATATGTCGCACGATGAGCGCAGACACTGCATGCCTCTTCGGGAGAACGTAGGGATGTCTTGCGTTGTACGGTAGATCTGCATGGCCTATCCTGCCTCCCACTCGTATGAGACCATTTTCGTCTATGAACGGGTTCAATCTTTGTAGGCGGCTTTCTTTTCCTCTTCCATCTCGCCGCTTCTTAGCGCGCCCTTGCGTGGTTTCTTCGTTCCTGTGGATTTCGAGCCAGCGACGTTCATCCTCGAAAGCATCTGTCTGTGCTAAACGCACCCAAAATACTTCAGCTGCGGTCACTTCTTCAACAGTCAGCTCGAACATGCTGGAAAGGCTGCTTTGTCCTCCACGTTTTCTGTTGTTCTTCTTCGGCCTGCACTGTTTTTCTGCTTCGAACTTGTGCCGATCCTTTCCTTTTTTCACCCTTTCTCTCAGAATTTGAATGAATCTTTGGATCCATGCTGTCACTCTGACCAGTCTTGTCCAGCTGGAATATCGTTCTGGGCGCAATCGATCCAGCGAGCCTGGTACTGAGCTGCTTGAGGCGAGTGTCTTTTGCTGCTGACGCTCAGAACAGAACTCAGAACTATCGAAGTCCATTCTCGCGAGGACTGGCTGGGGCGGCCAGTCTCCAGTGATAAGGAAGGCCGGGCCCTCCCACCACACTGCTTCGGACATCAGCACGTCCGCTGTGCACCCTCTGGATGCCAGGTCAGCAGGATTGGATGCTCCAGGCACGTGTCGCCACTGGGACGCATCCGTGTCGCTCCGGATCTCAGCAATACGGTTCGCCACGAAAGTCTTAAACCTTCTGGTTTCGTTGCTTATCCAGCACAGGACGTCCGTTGAGTCGGTCCAAAAGGTGACGCTCTTCAGAGGTATCTCCAGAGCTTTACATGTCTTTTTAGCCAGCCGAAGGCCCATAACCGCGCCAATCAGCTCAAGTCGGGGAATGGTTTGTGTTTTCTTCCGCGGAGCTACCCTTGCTTTTGCCATGACAAGTCTGGAAATAATCTGGTTCTTCGTCGTCGTGACCATGTAACACACAGCTCCATAGGCTTTCTCTGAAGCATCCGTGAAGACGTGAAGTCGACTTTCTTTCACCGGACTACCGGGTCCAGCGTCGTGCAAACATCTTGGCATGCACGCCAGACTGAGGTGCATGAGGCTTTTACACCAGTTCATCCACTGACGCCGTATTGGACCGGTGATCTCTTCATCCCACGTCAGCTTCAGATCCCATGTTGACTGAAAAAGAATCTTTGCGACTATGACAAATGGGACCAAAAATCCGAGGGGATCGAAAACTGAGGCGAGCTTCTTCAGACATGATCGTTTGGAGCACATCTGGTTCGGTTGTGTATCGTCCGCTACACTGACGGAGAACACATCTGACTCAGCATTCCACACAACACCCAGCGTCTTGACGCTAGGTAGCTCGTCCTGTTGGAGGTGTACGTGGGCACCAGGTGCTCTCTGGTCCTCTGGGATGGCTTTGAGTACGGACTTGCTATTTGTCAGCCACTTTCTCATCGTCATTCCGGCACCTTGCATGAGTTCATTGAGTTCGCGCTGCGCTTCCAAAGCGATATCTTCGTCTGTAAATGACGCCAATGCATCATCCATATATACGTTGTCCAAGATCACTCGGGAGGCGATCGGGTACTGTTCTTCGTTTTTCTTCGCGTGCTCTCTCATGACGTACTGGGTGCAGAACGGGGCCGCCGCGTTCCCGAACAGCCAGCGTTGTGCTTCGAAGATGTCTGGATGCCGGCTGACGTCGAAGTTTCTCCACAGGACGCGGTGGTACTGACGATCTTCGGGCGGGAGCTCTACTTGCAGAAACATTTCAGCTACGTCTCCCACAAGAGCCACCGAATGTTGTCTGAAGCGTAGCAGGATCTCTGTGAGGTCCGTGTACAGAGAGGGTCCTGGATATATCTCTGAGTTCAGACTTTTCCCCTGGTTCGTCGCAGCCGCGTCATAGACGATACGGAGTTTCGTGGTTGATTTATCTTCTCTCACTACTGGAAAGTGAGGCAGAAACCAACCGCCGCCGCCGCCAGCCATCCACTCTTCGTAACTGTATTTCTTCATGTAGCCCTTTCTCTCATAGTCCTCAAGTATTTGGTTGTATCTTTCGGCAAGGTCACCACCCTTTTTCTTCAGCGAGTTTTCGGTTTTCTCAAGCCGCGAGGCGGCTGTTTCATAGTTACAGTGCAGAGCTGGCCTCCCTCTTCTCCACGGTACTCCGATCTGGTAGCGTCCATCGGAAAACTGCAGACTGGCAGCTGCCTTTTCTTCTGCCATCCTATCTTCGTGTGATGTCGGCGTGCCGTCTTCGTTGTTGCCACCCATCCAGTCTATATCTGACATTTTGTCAAATGCCTGAATGATGTCTTCTTTGTCCAGCTGTGCAGCTTTCGTCCTTAGTGTGCGAGCAAAGTTGGAGATGTTGTTGCCATTTTCTTCTGCATGTCTCATCGGTCCGAACGCCACCCAACCGAGAGGCGTCTTTAGAGCTGCTGGTTCGCCATCTCTACCTTTCCTCGTTTCTTCTGGAACGAACAGACTCAGAGTTTGCGGACTGACTCCTATTAGCATGTCCACACCCTGCCTTCTGGACACATTTGGGAAACTTATATCGCTCAGGTGAGGCCACTTCGTTTTCAGAGCTGCCCAATCAAAGACTTCAGACGTGCTTGCCAGATCTTTCGTAATGAGTGCGGTTATGTCTGCTTTGAACCGGCCATCGGTGCCTTGTATGGACACATTCGTCTTCTTCATGTTCACTGGCTCCTGACCACGAACGGTCGTCAGGTTGAGCACGCACTCCTCACCAGTCACACCAATTTCAGCGGCCGCTGCTTCACTCACGTATGATGCATCCGAGCATGGGTCAAGCAATGCATTTACCACCAGGCTGTGCTTTCCTGCTTGCAGCACCACTGGCACTGTCTGGAAAACCACGGACTGTGTCGGGGATGATGTTGCCAGGGCTCGATTGCTGTGGGAAGTTTCTCTGGGCCCGGCTCCTCGCTGGGGAGAGTTGATGACAGGATCGATCGCTTCTTCTTGCTTGGTGGTGTCTCGATAAGCTGCGTGCAACAAAGAGTGGTGGTTTCCTCTGCAGTCGCCCACTTCGCAGTTCTTAGATGCGGTGCAAGCTCGAGACATGTGCCGTTGTCCTAAACACCGGTAACAGAGACCTTTTTCTCTGCAGACGGCCAGCCTCTGAGGTAAGTTCATGGCATGGAACGTCTGACACTTCTCATGAGTATGCTGGCCACCACATACAGCACACAACAGCTCTGCTCCTCTCGCCTGATATGTTGCTGCTCGTCTTTGGGGAGCTCCAGCTCTTGGCGGTCGTCTTCCTCTCGTCTCAGCTGCTTTCAACGTTTTAACTTCATCCGATAAGAATTTTCTCAAGTCGTCCAGCACCATTGTTTTTCGTCCTAGGTAACGAACGAGATTCTCCTTGGCTTTTACCGGCAGTTTCTCCATCATGACTGGGCACAGCATCCTTTCATATTCGCTGGCATGGACTTCGAGAGCCTCCAGTTCTCTAACATGAGCCTCCAGCTCAGTGCGGAATTCTTCGAGATCGCAGCATGAGTAGGCACCGCACTTCAGGTCCACAAAGGCTAGCATGTGGGCATCAATGATGACGTCTGTGTTTCCATATTTTTCCAGAAGAATATCTACTGCCACAGGATAGTTGTCTGCTGCCACTCTGAGCCCGGTTATGGTCTTCGATGCCGCTCCTTTTAGTTGTGCTCTCAAGTACTGGAACTTCTCTGCGTTGGTTATGTCGTGTCTGTCGTGGACAGCAGATTTAAAAAGGTCCCAGAAGGTGTAGAAATCCATGACATCACCCGAGAATGTTGGAAGCTCCAGCTTTGGCAAATTACTTAGCTGGCGAGGTTGTGTTTCTTTGTTGGGGTTGGTGTTCGTAGGCGGCTGGGGGCTGCTATCGAAACTGGGTTCGCATGCTTTTTTAACTTGCAGCAGCACAAAGTCGTATCGTGCTATACACTCGCCAGCGTCTTGGATCTCTTCAAGTAAATCATCTTCAGCTGCCAACCCCTCGATCTCGTCGTCCAACGTCTTGATTTTTTCTCTCTGTTGCTCTAAACTGGCCGCCTTGACGAGCAGGGTGTCCCTGTCCAGCGACGCCTCACTTAAAAGGCCATCGATATCATCAATAATTCTCTGGCAGTAGGCTCGATGTCCTTGGCGGACTCTCTTCTTTCTTCGGGAAGTATCAGCATTCATTGTGCGCTATTACGTTAATGACTCTTACGCTAATTTGAACTCAATATTAACTAAATATTGAACCCCGCATCTGGGTCACTGGTACCAAATGGTTTCGTGATAATATAGTCTCGCGTTGTGTATATTTAATCATTTAACTTAGTCATTGATCTTACGGTAGTAGGTCTCACAAATCTTAAATCAATCATGAATCATAAATGCAAAATCTTAGCTTTATATTCTTCGGTCCTTTGATTCACACTTAATTCACAACATTTCATTCCAAGTTCCCCATTTCCTCCTCATCTTCGACTTCCCTTATTTTTGGCTTAAGTCTTTTTTCTTGCGGAGGACGGCTCGCGCTATAGAGGCAAGAGTACCGCTAAATACTCGTAAACACCTACTACCAACGTAATTTGACACCTTTCCAAGCACGTCTTCATTACCATCCTTAACTCCGTGATGACGTTACCTGTTCAATGAGGAACTCCTCGGGCGAGGAGCGTCCCATGACGTCCACCAGAGTGCAGTAGAAGTTGAGGATGGCCGCGCCCGTGTTGATATAGTCCTCGTCGTCATCACTGAGCGGCCGCGGGTGGCTGCTGAACGCTCCGCCGTCAGCCTCGACCGCTCCGTTGTTCTGAGCGTCAATACGCTCCGCCATCTGGGGATGAGTGTGAGGTTAGGCAGGGTCAGACGCGAGCTACATATCGGTTACAGACGGGTCACAAGTGTAGAATGGGTCAGCAATGGTAAGATGAACATATCGCTCTTGACTAAAAAAAAAGTTCAAGTGTGTATAAGGACGTGTCTCCTGAGTGCTACCAGAGCATCGATATCTTTTCCCGACTCGACACCCAGTAACCCAATGACGGTGCAGAACTATGAAGCATTGCAGTGAAGCCCACCTTATTAGCCTGGTTGATGGCGTTGAGCAGACTCTCGCCCGATCTCCGTGCAGGACACCCACCTTGTTAGCCTGGTTGATGGCGTTGAGCAGACCCTCTCCCTCTCCGCGCAGGGCCGGACCGAGACACTCGGGCCGCCGGATCAGCAGTCGGATCACCAGGTTGGCGTTCTCCTCAACGCTCTCACCTAGATAAGCGAGCAGGGTGTATAGAGATTATACGCGGATAACCGTTGTCGTCTGGCCTGACGGGCCCAGTTTGACAGCATATACACTACAACAGCTCTCCGATCTTGTTCACCAAATCTCCGAGCGTGAGGATATAGTCGGAACTTTAGCTCGCCGTTCTTCACACCATCACGTCGACATGGGGACACAGTCAAACTTCACGCACAACTGATCGTTTTCATTTATGCTTTCGTCTGGGCGAGGCAGAGATACAAACAAATATGTAGTAATTTAAGTCAAGCGCTAACTGAATACAAATATCAGATCCGAAGTGGAACGGCAGAGGAAGAAGACATTTTCGCCGGATCGGTCAGGCCCGCTGCACCCTGGGTGCAGCGCTGAGGATGAGTTGAAACTGAGACATCACCTCACCTCCGACCCAGACGCAGAAGCGGAGGAAGTCGAGGTAGCGCTCGCCCTCGACCGGGTCCCAGCCGAGGTCCGGGTAGCCCTTGGCCACCAGCTCGCTGTTGGACTGCAGGCCGCAGCGGGACAGGTAGACGGCTATCTTCTCCAAGTAGTGCTCCCTGATGGGCACAGTAACGAGGTGGCAGTGAGGCGGGCGCATGGCCGCAAAGTTACATAGGGCGACATGGATACTTCAACGGGATGTACGGGTCTCCGAAGGCGGTCTGCAAGTCTCAAATGAGCCTTTCAAGTAGCGATGCTGAATGCCAATGCCGCCAGGTCTTTGGCAGACCAGCTCCAATAATAAAAAAAAAACAGTGAGCACGCCACTGCTTTATCACCTGAGCTTTGCTGCCACCGAAACGACAATCACCACCGCAAATATCATGATTCTGAGAGTAAGCATTGGCAAAGATACCGTCACTGCCACTGAGACTGTCACTGCCGTCTGCCACCGTCTGCCACTGACCTGAGCGCCAGCGCCAGCTCCGTGTTGTCCATTAGCGACGAGTAGCTGACATCGAGCGGGGTACTTCCCCGCAGTGACGGCCGCGACAGCAGGATGTTGGAGTTCTCCAACAGGAACTGCAGGTGGTCGAACATGGCCTTCTGGTTCTGACGCGACGTGCGACAGAAGTAGCAGAGGAAGCGGCAGCACGCCACCACCATCTCATGGGACGTGTCCTGAGGCGCGGCCAAGGTCACACACACACACACGCCAAAAGAACACTGCACGAAGGCACACGCAGAAGTATGTAAGTGCACTCGCAAAAGGAGGTAGAACTGAGACCAAGCTGCGGTGTGCATTAGACATCGGGGGTGATTCGTCGGCAGAACACTTTTCAACGCATGTTTTCGTTTGATTTCACTCATTTGAATCGCTTGAAAAAAAATGTGCTAATGTCATCAGGGAAAAAAACGATTTCATCCACCATTAGAGTTCCCTATTCCAGTTTTACTTAGCAAAGACGGAAAGTATCCTCAAGCGATCCAAGTTCGTTTCATTTCGATACGCTTCGTGTTCATTTCGCGAAAGTCCCGAGCGTTGTTTGGACACAAAAAGATCAATGTGTGAAAAATGCATGAATGCTTACATACGTTTGTGGGATAAAGGTTTGGGATATTAGATAATTGTAAAAACAAGTGGCGTTCAGTACCAAAAAGATGTGGGAGGAAAACGAAACAGAACCTTGCGAGAGGACGTTATCATTCCATTGTCTGTCTTTCAGCCGAGGTGTGAAGGTGTGCGGTACTTCGCGAGTCACAATCGTAGCCATCAGATGACATCAGATGTTTGCAAGGGCACATCTCGGGTGTTCATAATATCAAAATGAGTTTTTTTTTCTCCTGGATAACCCTCGATGTCTTCCTATGAACTGACACGTGACAAAACGAAAACAACGATCAACGAGCTCTAGTTGAGCCAGTCTGGAAACTATGACACACAGGACCATTCGGTATTAATGACACCGAATTTACGGACAGAAATAGCACTGAAAACTACACAATTATTTACAAACGCCGGCAAAGGGTGGGCAAAGGTAATCCTCCACTCTTTTCTAAACACGAAACGAAATGCGAATCGTAATAAACGTAGAACGTCACAGAGGCAGGCAAAGTCAAACATCCAAGAGGGCAATAGAGATTTCATGTACTTAAATCGCAAAACGGCTTACAATGTGTAGAAGTAAAAGGGATAGGCGCACCAGTGTATGCTCAGCTGGAAGGCAAAAACAATGGCTTGAAGCTGGAAAAACTTCATTCAAAACATCATGGAGAAAAGAAATTATCGTTGTGAGATATGTAAAATAAATAAAATAGTTCAAGGAGGCATATTTACAAACGGTATGCAAGATATATCGGGTAAGTGATGCTAAAATTAATTTTGCGTGAGAGAGCGACTATTTCTAGGCCTAAGACGCCACATAACTAATTCAAAACATCAAAGACACAGAACAGATTGACAGCCCAAAGGTTTTTGGGTGGCGACTGACGAAGACAATTTCCAAAAATAGCGAACGTAAGCACAAGGGAGCCACGTTGAGGACTGGACGAATATATAGCCCCGTGAGAATCAACTCCGGGTGATCGGACGTACATACACTCACAGTCGCACGCAGAACGGACACATTGGTGGGGTCAGAGCGGCAGCGCGTGCAAAAGCGAGTCTCACCTTCGTTGTTGACATCTGCTCGTGCGCCATCTAAAAACGAAACGGCAGGGTGAAAGGTGAAATAAAAATGATCCAGGTGGAAAATGTACACGAGCAGAGCCGCTGGGTACGGGCCGAGCTCCTATGGGGCGACGGTGGGGAGAAATTAAACCGGCAGACATTAAGAACCAACGAGATGGCTTAGGCGAACAGTGCGCTTCAGCCGGAAAAGGAAAGTAGCGTTTTATGATTGATCACCATAGCCGGGTTTTTCTTTCAATGCAATTTTATTTTGACTGAGGTTCGTTGTTCCTTAATAAGCTCATGCATTAGCTGGCGATCAAGCAATGTGAGGGAGGGGTCAACTACTAAAACCGTTCGGGGCATCATCATGCCTATCGGTATTACTGAGCGAGGAAGAAATGTAGACAAGGTAACCATCACCTGATCATATGAAAGCTAACTTGCTAAATACCGATATTCACTAAGCAATAAAATTGATTTATTATTCACTCATAAAACTCGATAAACGTACGTTTCATGATGAAAATGAACCAATTAAGAATCAATTAAATCAATAAACAGCTGAGCGGTCAGACAGCAACATATCATCATCCAGCACTGGACAGACAAATGTGGGACAAGAACGGGCCTTGGTGTAGGTAGACCGTCCAGTAGGCGTCTAAAAAAATGTACAAAAACGGTAACTAGCTCAGACTAGGACTCTCCTGCCCCGCGTGGTAACGGAAGTAAGTTGCAAAAAGCGAGAAGTAATCAAAGCGACAGAAGCGATAGAAGCAATCCTGAACGAGAATTTCAGGCACGCAAATGGAGCTTTTACAGCATTATTTGTGAGCAGGTAGCATTATTGTGCTGCATTACGCCAATCGTCAAACTGCGATATTTCAAAGCAATACGGTAAGGAAAGTTTCGATTCCGTAGCCAGCTGTTGGCATGGTATGGTAGTGTTCTGTTGTTCCGACAATTATAGGATGCCTTCGTCATTATTTTCATTGAATTCGAAAGTTCTAATTCGTTGGTGACTTGACTTGATATTCATCGAGCGTGGTGGTAACTGGTAGGGTGACCCATAACAAAACTAGTCTGCCATATGACTGTCTGCCGTGATTTAAGTGACCTGCCCGATCTATGTGGCCCATGATCTGTGTAAATCGTGACCTTTATGACCAGTAGCCTGTAACCCATAAAGCAACGATCTGTGGAAACGACCTGCGACCTGTGTGACCGACCTACATCCTTCCTGTATGACCCGTCACCTTGCTCGACTCATGACCCGTGTGACTTTTGTTTTGCATGACCCGTGTACCGTGTAGGCGTCCAGTGAATCTCGTGTCCTATATGACTTGCGCCCTCTGTGCCCCGTGTCCCTGCTCCCGAATGCGTTTGCGCACCTTACTCTCCGCCTCATTGCTGGCCGACTCGTTCTCGGCCTGCGAGCGACGGGCCAGAGTGTTCATCATGATGGCCATGACGTTCTCGTGGATGCGCAGGATCCGCACTAAATCCGGGTGCTGGAAGAACACGTGGTTGTTCACCAGAGACCTGAAGAAAGACGGGGAGTGGCACGCGTTATTGGTTGATATCACAAAGATCAATAAAGGCAACCCTGACATGGAGACCAAAATTGTAATGGCAGCATGTAGTTGCAGTTGACCATCGCACGATACCTATCAGATTATCAACTGGATTAAATGTGGAACGGGTACGATATTACTTTGCAATATCACTTGTTATGCACAAACTTCCGAGATGATAAAACAAACACAAAGAGGCATAGGGAACGTTATGAAGAAAAAGGTTATCTCACGGACTTGTACTCGAGCGACGAGCCAACATTCATACACGAAGTTACTTCCATTCGCTATTCTTATCTTACCTTCTGTGATTTGAGTTCATGCTGATTTATATAATTAATTAGTTACACACTTATTTATCTATGGTTGAATCATTAGCATGTCGGTTTGTAAAATAAACGTTTGACGAGTATTAGGTACTCCAACATTCTGACATTTCTCGCTCCAACTCGGAGCTGGCGCGCCCGGCGCCTTGCAGCTGACGTGCAGCGGTTATCCAGCCCCAGCCAGGCTCGGCCGCCGCCGCCGCCGCCGCCTCACGGCCAACGTCAGTGACCACGGCCGCTGCCGCTGTCTCGCTAGTTATGGGCATCTACTAGCCGATCATGAATTTGGTGGCGCAAAGCGGCGGCGGCCGCGGCGCTCGGGCGGCGGCGGCTCGGCCGGCCGCCGGCGGCTCGTGGCCATGAAACTCGTGCAGCCGTTGGTCGGACCGGCCGGTCACGTGCGGGAGGCGGAGCTTCGGACGGCGGCGGCGGCCGGTGCACCGACTCTGCACTGACCGCTGCCGCAGCGAGCCGTCTCTCACGACATATATTGGCCACGGCATGGAATTCTTTAGAGTTAAAATACAGACATCAGCAAGCAGACTTCAAGCTGGGGCATGAGCCGAGTCGAAAGTGGTAGCAATTAAAATCAGGTTCAGTAATTCGAAACTTGACAGTTTTGTTGAAGCAAGTTTGAACGTTCTAGCCCTTCGGAGATGTTGGCCTTCGTTTCATTCACCCGTCATCCTCTAAATTACCTAAAAATAGCATTAAAAGGTAAGAGAAATTCCAGCTTGCAACTGCTTCAGTAATCAACTAACTATTCATAGAAAAGAGACTGCCACTGTAACTCGAGCTTTCCAAATCGCAGAATCTATAATAAATATTATAAAAACGCCAAAATTACAGAAAAGATTGCCTTCCGAAAATAGTCAGTACTTTCTACCCGCTACCGTTATTACAAGGAATTTTAATCGCCCGTGTGGTTTGCCCGTTCTAATCTCTTCCCTGTCGTGCTCTGTCCGACAGCAACACGGCTCTCCACTCCTCAGCCACCGTCCAGTCACGGTCCGGTCACTACATAGGAACCCTCTGTCACCCTTCAGCGGAGCCCGTCTGCACACCCTGCAGACACCCCACCTCTCCCCTCTCTCCTCCCGTCTCTCCTTCTCCGGCCAGTGCAAGTACCGTGCGTGCACCGTCCTCCCTTCCTCACTCCCCTGACCGCTCAGCCGCCGCGCTATTGCCGGACCGGGCGACCTTGGCACACACAGACCGGGGCGCCGCACCGGTCGGCGTGCACGGTGCAGGACCCTGGAGAACGGTAACGAGCCAGCCACCGTCTCCGGTCCCGTCATCATTTATTACGGTTATGCATTCTAGTTCAATACTTTGGCCTCTATATAGCAATTGAATATTTTTGTAGTTGCAAATATTCATAGTCATCCGGGAGACAAAGTGGCCAAATTTGGCTGCATCAATTAGTTTATGTATTAAAAGTGATGCCACGGATGAGGTATGCCGAAAAGGTAGAGCCTGTGAGTACGTTTTGCGGTAAGCAAGTACGATGTGGAACTGGACGTGAACCATGATTGTCATATATCACGGTTCTGGGTTCTGTATTTGAGTCGCGACTGACCAGAGCAGCTTCCTGACGAGCTCCTCCTCCTCCGGCGACATCTGGACGGGCAGCAGGGCGCGGATCTTGGAGAGGAAGTTCCACAGGGACGCCACCTCCACGCTCGTCTTGGCGTTGATGACGTACGTCTTCTCCAGAGCCTTCATCAGTTCGCCGACGGCGTTATACTGGCGCAGGAGCAGTCTGTAACAGAGACGAACGGACAACGGTAAATGCTAAGCACTGTTCAACGGTTAAATACATCCGCGAAAGTAAAAAGAAAAAATGAAGGAACTCGACGAGTTAAAAACACACATAAGTCTACACAATTCAACGACAAAATTGTCATCGTCGATCATCAAAAATAACCGAGCTTCGAATCATAAGAAAAAAGCTAAATGATTCATTTATGATATAGTTACCCCGAACGATGCAGTTATTACGAGCGCTCATAATGCTGTTGCACAACCCCGTCACTCACGTAACTACATACCTGAACATCTCTCGGATCAGTTTGGAGTCCTCGATGAAGCTCTCCTCTGCCCAGCGGACGATGGTGGGCACCAGGACGCGTCGGAACTTGTCCTCGGGGCTCTGTTCCTCCTCCTCATCGGCAGCGGCGGCCGCCTCGGCCTGCTTCACCATACCGATGACGGAGAGGAAGGTGGAGCTCATCGACTTGGGCTGGTTGCTCTCCGCCTGAGGGTGGAAACGCGACATGTGGGGTTAGAGACTAGGGAAGGAAAATGACACTGCGGTCTTGCACACGTCCATCGCTAGATAATGCTGAATGCGCTGAAAGACGATCACTTAAAGACCTGACCGCAGGCTTGATGATCATTCCACATTGATTCTCGTTTGCAGTAAGGATATGCAAGGCGCAAGCTGAGATTTAATTTACTGGCTTCAAAATACGTGAGATAAATAAAGTGCGCTTTCTTACGTCCTCTGCTCCCTCCTCCTCGGCGGTGACGATGGAGATTTTCTTCATCAGTACGTCGTGGAAATCCTTCATCTGCTGGATCAGATCGTCACCGACCGATACGTCGTCCGGGTCGATGTTCTCCAGGTTCTTGAAGCTCAGAATCGAATTCATCTGTCGGGGACAACCGCATCATAGGTCACACTTGTCCCATATAAGAGGCACAAGCATGAACAGTAAGTATTGTGAGCTGTGCCTAGGAACGGGAAAGGCTCTGAGCAGAAGAAAAAAAACGTTTTAATTCTTCAAATAAAGGACAAACAGGTCTCATCATACACGGACTGACCTGCTCGGCAGCGAATCCTCCATCCTCAGTCTGTACTGACCTGTTCGCGGGGCGGACAGCGGAACTCCTTGGTCTTGCGCGCAGTGACTGAGGACGGCAGCTCAGACTGTTTGATGTCCACATAGCGTCGCAGCTGATCCCTCTGCAGCTCGCCCACGTAGTCGTGGCTAACGGAGCAGAGACATGGTGTTAGTGGTGGCGAGTCGGTGAATGTGTAATGCCGGTGGTAAGAAGGACAACTGGCAAAGGCGTCCTATTCCTAGACCGGTATTGGTCTAGTGATTGACATGAACCGTACGGTAAGGCTTTCTCTCGCAGTCAAGATCTTATTATGATACTATATAATTGTAGTGCGCTCATTGAAGCTGTGATGGTTTGATATTTTTTGCTCACAACGTGCAAAATACGCACATAAACGAACCATATGCCTGAAAACCTATTCACAAGCGTTATCTAAACCAGTGCGATTTCGGCATCTAACCTGAAGGCCACGATGCTCTCGACCCTGTGTCGCAGCTGGATGTCGTAGAGATGGTGCAGCAGGTAGCAGATCTGCAGCTTGCAGCCCTCAGCCATCTTTATCTGCAGCAGACCACGCCTGCAAGGACCGCGGTCAGTCAGTTACCGTCGGTTTGTAGTCAGAGGCATCAAAGAACCGTAAGGAAACAAAGTACAGAGCATACGAGAAACTACGCGACCGGGCTAGTCCCTAAAATCATCCATTATTGTCAACGACTCCCCTCCCATGTCACAATGATGACCGATACTGACCTGTGCTGGTCTTTTCCCTCGGGATCGAAGGTCGGGTCCCAGGAGGCGTGGTCAATCATCACCAGCAGATCCTGAATGTCCTCGTCTCGCAGGTATCCGATCAGCAGCAGTCTGTCACAGAGCTTCAGCAGCGGCCTGCGGGATTGCACGAGCGTAATTAAAAGTGCGTTAACTAGCCGGAATAGAGGTTAAATCCGTTTTGGTTCATGAAAATGCCCGAGTAACTAGGCTTACAACGAGTTTACAATTAAAATCGTCAGGCTTTAGAATATGTATGCGACATGTATCGTAGGGGTAATATGCAAACACAACTAAATACACAACTTTAACCCGCGCCCGGCTGGGGGTCCTGGATTTCCACGCCCTGCTGGGGGGGGGGGGGTGTTTGAACACCCCCCCCCCTTGTAACTCGGCTCCTGGGCCACGTAGCGATACGCGGAAGGCGGCGTTCGAAAGAGCGTCAAAAATAATGACGAAATCACTTCGGTCAATTTTTTGGTCAGGTCAAAGGTCAGGTCACCAGAGGTCATTGAAGGCAAAATTTCGCCGATTTCCAGGTCGAATGGCGAAAATTTCCAAGAAGCCAACGCATAACTCGGGAACCAATAGAGCTACAGCGCCGCAGAAAAGCGCATTCGATAGCCCTATTAACGCCCTTTCTGAGTTATTCTCTCAGATTTGACCTAACGTCAACGGTTTTGCCTGCAGGGGGCAAAAACTGCAAAAATAGCCGATTTTTTTTAAAAAGTTTTTCTGCAATAACTTTTGACCCAAGCCCTGTACGAGCTTACTTTTACCGGCATCGTGTTCCTCTCGTCAAGACGCATCGAATGAACTATAACTTGACCTTGAAAGGTCAACTTGAAAATTTGACCTCAGGTCAAGGTCATGACCTGACCGGAAAGGGTCATGTTGCATATCAGTCGATCCGTATCGTCGAGCTGAACACATCTAAGGCGTTTTCATCGCTCTAGCATGCCTCTATCAAAAGTTATTTGCGAAAAACTGTTAGATACCATTCGTGACCTAAGATGACCTCAGGGCATAAACAAGGGTCACGGACACCATTTTCATGTTCAGTGTGTCTAAACCACTTGAAATTCGGTGTTTGGGAGTGTTTATAATGTCTTTCATCCAAAAGAGGCGCATTTCAATTTTCTCCCATTGACTTATAATGGGGAGGTCGCAAAATTGACCTGACCTTAGGTCATCGATATCAAAATTCTGAGATATACATTTTGTACATGCTATTGCTCTTAGCAATCGCTGAAAGTTTCAAAGCGATCGGTCACTCGGTGTAGCTATGACAGACATTGAAACTTTTTATGAGGTGAGGTCACTTCAAGTGACCTGGTGACCTGACCTTGAATGGCCTTGGTCTGAAATTTTCACAACATGTGTAGAATTGATTATGATAAGGTGTACCAAAAACGGCGGCGCTCCGCGCCGCCGTTTTTGAGATATTCGCGAAAAACCACAAGGGGGGGGGGTGTTCAAACACCCCCCCCCCCCCAGCAGGGCGCGGGTTAAGCATCGCAATTTATTATTTTATGACCGGTTGGAAAAGGACAGAATGGACAAAATAAATAGCCTTTGGTAAACGACAAAATTAGGCGAGCATAAAGCGCAACAATAATATTTCGTCCGTCTTGCCTCTCTAGCTTACTCCCTCCTTCCCTCCCAGTGATCCGACCGTGCCGCCCGTTACTCACACGAACAGTGTCTCGTTGGACCCGCCGATTGAGTCCCGGGTGTGCACCTGGTTCTTGACGTAGGCGTCCTTCAGAGCCTCCATTACAAACACGCGCACCGTCTCAAAGTCGAAATACGGGATCGCCAGCTCGTTCACTTTCTCTGAAAATTTACCGTGAATGGTAAGGCACTAAGCTTCGTCATTCTATCTTTGAAAAGGAAAATATGAATATATACATAACGCACCACCACATAAATTCACACCTAATATTCGATCACCTCAGCACAAGCTGGCATCTTGCTTGCCTACCTCTTAATTTGCCCCTTCAATTTAACGCACTGCACAGCATCTATCGAAGAAATAACAGCGAAACTGGCACACACACTGTCTCCTACCGGTGTATGGTACCTACAGACAAGCACGGCGTGTACCTACACGCCTACGATTGTGATACTAAAGCTATACCACCTAACGTTTTATAACAATGTCCATCTTAATTAATACTACGGCGATATCGATGCTTTGCTACGTACCGCTGGTGTCTGTGACGGGCAGTGTTACACCTACCGCTGGTGTCTGTGACGGGCAGTGTGGCCATGGCCGGCTGGACGGACATGGTTGTCTGGACACTCAGACTGTGAGCCATGCCCGGCTCGTCGTACAGCTGCTTCAGCTCGGGACCCAGCGGGATCACGTACTCGTTGCTGGTCACCTCCCTGGGGGAGAGTAGAGGGCGCGGGTCAAAGCTCACTTTGGAGTTAACTTGCAGATTGGTCGGGTCATTAGGTCAGCTTACTAGGGAATACAGTTCAGGGGTGAGAGGGAGGTCACAACTAGGAGGCAGGTCACCGATCATCTCCCTTGGGGCGGAGGGCGCGGATGAAAGGTCAGCTTTACTGGGAGCAAGGCACAGATTAGCTCACTGGGGAGAAGGTTAGATTCACCTCACTGGGCGAACTAGGTCAGATAACAGGTCTCGATCTGGACAGATGTATGTTGTAACTTTCCCTTAGGAAACAGGCCATCAGGGACGATGAAGTTCCATGTATAAACGTAAATCTCCATGGATAAACAAACGAACAATTGATATGACAATCGAAAATCGCTTTCTCCTATAACGAGCCTTCCACATGACTCAGCCAGCATCCAAATGACGATCCGACAATCGAGCGGTCAGTCCATTCCTCCCGGCCACCACTCACATGGTATTGGCGTGCGACTCCATATGCACGGCGATGAGCAGGTCGTAGAATCCGCGCCGCAGCGGGCCCGACATGTACTCGGCCCGGATGGCATAGAGCAGCTGTTTGTCGTCCACGTGGTGACAGAGGATGTGGGCACCGCGGTAGTTGGACTGGAAACACACTGCGCAGTACAGCTCCAGCGTGTGCGCGTGGAAACTGGCGGACAGACGGGGAGGGCAGGGCCAGACGGTCAGGTACGGAGCAGCCGGCTGGTATGTTGTTGGTTATCGCTTTGGGAGTAACAATACACGTAAATTTCGCAAGACGCGGCAAGACTAGTTATGGACCCCGACAAGCAAGAAATGTAAGTTTTATGATATTAGAATACACTGCACGCCTGCGGAACTACTTATGTCCGAGAACTCGATTTTTTATACATTCTCTGCCGGTATTTATATTGAAGATCCAGCACGTATTTCAAAATCCACCAGCCTGATACTCCAAACACTGGCAGCCGATATCCGCACCTTCCTTGAGCCGCAGCAAGTACCGTACCTGAGCAGTCGTTCGTGCTCGATCAGCTCCAGTATATCGATGCAGCGGTCCTCCTCGGGTATATGCAGCGCCAGCATGGGCACCGGGTCCTCGCAGTAGATGGACCAGCCGCGGATATCGGAGAGCTTCAGCGCGTGAACGCGCAGGCTCTGGTTGGGTACGCGCGCCCACTGGTGCGGCTTCAGCAGCTGGAACTTGAGACGAGGCGGGAACTGCGCGAACAGACGACAGTGAGTCAGAGAAGGTCGTCTGGTGAATTTTGCGTATTCAAGATAGCAAAAAATGTAGTAGAATGAGCTAAACACTTAACAGCATAGAACGTTTTAGTAGTTAGGATAGGCTAAGCATAGGGCTAAAGCCGTAATGAACGCTACTCAGTGGCAAAGATGTTACACAGAGTTACACCATTCAACGGTCAGCACCCGGCTCTTGGTACCCGTTCTACCGGTGCTCCCTGCCCAGTGCCCAGTACTCGGTCTGTACTCGCCTGCGGCACTACGTGTTTCTCAGAGCTCTGCAGCACGGCGGCGGAGAGCGGCAGGGAGGTGGGCGTTCTGCCGAGCTCGATCTGCAGCACGTCCTTACTGGTGGCCTCGACAAACACGGCCGGGAACAGCTTCACGCCCGGCTCCATCTGAACACAGAACGGAGAAGGAAGAATAGTCAGACACTTCATTTACAAAGAGCGGGAAAAAAACAGAGGTGGGCGTCATAGCTAGTATAATGGCAACGCCTGCTTCAGTTGCACTGGTAGGGGAGGGCTGACGTCAGTCATATGAGCCATGAAGCTATAATAAAGTATGATGCTGAGTTGACAACGCTTCCTTTGAACCTGACTCGAGTGCTTATATTGATGTTTAAATCGGATATTGGTGTCTCGGAGATGGACGTAAACCTGACGTTGGTCTTCCGTTGCCTACCTTGAACCTGATATTGGTCTCTACAGTCTCACCTTGAACCTGATGTTGGTCTCCTTGCCCTCGCATGTGAAGGCGATGACGCCGGTCGAGGTATCGATGAAGCAGCCGATCGACATGCCCTGCGAGGCGCCCTTGCCCGACGCGTCGGCCGAGACCTCCGAGAGCAGGTCGTCGGCCCGCACCATGTAGCAGCTGTGGCGGTCCACACTGGAGGCACACAAACACACATGCGGTCTCAGAAGGAGTCTCTCCAGCGCCAACAGGCCATGGAGAAATATAACAGACAATACACCAGTCATCCCTGACCAGCTCCACGACCTCATGAGTAAGTCTTAACGACCTCATAAGTAAGTCAGACACAGAGCGTCATATAAGATAAAAATACGAATCTACTTTCAAAAGGCATATTCAATTTCTAATTTACCCGTTCCATCGTCCCATAGCGCTTTAGCTGACCAACGCAGTCACCCACCTGTCGCCGAACTGTCCGTATCCATCCGTATGCGCCACGGTGACCTTCCTGACAGCCTGCTGGCTGAACGTGGTGCCGTGGATGTGGTACTGAGTCGTCACCCAGCCGACGTACACATGCGCCGGGTCCTGGCCGGGGAAGATGCGCACGCCGTAGTAGTACTCGTTGATGAGTCGCAGACACTCGGCGTCGAAGGCGTTGCCGATGTCGTCTCCTGCCGGCTCTCCGTCCGGCTGCTGGGCGTTGGCTACCGACAGACGCTGACGGGAGAGCCGGTCGGGGATCTGCGGCGGCATCAGACGCATGTCCGCCTGCAACGGAGCGGTCGCAGAAAGGTCGGTCAGGCTGGCGGCGTAGTTACTGGAACGATCATCGGTCATGGAAATGAGTAATGACCATGGTCACTCGCACCCAGGTTACGATCATGATATGGCATTGATAAAACCATATCACTGGGCTCAGAAAATGATGTCATACTTTTGCTCCACATGGTTTTACGCACGTGATCCGCTCCTTATTTCCAGTTGCGAGTCCTCTCCCTTATCCCTTTATGTCCCTCTCATGCATCCCATCCCACTAATCCCTTCTAAGTCCCACCCGTTCCGTGTCGGTCACCTGGGACAGTCGGACGGCTGATCCACCAGCGCCGAGAGCTCCCAGCGGCGGCCGCTCTCCAGGCAGCTCCAGGGTGGGGATCACCCGGTCCTGACTCTTGCCTCGCTTCCCACCGACACGATCCGTGCTCTGGTCACGCTTCTTGAAGAACCTGCGGCAAAGGAGAGGGAGTCAGTGGAAAGTGAGGTTCAGAGCCCGGTTGGTCTTCCGGCTTTGGATCTCCGTCCACCCAGAACGGTGTCTCAATGGAGGATGGGCTCAGTCGATGATTACAGGTATAAGAAAAGGCAGTATCAGTGTCCTATTAATAGGCTCTGATAACACAAGTGATGGGTACAGACCGAGCGCCTAGACGTTTTCTGCCTCAGTGAAACCTGGCTACCCGAAACAATGGACAGCAACACTCTTCTGTTCCCCGGGTACGCCATCGCCAGGAAGGACCGCAGCGGCCGCACCGGGGGCGGCGTGGCCATCATCTACAGGAGCGGCCTCACTGCCGAGCGGCTGACAGTTCCTAGCGCCGGCTCTGCGCTCGAATCCCTGTGGCTGCAGCTGACTGGCCGAAGACAGATCGTCATTGGCGCCATCTATCGACCGCCGGGAGAATCACCCGTACCTGCCGTCGACGATCTCCACGCTCAACTCCTGCACATCATGGCGAAAGGCAGACCGGCGTATATTCTTGGCGACACCAACTTCGACATCCTGCGGCCGTCCAAAGCGGGCGTGACAGCGTACCTGCAGCTGCTGAGTAACCTCTCGCTTAGCCAGCTCATTACCGCCCCTACTCGCCCCGGACCGAACCCGACCCTGATTGACCACATCATAACAAGCCATCCTGATCTCGCCACGGATGCACGCGTGGTCAAGTGCAACATAAGTGACCACGATCTGATCACCGCATCTGTCGCCGGCGTGAAGACCCGTGAACAGCCGACGACAATCACCGTGCGCTCCACGAGGGACCTGTAGTGCACCGCCGCACGTTCTCCGACGCGGCGCGGCACTACCGCCGCTGGCGACTGGCGAGCGCTCCGACGCGGGGCGGCGCCACCGTCGACCTCAACGTGGCGCTGCTGTCGCAGCTGACGCGAGGCGCAGGTTCAGCGATATCCGCCAGATGGCTCTGCTCCACTTGTTCATTTTCTATGTCCGATTTATTAATGTTTTAGAAATGTATGTTCATGTGTATGTATCATAATGTTCATCGTCGTGTGGGCATTCACGCACTCTTCTAGAAAGTATCTCTCGCTCTGATATACGTTTTCTCACTGCTTTGTACTGTCCTTAACTTTGCCAAAACGAACTATGGTTTCATCGTTGTGTTCACTACATAGCTTGCTCATGCTGTTTCAAATACATCGCTATCCTTGGCCGATCTAAGTGTTTGGGGGAGACGGCTCCACATCAGGGAACTTCCCAGCCCGTCGTTGTGTGGAATCCCAAGTTGCGAATCCCAAACACTGGAACGGCTTCATCCGGCTTAGAGCACGACTCGCCACGGCACCAGCCACAAATGGTGACCCCGACGTGATCGGTAGCTCAAGAAGTCATCGTCTCCGCCTCGGCAAGAAGAGGTCATCTTTGACCTGGCCTCCCCATCGCCTCGGCAAGAATGGGTGATCTTCACCCGGCTTCCGCTGCCGCGAACAGTGAATAGTGCGCTGGTGACGTGGCCTAGCCTCAGCGCAACGAGCGCCCAACGCAGTGCAGCGCAGCGAGCGCCAACGCAGTGCAGCGCAGCGAGCGCCAACGCAGTGCAGCGCAGCGAGCGCCAACGCAGTGCAGCGCAGCGAGCGCCAACGCAGTGCAGCGCAGCGAGCGCCAGCACAGCGAGCGCGGCGAGCGCCTAGTGATTACCGACAGTCTTTCAGTGTGCCTCTAGTGTTAGTGTTTGCCGTATATAGTGACTATGCCGTCACCCATCGAGCCGGAGGGTGCCGCCCAGGACGCGCCGACGCGGCCATTCGCGTCGTTCCGCCTGCCGGCCTACGCACCTGAAGAAGCCGAGCTCTGGCTGGTGCAGGTCGAGTGTGCCTTCGCCGTCGCCGGCATCACGGATGACCACGACAAGTTCCGGCTGCTGGTGGCCAACCTGCCTGTGCATGTCGCTTCACAAGTTCGAGACGTGATAACAGCCGAGACCGGCTCGTTCTCAGAACTTAAAGGGGCCCTGAGCACGCGCCTGGCCCAGTCGCGCGCCTCACGCCTCGAGGCACTCCTCCGCGACCACCAGCTGGGCGACAGGAGGCCCACGCAGCTGTTGCGCAGCATGCAGCACATGCTGGGCAGCGCGGGCCACGACCTCGGCCTTCTCAGGACGCTGTTCCTGCAGCGCCTGCCGCCGACGACCCGCGCCGCCCTCGCGCTGCTGCCGGAGGACACTGGCATCGACGACCTGGCCAGCGCGGCCGACCGCTTCCAGGAGGCCTCTGGCGGCGCCGCCGTGACTGCTGTCTGCACGCCAACGGCCGGTGTCGCTGCCGCCTGTGGCCCGCCGGCCGGCCCTGGGGTCACGCTCGCCCCGCCGGCCAGCGCAGTGGCCGCCGCCGGACCGCCCGCCGCCTGCGGGTGCGGTAACTCCGGCATGGCCGCTGCCGTCACCGCCCTCACCGCTGCGGTAGCACGCATCGAGGCCGTGTTCCAGCGGGGCGGTGCCGACGCTCCTCGGCGTGGCCGCTCCCGCTCCCGTCCGCGCCGACCCGCACCTGCCTCGTCTGGCAGCTCTCAACCGGCATCGGTGACACCTGATGAAGGGTACTGCTGGTACCACCAGAAGTACGGCGCGGAGGCCCACCGCTGCAGACCGCCGTGCTCCTGGTCGGGAAACTAGCCCGCCTGTCCGCGCTAGCGCCAGCGGAGACGGGCCGGCCAACACTGGCGCCCCTCTTCTATGTCACCGACCTTGCCCGGAACTGGCGGTTCCTCGTTGACACTGGCGCACAGGTGAGTGTCGTCCCACCACGAGTCGTGGCCGACGGCACCACCGTGCAGCAGCCCGACGCGCCTCGACTGGAAGCAGCCAACGGCACAGAGATCAAGCTCCATGGCGTTATTTCGACTTCGGTGCGTTTTGGAACAGTGGACTACCCGTGGACATTCATGGTCGCTGACGTATCGATGCCGATCTTGGGAGCGGACTTTCTCGCCCATCATCGTCTGCTGGTGGACATGCGCCGTCAGCTCCTCCAGGCTGAACACGGCACGACGTGCGCCGTGGGCACCCGAGCCGACATCGGCTCCGTCGGTGTGCGCATGTGCGCGGCGCCCACTCTCGCAGACTTCTTTAAAGAGTTCCCTCGAGTGACGGCCACATCTGCGCAACTCCTGCCCGTGCGCCATAACGTCACTCACCACATCGTGACACGTGGACCTCCTCGTGTGGGGCACCCTCGGCGTTTGCCACCCGACCGACTCCGCATCGCCCGTCAGGAGTTCGACAAGCTGATCAGCCTCGGGGTCGCCCGCCCATCCAAGAGCAGCTGGGCGTCGCCCCTCCACATGGAGCCTAAGAAGGAGCCCGGACAGTGGCGCCCGTGCGGCGACTACCGCGCCCTGAACGCCGCCACCGTCCCGAACCGGTATCCCATACCGTTCCTGCAGGACTTCTCCGCGAACCTGCACGGCTGTACCATCTTCTCGAAGATCGACCTCGTCCGCGCGTACCATCAGATCCCGGTCGAACCCGCTGACATCCCGAAGACGGCCATCGTCACACCGTTCGGGCTATTCGAGATGCAGCGGATGAGCTTCGGTCTTCGCAACGCCAGTCAGACATTCCAGCGCTTCATGGACGAGGTGATGCGCGGGCTGACGTGCTGCTTCGTGTACATCGACGACATCCTCATCGCCAGCACGTCCGTCGAGCAGCACCGCCGTCACCTCCGTCAGGTACTGGAACGTCTCGACCAGTTCGGCGTCACCATCAACCCAAAGAAGTGCGTGCTGGGCGTCAACCGTATCAGCTTCCTCGGTCACGATGTGTCCCCGGACGGCATCGCCCCGCTGCCGGAGAAGGTCGCCGCAGTCCAGGAGTTTCCGCAGCCGACCACGCAACGCCAACTGCGTAGGTTCATCGGCCTGGTGACCTACTATCACCGGTTCCTGCCTGGTGCTGCCGGCCTCCTCCGACCGCTTCACCACCTGCTGGACCAGAAACGCAAACGCGCGGCGCCGGTGGAGTGGACGCCAACCGCTGAGGACGCCTTCCAACGCGTGAAGGCTGCCCTGGCTCAGGCCACGCAGCTCGCGCACCCCACTCCCGGCGCAGCGCTGAGTCTGCAGGTCGATGCCTCTGACACCGGCGTCGGCGCTGTCCTGCAGCAACACTCGCACGGGACCTGGACGCCGCTGGCTTTCTTCTCGAAGTCACTCCAACCAGCAGAGACACGCTACAGCACCTTCGGCCGCGAACTGCTCGGGGCGTATCTGGCGGTCAAGCACTTCCGGCACACTCTGGAAGGCCGCCAGTTCGCCATCTTCACCGACCACAAGGCCCTCGTGTCGGCAGTCTCGTCTGGGTCAGCCAGCTACTCGCCGAGGGAGATCCGGCACCTGGACTTCATCTCCCAGTTCACCACCGACATCAGGCACGTGCCTGGAAAAGAAAACGCAGCTGCGGACGCTCTGAGTCGAACAGTGGCGATGCTCTCAGCACCGTGCCCGCCAGTCGACAACTTCGACGAGCTCGCAGCCTGCCAGCAAGAGGACGAAGAGCTGGCGCGCTTCCGCTCGACAGAGCACGGGCTCAAACTCAGAGACGCCCGGCTCCCCAGCGGCCGCACGCTGGTCATCGACGAGTCCCAGGGTGTACCGCGGCCGTGGATCCCGGCACCGCTCCGGCGCGCCTACTTCCGGCACGTGCACGATCTGGCCCACCCGGGAGTGCGCGCCACCGTCGACCTGGTCACGCGGCGTTTCGTGTGGCCGTCGGTGAAGAAGGACGCCGCACTCTGGGCGCGCACCTGCGTCCCGTGCCAGCGCACCAAAGTCCACCGGCACACGACAGCGCCGCCCGCCTCGTTCCCGCCACCTGCCGACAGGTTTCGACAAGTGCACGCCGACCTGGTCGGCCCGCTGCCGCCGTCTGAGGGCTACTCGTATCTTCTGACGGTGGTGGACCGGTACAGCCGCTGGCCGGAGGCGATCCCGCTGCGTGGCATCACGGCGCGAGAGGTCGCCCGGGCGCTGATCTCCGGCTGGATCTCTCGGTTCGGCGTCCCGGACGAGATCATCACCGACCGGGGCAGCCAATTCGAGTCGGCGCTCTGGGCTGAGCTGTCCACTCTCCTGGGCTGCGCGCGGCGCCGGACCACCGCGTACCACCCCCAGGCCAACGGGATGGTGGAGCGCCTGCACCGGCAGCTTAAGGCCGCGCTGCGCGCCGCCGCGCCTGCCCGCTGGACGGAGGCTCTTCCTTTGGCGCTGCTCGGAATCCGCTCGGCGCTCAAACAAGACCTGGGCTGCAGCACTGCCGAGCTGGTGTACGGAGCGCCGCTCCGCCTACCTGGTGAACTCATCACCCCGTCCGCCACCGCGCCTCCTACGCCGGAATCATTCGCCGCCGAGCTTCAGCGCACCATGGCGGCACTGCGCCCGACGGCACCACGACCAGCACCAAGCGCGCCGTCGTACGTGCCGCGCGCGCTGGACCACGCCTCGCACGTGTTCGTGCGCCACGACGCAGTGAAGCCGCCGCTTGCACCGCGTTATGACGGACCATACAAGGTGCTACACAGATCGGCGAAGACGGTCACTGTGGACCGAGGCGGTCGTTCCGACGTTATCTCCATCGACCGAGTCAAACCGGCGCACTTGGAACGGCCCCCGCCTGCTCCAACTCCGACAGCATCGCCGTCTGCGGTCCAAGACACGGCGCGTTCCGCCGACTCGGCAACACCGGCCTCCGGCCCAGAGCTCCTCCTGCCAGCGCCTCGCGCACCGAAGCCACCGCTTCCGCCACCGCGTGGCGACCTGCCGCTACAGCCGCCGCCTCCGCCCGCGCCCCCGCCGCCGTGCCTCCGGACGACCCGCTCCGGCCGTGCTGTACGGCCACCAACGCGTTTTCTTAACGTCACGTTCGCAGTGCCGTCTCTAGGGGGAGGGTGATGTAGTGCACCGCCGCACGTTCTCCGACGCGGCGCGGCACTACCGCCGCTGGCGACTGGCGAGCGCTCCGACGCGGGGCGGCGCCACCGTCGACCTCAACGTGGCGCTGCTGTCGCAGCTGACGCGAGGCGCAGGTTCAGCGATATCCGCCAGATGGCTCTGCTCCACTTGTTCATTTTCTATGTCCGATTTATTAATGTTTTAGAAATGTATGTTCATGTGTATGTATCATAATGTTCATCGTCGTGTGGGCATTCACGCACTCTTCTAGAAAGTATCTCTCGCTCTGATATACGTTTTCTCACTGCTTTGTACTGTCCTTAACTTTGCCAAAACGAACTATGGTTTCATCGTTGTGTTCACTACATAGCTTGCTCATGCTGTTTCAAATACATCGCTATCCTTGGCCGATCTAAGTGTTTGGGGGAGACGGCTCCACATCAGGGAACTTCCCAGCCCGTCGTTGTGTGGAATCCCAAGTTGCGAATCCCAAACACTGGAACGGCTTCATCCGGCTTAGAGCACGACTCGCCACGGCACCAGCCACAGACCTTAACCAGGACGCGCTCTGTTTGGAGCTGCTCGTCGCGGATTGGTCCGCTCTCTATCAGGCTGACAGCACGGCTGATAAGTGGTCCGCGTGGATGGCAATCTGGAGACCGATAATCGACCGTCATATGCCGCTCAAACAGCTGAAGTTGCGCCACAAGTCCCAGCCGTGGCTTTATGACGATGGAGTGAAAGAGGCCTTGGAGGCACGAGACAGAGCACGGGAGGACAAGGAGCGGACGCCCTGTGACGAGACGGAGCGCGATTTTCGGCTCTGTCGGAACGCAGTGAAATCGGCCCAGTACCGCGCTTGCTCCGAGTACTTCCTCTCGTCATTCAGGCGCTCTAAATCTGCCACCTGGCGCGACATCCGTCGACACCTTATCTCGAGTAAAAAACCAGAACCGAAAGTTGATGGCCCGTTGGTCCAACATGCAGCGTGGTACGACCGACTGAACCAACATTTCGCGACCATCGGCTCCACTGTGGCGGACGGGCTGGCGGCGTCGGACACCGGGGAGAAGCTCCACCCGCGGCCGCCACGAGTCTGCAGCGGAGCGTTCGCCCCGCGGCCGGCGACCCTGCCCGAGCTCTCCGCGGCCCTGCAGCGCATGGGGTCATCCAAAGCGAGTGGAGCTGACGGTGTAACCATCAGCATGCTCCGAATGACGTTCAGTGTTGTCGGGCCACACATCTTGAATGTGATCAACAGCTCCATCGTGCGTTGCGAGCTACCGCCATCATGGCAGACCGCCGTCGTTGTTCCACTGCACAAGGGTGGTGACGTGCATGAACCGAACAATTATCGACCCATCTCGATATTGTCTGTGATGGCGAAGCTTTGTGAACGCGTTGTGTGCTCACAGCTCATGGAGTATCTCATTAGCCATTGTATTTTGTGCCCCGAACAATATAGTTTCCGCCCCGGTCTCTCCACCGAGGCGGCCCTGCTCGATACTGTCACTTACGTCACGAACAATATCGATGGTGGACGCGTGACGACACTCGTCACAGCTGACACCTCAAAGGCCTTTGACAGTGTCGAGCATGGCCGTCTCCTGGAGAAGCTGGGGTGGTATGGGATCGACCAGCGCTGGTTCCGTGCCTGGCTTGGCGACCGGACTCAGTCGGTCAGGGGCGGATCAAGCGAGCTGCCCGTGACGCACGGAGTCGTACAGGGGTCTATTTTGGGCCCGATTCTTTACCTGCTCTACACGAACGATTTGCCACAGCACGTGCCCCACGGTAAAACAGTGATGTATGCGGATGACGCACAGTTCCTAGATTCAGACACTCCACAAAATCTCTCAGACTTAAAGAAACGCGTAGAAAGCAACCTTTCGGTCACACTGGACTGGTTCACCCAAAACAGGCTAAAAATAAATCCCTCAAAAACAGAGATGATGACTCTCAAATCTCGGCGTTTGAACACTGACCAAGACTTCCACATCCGTTTTGGAAACACCGACATCTCTCCTGTTCAACATGTCAAAATTCTGGGCGTCACCGTGGACACTGCGCTGACCTGGGACAAGCACATATCGAGTATCCTACGGCGGTGCTATGGCGTGCTGATCGGACTGGCTCGGATACGACGTCGCATGCCGCGCGAAACAAGGCGGCTGCTTGTAGAGTCACTTGTGTTCCCTCTTATCAGGTACTCTGTGTCTGTGTGGGGGAGCAGCACGGTCACTGAGCAGAGACGCGTGCAGAGATGCATCAACTTCAGTGTCCGTATAGTCATGGGCTTGAGCCGGCGCGATCGAGTAACTTCGCCACTCAGGGAGCTGGGCTGGCTCAAAGTGGATGAAATGATACGAGAACGCGATCTGCACGTCATGTATAACCTGCTGCACAGCAATAGTGCACCCGACCCGATCCGCTGTCACGTCGCGCGCCGTGCCGATGTCTCCAGCTGCGGCACGAGAGCAGCCAGTGACGGACAGCTGCAAACACCGCGACTGCGAACGGAGTTTGCGAGACGATCATTTGTGTGTCGCGCGACTCGAGCGTGGAACGGCCTGCCTGTGCAAGTGAGATGCGCGCCCAGTTACCTTGCATTTAAGAAAAGAATGCGGAAAGAGATCACAAGACATAATCCTCGAGTTTAGCATCTTATGGTCTAGCTGCAATACCGTCAGTGTCACAGGGGCGGATCCAGAAAATCTCCAAGGGAGGGGCCATTAGAAACCAGGAGGCCCCCCCCCCCATAATCCCACCTGTTGGAGGCCCCATCTTCCCACTTGTTGGCCCCCCCCCCAAAAAAAACTGCGTCTATTGAGCTTATCTAGCTGTTCAGGCAACATCTCAACATCTGTGCAGGCTTGGAGGCCCTCTGTGCAGGTTAGGAGGCCCTGTAAAAGTGGTCATCTCTGTGAGTATAAGAGACCTCCAAGTTATGAAAAGCTTTACCAATCTTCTAACAAAGAAGTCTTCTCAGCTAGTCTTCTAAGAAATAACTAAGTGGGTAGGTTAAAAAAAAAAAAACTCATCGGATTTCGGCCACTTTATTTTCAGGAGGCCCCCTTTTCAGCTTTTTAACTTTTTAACTTTTTATTTTATTTTTGAAAAAAAATCGGCCAAGGGGGGGGGGCCATGGCCCCCATGGCCCCCCCCCCCTTGTATCCGCGCCTGCAGTGTCATTATTTTTCGTGTTTTTATGTACTGTTTTAAATTTGAGGGATGTGTACTTGGGTATTTTTTATGTACTTTAATCTTGAGCTTGACGTGGAAAACTGAAAACCCATGTACTTATGGATGTTTCCGAAATATATGAGTATGAGTATGAGTATGAGTATGAGTATGGGTGGAGAAACTAAACAAGAAAGTCTTCAAAGTTGCCGTGACACAGCGATACAGGAATCTGTTCAACTGTTCAGGGAAAATTACCTGAACGGCGACTTCCCGCGCTCCTTCTTCTTTCCGTCCGGCTGCGGCGTCTTCTCCTTTCCGGCGCGGCCTCTCTGGATGTCCATTTCGCTGGCAGCGCGCGCCATCTTACCTGGAGACACCGTCAGCCGGGTCAGTGCCGCACAGAAACGTCGGAAAGATGTGAAATGCAAGACGCGCTCTACGTACTTTCATTGATAGTCAATTTGGTTTCCAGTCAACATTTGAGGTAGAATATGCCCCATATTCAACACAGTCTGGTGGGATCATGGTTTATCGCGCTCTGCTCAAACGTGAAACTCATCCCTCTATAACAAGAAACGGTGGGCGCCATTCGGTCATTCGATTACTTACTGCCGCGGCGGGGTATGGCCGGAGTGCCCTTCTCGCCGTTAGCCTTGTTCATCAGAACCTCGTCCGCCTCCACGGCGTCATAACCGTTCTGCAGATCTGTGGAACCACGCCGTTAGTCAATTACAGTCGCGTATCATTTATCCGCAATTTAATGCCGACTCAAAATGTTTCATCCCCTAGCAGCCAACCGCTTCTCTATTACTTCATCGTGCATTCTGTTATGATAAAACGAAGTGGACTCTTCGAATCTAACGCTATAACTTGGGCTCGTAACTCTGCGATCGGACTTCTCCTCAATATTCTCACACGGCAAGACACAGTCGACACGTTCCCCTTCCTACCGACCTTTGATGTCGGACATGGTGAATCCGGACTCTAGCATGGACTGTTTGAGCGCCGACGGCGGCCGGTTGCGCCCCTCGTGCCGCAGCCGGTGCTGGCGGACACGGATCTCGTGCCAGCGACGCTCCTTCTCGGTCTCACTGCGGGGGGGATGAGAGGTAAACGCAGATGACAGAGCAGTCATAACAGGCCTTATGGGATTTGAGTTGGTGTTGGTGCGTGGAAGAACAGCACATTCATTTCGGTGCATCATCAGACTCTGAATCAAGCTTTGTTGGGAGAACGTTGACATTGCAAATTGTTGCTAGATTAAGTGAGATGCACAATAAAACCGTTTTCATTCATTGCCAGCTAAATGTACTTACATGTGTGGGATTTTTTATTACTGACAACAACAGAATGGGCATTTTCAGAGCCATGCCACCACGACCGAACCATGACCAGACTGCCGACAACCAAGTATCACTGGACGTACTCAATGAAGACGGTCTGGCAGGTGACGGGCAGCGACAGCCGCAGGAACTCCCAGTTGGCCTTCTCCAGCGTCTCGAACGTGGCGTGCGAGATGCGCAAGCAGGGCGGCGAGTCGGAGCCGGCAGGGATGCGCGTCACGTCGATCGGCGAGTTCTCCACCTCATCGACGTTCTCAAAGATGGGCTGGTCCTTGGTGTACCAGAACGTCATCGGACGCGTCATGTTCCTGTGGGCGGAGGAGGGGGAGAGAGTCAAATGATGGAGTGATTGGTTATATTATATCAATTATCGTTGCATGAGTTGAAAGGAGAGGACTCATCAGAATGATCCGCAGACTATATGTATAATATATTTGTATTATTTCTTAGACAGGTTTAAGGATGGTCACAGCACAGTAACATTCCACATTTATAGCAATCCACTTTATCGGAATGACGCCAAGACACACATACTTAATGGTCAACCATAAACGCTTAACAAAGCCATACTTATTCTTGCAAAATGCCCTCGAACTTCGATCAATGTCCAGATCCAACGAGCTCGCCCATCTCCGACCACAACTCACACACAGAACGGTTCGTATCCCTCCTGCAGACCGCACTGTGTGAAGAACTTGAGCGCGTTTACATCGTGTCCGAACGCGAGCCGGGTGCGCTGGGACAGTCCGAGCGTGCAGGCGGGCACGAAGGCCTCGCCGGCCACCTCGGAGAAGGCCGTCTCTCCGCCCATCGCATCCATCATCAACTCGCCGTTCAGAGAGAAACCTGACGGACGGGGACACTCGGTGAGAGAGACGGCGACAACGGGAGGGTATACGTGAAAACAGCATCCACCGGAGGGCGAATTCAACAGGAAATCCGACGGAAAGGGTACATTCAGAAATAAAAGCCGCATTTAGGAGAAACACTGAGCGAGAAATCGAACGGGTGTAATGTTCTCAGTTGCAAATTCGCACTTTTTATCTGTTACAATTGATCTGCAATTAATTTTTCAATCAATCTGCACTAACTATCGCCCTTTTAGGAAATGTTGTTGTCACTCTGTGAAAGTGTGAACAGCAGAAGATGACGAGCTTCGCAGAATAGCTTGACTGAGAAAATGAGGGTGAACATAAAGAACGCATCCGCAAAGCAAACCATACAACATACCTTTTGCTAAATTCCCGGTCGTGCGCTTCTTTTGGGAAGACATGTGGGATATAGGAGGATTATAAAGTACGCATGGTTAAAAACTAGTCAGCCTGAAGCTAGAGACGGCTTGGTAACTGCTAGATGTTTTGGGCTGTTTCGGATAAGCAAGCTTTTAACACCAAAAACGATTGACCAAACGCACGGGGTGTTTCCTAAGATTTTATCAATCCCGCAGCCAGCTGCGGCTGACTGAGAGAAATACCACACATTTCGCTCTTACGTACTATTTGCTACCGAGACATGAGTGAGACTCTAGCCTTTTCTAGTGAGCTGTGATTAACGCCGCACTTTCTACGTGGCGTAGCCGACACTTACTGACGGTTCGGTCGATCAGGTCGAGGAACACGCCGATCACGTCACCGACATGCCATTTGTGACCGTACGTCTCGCAGACACCGCCGGACCACTTCTCCTCCTGGCCGGGGCGGGAGCGGGGGCGGGGGCGGGGGCGGGCGGGTCAGCGGGGCGGGGCGGCCAGCCACCAGAGGACAGAGTAGATCCCACGCTCTCAACTGGGAGGTGTTCGTGTGAAATGGAGGTAAGAGGGTGGAAGTGTTAATGTCTGAAAACGGGTCAGAAATGGAGCTAAAAAGCGCGTGTTTATGTTATTAGTTAATTAAGCTCCCTCTACATCACTCATTCATGCTGTTTGTTACAAGTAAAACGCAAATTGTTACGCCACAGCCGCGCGCAGGGTTTTCTAGCCGGCGCGAAGGGGGCCACAAGCTCTAACGCCGGCGATCGGCCGGGGCCGTGCGCCGGCGACTACTTACTGATGGTTCGGTCGTGGAGGTCGAGCATGCAACCGACCACGTCTCCCACGTGCCACTTGCGACCCAGCAGGTCCACCTGGTTGCTGTGGTGTTTATGGGCCTGGAGACCGCGGAACCGTCAGGCGGCGGCCGGGCAGTGGGGTCACGGAGCGACCGGCACGACCTGACCCGACCCTGAGCGGACCGGTCGGGTCGGCAGGGCCGGTACGCTGAGCCGTCAGCCGTTAGTCCGGACAACTAGACTATCCGAGCTACGTTATTGTCCACGAGAAGCGCGCATAGCGGCACTATCGCCTCGCTGTACAGGCGAGAGAAACACGTACTAACGCTCGGGCTTCGACAATGAGCAGGCTTTAGTGGATGTTATCGTTGCACAAGATGCGCTACACATGTGACTAAATGGTACATCCATGAGCTGTTTTTATTTAGGGTCGACGGTTCAGTGATTGAGTAGTGTTTGTCATGCCACAGTAACGCCGCAGTTTCCAGACACAGTAACGAAAACGTTGCAATGATACACTATTTTGTTACTTTAACTCAAATATCATTTCTCGAGAACATACACACTTCATTCTTCAAATTCATAGCATGATGTTACCACAAACGAAAAATGACTAATGCACATTACTTTTAATTAGCCCTCTTCGTTAACGTTTACGATATAGCCAAAACGCAAGCATAACCCTTCAGTCCAATGCTCATAAGTCACAACGACTAAGCGGCGATCTAACTCACATGATAACCGTCGAAGGCCCAGGACGAGTCGTCCTGGCCGATCTGGCGGCCCGGGTGGGCGTCGATCCTAGCCCAGCCCACCTTCATCGGTCCGTCGGTCAGCACCTCAAACTCGAAATACCTGGCAACAGCGGTTATAAAATTGTCCTTGAAATACATTGGCGTCAGCGGTCATACAATCAAACACGAAATACCAAATTAAACCAAATGCCTGAAAAAAAACTTAACATTATCACCCATGGGAGTGAATAAAATACCTAAGGCAAAACAAAACTGAAGATTTGATATGGAAAGTCAAGTCAAATTAAATGCATAACTTATAAGTAAAAAAAAAAAAACTTGTGGAATCATATCACAGTTCGGCAATAATATTTCGCCCGACCCTCATGCTAATAACAGCCTACGTGCTCCGTCCCGTTCCGGTTACCATTTTCCGGAGCTGACGGCGTACGTCTTCTCGGCTCGGTAGGTGCGGTAGTTGGCCCGTCCGTTCAGCAGGTCATCAGTGGGACCTGCTCGGCACGGTACCAAACAGATATGCTTGAGAAGTCAGGGGGGAGTGAATGCGTAATAAAGGTAGAGTGGGACGAGCGCTTAGACGATGATAGCCGTTTAGCTAAATGTGAGTTTTTTTATAAAGCACCGCTCAACACCGGGATTCTCCTCTTGATTAAGACGTTCTCCATATTTACCTATTAAATAAGCTTCAGAAATAAAATCGACCCCCCCCCCCCCCCAGAAAAAAACAGTTTCGCGATCTTTCTCGGTCACTGCGTGTCGCTGCCATTCCCTTCGGCTGCCTTTCTACGCTTCTCTATTCCCTCCAGTCTTTAACCGATGTGTTGTTCGCTCGACGGTCCCTTAACAATTACCGTTCAACCTGCCATCCCTCTCCTTACCGTCGTCATGCTGTTCAGACGGCGGATCCAGGATGTATCCGTACACCAGCAGAGTGCGCACAGCCTCGCTGGCGGTGTCCCTGTTGGCCTTTTTGATGGCCTCGTCCACACGTCGGTAGGGCACCAGATGCGGAGTACGAATCATATCCATGTCCTGAGAGAGGCAGAGGTCGAATGTCAAGAACTGGAGCCAGGAGCTAGGATTGTACACTAGTGGTTAATGACACTGGTGGTCACTGGTTAAGGACAGTGACTTCGAGTCATCATAGGTCAAGGACCTAGAGTCTGAGTCAGGATCAGGGGTCAAGGAGCATGGCTAGGGTATGGGCGTCGGTCATGGCAGGGGGGGGGGGTTCTGAGTGACCTGAGGGAAGCGTCGTCGCGAGGTTTGAAGTCGCAGAGAACATTATGTAAATATTAAGTGTCTTCAAGCAATCACGGTCAAAGCAACCAACGATATAGCACCTGGGGTATATGAATAATGATTGGTAAGGATTTTTAACAGTAGGTATCGCTAAATCAACAAGACTTCCCAGCCTCAGTGATTCGAAGAAGTTGAAATATACTCGCATATGAGTTATGAATAGCACCATTCTCACCTCGTTGAGTCCGTAGGTCCACCCCTGCTGGATACGCTCCTTGGACCAGACCATGTGGGTGTTTTCCGCCAGCTTCTCCACCAGCTCCTCCAGCTTGCCTGTCGCGGCACGTTAACATCAAACGTCGGAGTACATATGACAGTGACGGAAATGGACATGAGCACATTCAAGATTACATGATTACAACGTAACGTCATATCAGTCGCTTAGAAGCCTCGTGAAGGAGAAAGGGGACATAATTTCATATACCCAAGACCAAGCACTTAGCGATCATTTCGTCGTCGTCAAGCTAAACTCAGACCCCTCAGCCTGACTGACCTGTGAGGGAGACCTGTGAGAGGTCGAGCGGCGCCGGCTTGTAACCGTTGCTCTGCATGAACGGGTCGTTCGGCAGTCGGATCGAGCGGATACGGTTCGGCGGCTTGTCCAGCGTGATGTGGTAGCCCAACTTCACGATGGTCCTGTAACACGGTAATAACGAGCTCATGTCAACGGCAGGCTGTGGAGGAACTACGCGACACCATCGGAAGCCATTTCAGAAGAGTTGCTAACAAGCACGCATTGCACATTTTGCATAAAAGCAAACACCAAGCAAGCCATTTGAAACAGCTTAGATATCAAAAGCTCTCGCATTACAGTTTTATGCACTCTTCTTCACATTAAAAATCCCCAGCCGAACATCCATCTGGTATACACGAATGTGTAGTTACACCTTCCCTTTCATCTTGCACTAAATTCCCATCAATCCGCCCTTCCGCCACCAGTGCCGACCGTACTTGAGCGTCTGCAGTGCCAGCTGGATGTCGTAGCGTTTCTCGGCGGGCGGCAGCCGCTCGAACTGGGTCAGGCACGGGTGCAGCATGTACTCGTCGTCTCGCTCCTCGCCGTACCGCCACCCCTCGTCGATCTTGTTCATGGCCCAGATCTCGTGGATGTTCTCAGCGAGCCGGTCACGGATCTGCTCCACGTAGTGCGGCAGCGATACCTGTCGGGACAAAAGGAGCAGAGTTAGAAAAGAAGAACAGAGAAGACGACCAGTACCATATACCAGCCCAATTTGACCAGCATTTCGCGAACAATTACTGGTTGACACTAGAAATTGCAATGTAAGGATGGCAATGAAATAAAATAATGCAAGTTACCTTTTTATGTAAGCGTAGCTCATTTATCAGGTGCATTGCTGAGCTTTTGCTGGTATATACCTTTTTACAAATGATGTCCACCTAAAGCTCCGATATTTCAAGTTCTCGATGAAACTTCCCACGCACTCCACTGTCCTCCCCCCCCCCCCCCCATCCCCACGTTCACTCATGAGACTATTTGACATAGCTGTCCCACTCTCTCACCGCCGAGGTGTCGATGGGCTGCGGCACAAACACGGGGTCCTCCTGTTCCACCAGCGGGCCGGCCAGCACGCCCTTGGCCAGCTCGCCAAAGTGGAAGCACGGGTCGATGGACATCTGCTGGGCGGGCAGCAGACACTCGGAGACGGGAGAGAAGCCCTCGGGCGGCTCGAACTTCTGCCGACCGTGGTCGCCGCCCAGCAGGAATCGCGCACTGTAGGAGAAAAACGAGAAGGTTCGAGTATGTGCCTACTACAGGTATGTGTGTGTGGTGGGGGGGGGGGGTCCAGTGGAACACCAGTGGAGAGCTACCTTGTCGGCCATCTTGAGGTTATGTCGTACGACATTGTAACGCAGTGGAAGGTCGGTAGTTGAGGCCTATGTTCAGACCGGGATATCATTTTAGCACAAAAATTATGTCTACTCGCATTTCACGTCATGACAGGGACAGTTATAAGACCTATCATCGAGGAATAAGGAGCCCTGTACAGCATCAGGAGAAATACTACCAAGAAAGGCGCTTATCAATGCCGAAAGCCATTCAGCTGTAGTCGCCACCGTACCTGAGTTTGGACGAGCAGCTGATGACCGGGAAGAACATGCCGTCCAAGTTGAAGTCCCGGAAGCAGCCGAGCACCTTCTCGCCATTGAAGGTGAACTCGATGGACGGCACGGTCAGGTCGAGCATCACGCCGATGACGTCATTCTTACGGATGTACGGCTCCGACTCCTGACGGAACACTTCGTTCTTCCGGCCGCCTGCAGAGGGAGAAAACATGACCGTGGTCAATAGCATAGAGTGATCACAGTATGCAGCTGATGGTCTTCTTTCAACTATCTCAATGATTTTACTTAGCAGGCGAAATATTGGAACAATCACCGGAATGAACAGATGCATGCAAGGAATCAAAGAAATGAATGCAAATTCTAGATTTTTTATCGTTAAAGGAAACCACCAACGCAAACAGCCCAATCTACATCCCTAGTTTGCTGTCAGGTTGTTCCGCGGTCGCTCCGCCACCGTTCGTACCTGTCCAAAGGTGTGCGCCGTCAAAGCCGAACGAGAAGAGGTCGTCGCCCACGCCGTTGCCGCCCCACTTCTCGCCTCCGCCGGGGTAGGGGATGTAGCCCATCGTGTTGGCCCAGCCCATCCGCAGATGCGGAGGCATGTGGCTCGCCTGGAGGAACGGTACAGCGGGTCAGGTCACAGATAGGGTCAGGTCAGGGTACAACACAAAATGTTATGTATGTAATTTTGTTATCCACTCGGATATAAATACAAGTGAGCTCGGACAAGAACATTTTACCCGTTGATCGAATCCACGGCTAAAATCCGTTTCGTCTTGACTTCCGTATGCTTTTAAGACTTCAAGTCAGTCTAGTTCTCCATTTCGGCAACAAAAGATGTTTATCCGGAAAAACGCCGAAACAGTTAAAGGCCATTTGATGTATTGGAGGTCATGTTCTTACCTGTTCAATATGGTCCACGGTCACTTCGTAATACCATTTAAGATACATGGAAGACCCCTGGACCTTGCCCACGTAAATGTTGGGGTGAACACTGAAAAAGAGAACCAATGACGCATTTCACACAAGCACACGGTAACGGTCACTGAAGTAAATACATCAAGGAATTAGGAAGAATCGCATATTCAATTGAGTCAGCACAGTCAGTAATTAAGGATCACCTATAATCAGCAATCGCATTTTTTTAATCTCAGGAATTTTATCCTCCCATTCTCATCCTTTTTCCTGTAGTGTCAGTCTGTGATGGAATATTAGCACGCTGGCTCTTTCCAAATCCGTCTCACCGCACCACGACTCGGCACAACCTGTTGCGACTCGGTTACTTAGCTCACGTGATCGTCACGATCAGAAGCATTCATGTCACTACTCCGTCCCTATTCGTCACAAGTCATCACAACCCGTCCCGTCCGACCCACCTGGAGACGTGGTCAACCAGCGCCGTCTGGAGCAGCAGAGACTTCCCAGGCAGCAGGTAGTCACAGATGTTGTTCTGCGAGCTGCGCACGGCCACCCCGTTACCAACACACAGTGAACGGAGCACGTCCAGCACCTTGGGATCGCGACCGTGCTTCTCGAGGATGGAGATGATCACCTTGATGTGTTCCTCCTGCGAGGGCGGAGGAGTTAGTGTGAGGAGTCAGTCAGGCTGAGACAAAAGGTATGTCGGTCGGGCTGAGTAAATGTTTACATAGGTTGGCATCCGTACAAGAGCAGTATTTATTTTCCCGTACCACGTAGAGAAGAAACTTCGGATGAACGATTAGGGCTGTCCAAGTGTCCACATTTCAGGGTCCATTAAACAGCAGTCCCGGTACGAAATGATTATCGAAATCAACTTATCTGTTACAGCCTCGTAGCAGCGCAGCAAATAACTAATTATGCTCCATGATCTCAGTCACCCCCTCCCCCGCCCCCAGCGCCTAGTCCGGTCGTCTGACATTACCTTCATCACGTTCAGCGCCTCGGGCGAGTCGATCAGCACACAGTGCAACACGTCAAGCATGCCCTCTCCGCCGGCCTGAGAGCCCAGTCGAGAGAACAGCCAGTTGAGGCGCATCGAGTTGGCGAACTGGGCGCAGTTGTTGTGGTTGCCCTTGATCATCGCAGCTGGGAAAAGCAACCACATTGTTAGTTACGGTATATTGTGGAAAGGAAACACTAAATGGCTTACCCAGACATTAAACGTGACAGAAAGACGTGACGTCACTTGTTGCTAGCAGTTTGGTTATATAGAGCCACCGGACAACCCTTGACTCTTAGTTATGTAAAGCTACGCATCAGCAAGCGCTTACGTTGATATTCAATAGAAAAACACAACTCTAACGAATAGTGTTTGTCTATTTCAAACAGCCTGAGGCTATCATTGCGCGTGAGTGCGAATACGCAAATATCATGGCACACGTTACGACACGACGGTGTTTCTCCAGAATTCGGGAGCGCGCACGGCGCACTGTCACATCATGGGAAATGCAGCGCTATGGGTGCGTGCAAGCTAGCTTACCGAGTAGCTGATAGAGGTAGTTGCTGATGATGTCCCACATCTGCCCAGATTCCTCGCCGGCCAGAGACACCAGGTAGCCCTCGCTGGTGATGACCGTGATCTTGTCGATGGCGTCCAAGATGAGGTTGAGGATGCCTTCCTCCTGACACAGGTCCTGGCGGTTCCTCAGGGCGCGCAGCTTGATCTGGCGCTCCTCGTGCTCTGTAGGGGGACAAAGGGGACCAGAGGAAATAAGAGACTGCCACGTGGCATTGCTGCGTTTGTAGAGTCCGATAATGCATTGCTAATCATCCGTTAGGATTACAGCCCTTCGTTACGCTTATCACGAGACAGGCTGCGCACATTTTGCGTTCGCCGTGCCAGCATCAAGTCGCTGTCAGCCTCCCTCGCGTGGCTCACATCCCCTTTGAACCGGCGCAGTCTGGTTCTGCACCCCTGTTACACAATAGTCCACCCAACCACATGGCGAAACGAGCACAACACTCAGGAATGTGCCGAGGGGACCCTTCGCCCGGGTCGGAGTTTCCCAGCGACGCGCTACGGAAAGTTTGTTTACCTCGGCCCCCTGGGCCAGTCCTGCGTCTCCGAACAGGGGAGGGAGATCGGTATAAAAACGCCCGGTGGCGTTAGGAGGGACATAGCGCCTCTGCCCTCCTGTGATCTCAGTCGTCGAAGTTCTCTCTACATACACCTCAGGTAAGATCAGCGGCAGAAGGGTGACCAGCGCAAGTAAGGAAGGCCTATCAGGCTGTGAGACCTGTGCAGATAAGTAGCATCACGCATATTTGCCGGTTGGGCGCCGACCGACCGGTACCTGACGGGTACCGCGGCCGTTTTCGTCTCCTGACGGGTACCTGTCATTCGTCATTCATTCAACCCGTGAATTTGGGTTCCACGTAGGTAAAGAAAATTCAAGTCAGGCAAGAAGCGTGTTCCCAAACTGAGAGCTATCTTCATTTTCTGTATGTTTCTTATAAGCCTTACAAGCATTTTCAAAGAGCATCAAACCTCAATAGCTCTCGTTCGACCCCTGTATTTCACCGTCGCTAATTTGTGCGTCTCTCTCCCGCAGCCATGTTCCGCGCCGCCCTGCTGCTGCTGACTGTCCTGGTCGCCGTGCTGGCGGTGACCTGGGCTGCTCCCGACCCAGCTCCGGTCGACGAGAACGTCGTACTTTCCTACGCCACGGCTGACAACGTGGCGCACGGCTACGTCGCAGACAACGTCGCGCACGGCTACGTCGCTGAGAACGTCGCTCACGGCTACGCCCTGCCGTAAACGTCTGCCCGATGCCGTCCCAGGTCAACAGCGGAGCGCCAGGTCACCGAGAGGTCACCAAGGTCCGAGAAAAGGTCACCACTCACCAGGTCAACTGATCGGCGACTTTGAATTCCGACATGACATAGTGGATGGCTAGGGTTGATTAGGCGGGAAATGACCATGTTTTTTTACGGATGGGCTTACCTCAAGGACGTTTACTGTTTTTACTTTTGTTTCTGTCTTTTATAGTGTTGTGTTTTGCTGGCGCCAATAAAAGACGGTGAAGCTATCCGTTGTGTCGCAGCAAAATGCGGGCAGGGATTATGACCGACTCTCCAATGAACTATTGTGGTATCGTGATCCTGTGTTGGGAACTTTCCATCATGCCGTGCCTGTGTGCGCCAGGCGGCGCCGGCCGAGTAGCGCGGGCGCGGACTCGAGCGCGCGGACCAATCGGCGGCCGCCACGACCGCGGTGACCCCGCCGAGCTGACCGGCGCGGCGGTCGGGTCAGACAGTGCGCGCGGTGCGGCCGGTCGAGGCTGACGTGTTCTTGGCGCTTATTTGAACTCTTTCGTTACGTATTTCATTCTTGCTTTTACGTTAATATACTACATTGGCGACAAGGATCAAGAATTAAGTTAATAGCGCGCAAGATATCAAGATGTATCAGGCACCAGCTCCGCCGGAGTTCCTCTCCAAGCCGGGACAGCGTCCTGGTAACTGGCAGGCGTGGTTCGAGGACTTCATCATGTACGGTGAGGCCAGCGGGTGGTCTGATTGGTCTGACCTCCGCAGGACGGCGTTTCTGTTGACATCTGTCGGTGCAGAGGCACGTCGTCTGTACCGCGCTGCAGTCTCAGTTGACGATGCTGACCTTAAGAGCGAAGGTAGCGTGTCTGATGATCATTCCGGAACGCACCTACGTTTTGATAAGGCCGTAAGCGTTCTCAAGAAACTGTTTGCCAGTGACGCTGATGTTCGTTCGGCACGTTTGCAGTTTCGACAGATTAAGCAGCGTCATGGAGAGTCCAATGTCATTTTTCTGGCAAACCTGAGGGAGGCAGTCGCAAAATGTAATTTTGGGGAACTGACTGATGAAATGCTGCGCGATGCTTTCATTGAAGGATGCATGTCTGATCCGTTACGTGACAAACTGATCATGACTGACCGACTGACCCTCTCCCAACTGGAGGAACTGGCCGCCGCGCACGATCGTGGTCTGCAGCGGAAGGCCTTGCTGCAGGGCACCGTGAGCTTCCAGTCACCAGCACCAGTGGAGGTCGCGTTCGCCGGACGCCGGAACAGCGCCCCAGCGCGGAGGACACCACAGAAACAGCTTGCAGGTGGGAAGTCTGGGACATGTCGGGCGTGTGGTATGAAGGGCCACTGGGCTAAGGATAAAGTCTGTCGAGCCAAGTCTCAGAAGTGTTGGAAGTGTGGGTCTCTGGGCCACTTCAGCAACTGTTGTCCCAACCAGAGTAAGAGTGTCGATGCTGTGCAAATTCTGTCAGTGTCTGCCCAAGATGTCAATGCTGTTCGTGAGGTGCCATGTCCGTACTACACCGTGACCATCAACAGACACCCAGTGAGGATGCTAGTCGACACCGGTTCTGCGGTAAGCATCATTCCAGCGAGGCTCTACCACCAGAACTTCAGCAGCGTTCAGCTGCGGCCAGCAGGTCCGCTGTCTCAGTGGAACGGCAGCGGCATCAACGTCCTGGGGAAGATGACTGTGACCGTCCGTGGATCTGACTCTGGAGAAGTGCTCGCGGACATCTACGTCGCGGTGGGACAGCTGCCACTCATGGGCAGGGACCTACAGCAGCAGCTGGCACTGACCGTGCGCCACGGCAACGTGGTCTGTCAGGTGAGCAGTCAGGTGCTGCCAGCGATCCGAGGGTACGTGCACAAGGTACGTCTTCGACCTGACGCCGTCCCCGTGCAGCTGCCGCTGAGGACAATGCCTTACGCTCTGAGAGATGAGGTAGGAGCCCATCTGGAGGACTTGGAGCGGCAGGGTATCATAGAGCGAGTGGATCGTGCTGCATCTCCATGGCTCTCACCGATCGTAGCCATCCGTAAAAGGGGAGGTAAAGGTCTACGGATTTGCCTCGACTTGTCTGAGGTGAACAGAGCTGTCATCTCAAATGGTCATCCAATTCCTGACATGCAGGAGATGCTGGAGAAGCTGCGTGGTGCGAAGTGCATGTCGACTCTAGACATGAAGTCGGCGTACCACCAGTTGGAGCTCCACGAGTCGTCCAGGGACCTGACGGCGTTCATCCACGACGGCCAGACCTGGAGGTATCGAAGATGTTGCTTTGGGTTGAAGAGCATGCCGCAATGCTTCCAGAAGCTGATGGAGTGTGTGCTGACCGGTGTTCCAGGGGTGCATGTGTACCTCGACGATGTGATCGTCACTGGGTGCAGCCGGCAAGAGCACGATGACCACCTCCAACAGGTTCTTCGGCGACTGGAGGACCACAACATCACGCTGAACCGTCAGAAGTGCAAGATCGGAGTGACGTCGGTGGACTTCCTGGGTTTCACCGTGACTGACGGCAGGATCTCCGTGTCGTCTGAGCGCGTCCAGGGCCTGCGTAGCCTGGCGGTGCCGAAGTCGAAGAAGGAGCTGCAGGCTGTGCTGGGTTCCCTGGGCTTCTACTGTAAGTTTGTTCCAGGTTACAGTACCCGCGTCGAGTCTCTCAGACGCCAGCTGAGGAAGGATGCTCCAGAGTTCGCCTGGACTCCAGAGATGGATGCGGCGTTCAACGACGTCCGGCAGGCGATCCTCGACTCTGACGCCCTGTCGATGTTCGACCCCAGCCTGCCGACCGTTGTCACGACGGACGCCAGCGACGTCGGCTTGGGAGCCGTCTTGAGCCAGGTACATCCTGAGGGCGAGAGAGTCGTCGCCTTCGCTTCGTCCACGCTCAACGCTGCACAACGGAGGTACAGTGTCACAGAGCGTGAGGGGTTAGCGTGCGTCTGGGCCTGTGAAAAATGGCACAAATATCTGTGGGGCCAAGAGTTTGTGCTACGTACCGATCATGCTGCCTTGAAATCGCTGTTGACTGTCAGGGGTGTTGGTCGTGCCGGCATGAGGATGTCTCGCTGGGCGGTGCGCCTGATGAACTACTCGTTTGCAGTGGAACACGTCAAGGGCCAGCTGAACCCGTCTGACGGCCTCTCCAGACTGCCGGGACCGGAGCAAGAGGTCGAGGATGACGAGTCCGAGCTGGTGGCCTGCCTCGCCGACGAGACGTCAGCCGTCAGCCGTGAGGAGCTAGCGGTAGCGGGACGGGAAGACGCTGAGGTAAGGGCCCTGATGGACCAGATCCCTCGGGAGTGGCCCCGTCGCTTCAGTGATGTTGATGACGTCCTCAGGCCGTATTTCCGCTGTAAGCAGGAGCTAGCTATCGACGGTGAGCTGATTTTGCGTGGTGAACGGATCGTGGTTCCCACTGTGCTCAGACCTCGGTTGCTGACGCTGGCGCATGAATCCCACCAGGGCATCGTCCGGACCAAACAGCGGCTTCGAGCGCTGTTCTGGTGGCCCGGAATGGACGCAGCGGTGGAGACGACCATCAAGGAGTGCCCAGCCTGCATCGTGGCCGACAAGACGGCGAAGACGAGGTTCGCACCGCTCAGTCCTGTTCCCCTGCCAGCTGCAGCCTGGGATAAGGTGGGACTTGACTTCATCGGCCCGATGACAGGACCACCAAATCAAAGGTATGCGATAGTCCTCGTAGACTATTACTCGAAATGGCCAGAGATGGCGTTTGTCCGTGAACCGTCAAGTGATGCTGTCATTGACTTTCTGCTGACTGTGACGTCACGGGAGGGATGGCCAAGGGAGGTTGTCACTGATAACGGTACTCACTTCACATCTGTGAAGTTTGGACAGTTTCTGAAGAAGCATGGTGTCAAGCATGTCAGAGTGTCACCGTATCACCCTGCAGGTAGCGGTGCTGTAGAGCGTTTGAATCGTGACATCAAATCTGCTCTCCAGATGGCGGACCAGCAGTCGGTGGACCGCCGACAGTACCTGCAGTCCTACCTCCGCACGTACCGAGCGACGCCGCACGGAACGACCGGCCGGAGCCCGTCCGAGCTGCTCCACGGCCGGCAGATGCGGACGGACCTGGACAGCGCAGTCGCACCGGAAGGTGGCAGCACCGGAGACGCCGCCTTGCGACAACGGGTCAGCCGAAAGCAGCGCCAGATGAAGCGACACTTCGACACCAGGAAGCGGGTCTGTGCACCGACCATCCAGGTGGGAGACTGGGTCCGGTATCGGGTGATGCCGCGGCCACGTAAAGGACGCCCGCGTTTCTCATCACCGTGTCGTGTAACTGCTCGTCGTGGACCTGCTTCGTATGAGCTGGAGGGTGGAGTGCGTGTCCACGCGGAGCGCCTGTCTCGCTGCTCACCACCCGATCTTCCCAGGTCTGCACCGTCTCCTGAGTGCACTGGAGTACCGGAGGCCGAGGTGGACCTGCCCTGTCAGCCAGTCACAGACTCTGCTGCGTCGTCGACCGTCGGGCTGCGACGGCGAGCGCCAATCGCAGTCGACGCCGCTGCCAGCGCTGCCACTGGTGACGTGACGTCGGAGCAGTCGTCCGTCGCCGGAGCAGCCGCAGCGCCTAGCCTGCCTCGCGACGCTGGCGATGGTGCTGTTCATCGTGCTGGAGGAGATCACCAGGCGGAAACCGGGACGACGACGACCGAGCGTGCGGGTGACGAGTCGGCGTCACCTTCGGAGCCGGCTTCGCCGTATCGAACGCGTAGTGGACGTGTCGTACGTGCGCCGGATCGCTTTGTTTAAGGGGGGAGAAAAGTGTGGTATCGTGATCCTGTGTTGGGAACTTTCCATCATGCCGTGCCTGTGTGCGCCAGGCGGCGCCGGCCGAGTAGCGCGGGCGCGGACTCGAGCGCGCGGACCAATCGGCGGCCGCCACGACCGCGGTGACCCCGCCGAGCTGACCGGCGCGGCGGTCGGGTCAGACAGTGCGCGCGGTGCGGCCGGTCGAGGCTGACGTGTTCTTGGCGCTTATTTGAACTCTTTCGTTACGTATTTCATTCTTGCTTTTACGTTAATATACTACAACTATGTAATGTAAAGCTAGTCAATCTAGCCGCAACAATTACTGATCCTGATAAATATCTATAAATTGAGCGTTATTTCCGTAGCACTTTCAGTCCGCTCAGTGCTCAGGTTAACTTTACTTTTAAGCCTAACCTAATGCAGCCGTTAGCATGGAGGCACCAATGGCGTGAAATCGATAGCGCCCTCCCCTTACCCCAAGCTGCCCGAACTGCAAACTGACCCATTTCTGCATCCGGCTGAGCGAAGTAGTTGATGAGATCCTCGAGGCACATGACGATCTCCTTGAGGTTCATCGAGCTCAGCATCACCGAATGACGCCGGGAGGTGCGGATCTGGTCCAGCTGCCTGGCGGTGGCCGGGAGGGGAGGAGTGTCAGACGTCGGGAAGAATTCGTGCTATACGCCAAGAGGGATCGCATTAAAAGAGGGGAGGGGCGAAATTATACGAAGAGACATGATGTCAGACCATGAGATGCTGAGATGCTGGAAAGGGCGATGTCAGACGCCTCGAGGGGCTGTGTCGGCCGCCGAAACGAAGTCCCATTTCATGTAAGTAATTGAATACATACAGAGGCGATTGCACATTCCGCAAACCAACCACATCTTTCTTACTTGGTGAACTTTGTGAACAGCGAGCTGCATTTTCGGATGACTCGTGCCGTGCGCGACTCCTCGTCCTGACTGCGGGAGAACTCGAGGCCGTCGTCCATCTTCCCCTCCTCGTGCAGGATTGCCTGCTTCACCTCCACCTTGCCAACGCCCTTTTTCTTCGTCTCGAAGGCCTGTCAAAAGGACAACGCAGGACTGTTCAAAGACAAACCAACTACTGTTGGCATATGAAAACGCTATGACGGGTGTTACGTTTATGTCAAACCTGAAGAAGGACGGTCACAAACGGCTTGCCTTGATTCAATTAAAGTTGATTGCACCAAATTCCCTCACAAAGCCGAGAACCTGAATTAATATTAGATAAGCTAACGAACACAGAAACACTGAAACATGAACGATGAAAAACGAATAACCGAGAAAAAGCAAATAATACTTCAGAATCGCCACTGCCGCACAACTACCGCATTAGTTCCCCGACTGACCTTGTACGAGAGCCAGAGTCCGGACTCGATGTGCTGCACGATGACGGTGGAGTCGCCGTACTTGATGAGCGGCGTACCGATCACCTCCAGGTCCTTGTCCTCCAACATCACCTTGTTGTCGTCCTTCTCCTCGCGGAGGTAGAACGTGGTGGAAGCCACGGTCGAGTCCGACCTACCGCGGACAGGACAATGGAGTGGAGACGGTCAACCAGTAGTCAAAGGACCGAGAACAGACAAAGTAACTCAGACGTGAGCATGAGTTCAAACAAACCAGTCGAGTTCTTAGACATCTGTATAGGATGAACCGAGCCAAGCAATGAATAAACAAGGGGAATAATACCATTACGTACTGATGAGATAAAATTGGGAAATTAAAATGACTACTGAACATTGCGTAATACGCTGCCACTCAGGAAAAACCGCGATATGAAGCAATACGTTGCGTAACTATTACCATTAGCGTCATAAAAACATTGGCGCAATACCTTGCCATGTAAACATCAGACACCATGGGATCAACGCGGTAATGACAGCAGGCAGAACTCCCTCTCCCAGTGCGCACTAACCGGTGGATGAGCGTGATTTCGTTGTGCTCGTTGATGCCCAGGTATCGACCGGTGGTGATGTGTCGGATCCTCATGGGGTGGAACCAGTTGATGTAGCCTCCCGACCATTTGGTTCGTGCCAGCTCCAGCCGCCATAGGGAGCGTGCCTGGCTCACCACACTGCCGCCCTCGTACACCACGATACTGGAGGGGAGAGACGGGGTAGGTCAGCGGGTAACATGTGAGAAAGATGAGGCCGGAGAGCCGGAGCAGAGCACGATAGGGTGGAGGTAGCAGGTTAGAAAAGATCAAGGAAGGGTGTGACATGGCAAGGGAGTGTGGGACGGAGTGCAGGGAAGGGTGGGGTATGAAAGGTTAGGTCGGAACAGAGCTGAAAACAAAACAGGACAAGGGGCAGAGCGAGACATAGTAAAATGGCAAGCTGTCAGGAGAGGATAAGACAGTAAAAACGATAAAATGTTCAACGATGTTTACATTAATCTAAAATAAAGTATCGACTGGCCCCTAAAGTAGCATTTCACTTCAGCGTTCGCCGTCCAGAACAACCACATTATCCCCCGTATAACGGCCATTCACAGCGTAATATCAACAAACTAACCCAGGTCATACTGTGCTAAGCTCAGTCCTTCCCATCTAATGAGTCATTGCCTGAAGCGCAGTTGGGAAAGTTTACGATACCCCGGGGCCGGCGCCGCGCCTTACTTTTGTGAGTCCTCCTCGGACCAGTTGGAGGGAATCGTCAGACACTCGTCTCCGCCGTGGAAGAACCGCAGCACCTCGCCGCCAAATAGGTATCCTGCAAACAGCGGACGACGACGTGCGTTGGTTATTTACATGTCAGAGTTCCTACCTATAACAAACACCCGCGCTGGGCACGGTGACTGAAATGATCATTCGGCTCGGTGAAACATTTGTTCATGACTATGAGCAGTGAGCACTGATCATTTTGCAATAGATTATGATTCAACATAAGCTCATTTTAGCATTTCTTCCCTCAGAGTCGTGCCACGTACCGACATATTTGACCCGGCTGAGGCCAGTGCCGAACGGAGACACCGACCAGTGGGTCACGTGGAACGAGGCGTTCACGATCGGCACCTCGTTCTCCAACGTCGCTTGCTGAAAAACAAACACGATTAGATTAGTTATGAATTTAGAATAAGGCAGAAACCGAAAAAGTCATTAACAGCTTGTAAATTTGTATCTATAGAGATAAAAAAGAAATAAAAGAGAGTAGCTATTGAGTCTTCGAAAAGCCCATGGCAATGGCAACTACCACTGTAATCCAGAGTCGAATGACAGCCAATCATCCGGCTGGCGTTGTGCCCATATGACTAGTGGCTCACTCAGGCTCATCCCTCTCCACCAATACTCGTGCCGGACTGCACATCCGTCGCTCTTCACTCACCAGGTAGCGTTCGGTGGCCACTGAGACCAGAATCAGGTCGTCTCCCACTCGGACCTTCTCGCCCTCTGAGCGCTGCTTGGAGGCAGGGTGGATCGTCCACCAGCAAGCCTCGCCTGCAAGGAAATACGGCGTATTTAGTTAACATATTTAGTTATTCGCGGTACGGAAATGACATATTTACAATCAGAAACGGATCAGAAAGCTAATCCAATTTGTTCAACTGTCGTGTATCAACAATTAAAATCAGCGATCCACACCCTACCTCGCCCCATCCCTTCCGTAACAAATGTCTTTGCCCAATCACCTTGCAGATGGCCCGTGCCCTGCCGTCTCCCACAATTCCTTCGCTAACCGAATCAGTGTCCTACAAACCTTGGCAGTGCTCCTGCAGACCGACATCGAATGCCAGCTTGTCCTTGGATGAGCTGGTGGACAAGCACGCCAGGTACTGCGGGAGGAAGAAAATACATATACATTCACGCCTATCATAAGTAAATTCCTATCAGACAGACACCCGAAAATTGACTGGACTGGGACTTCACTCACTGATCAATACATGACACTGTTTTGCTTCGTCTAGACGCATCGATATTCGATAGGCACATCGTATTGGTGTATGTGTGAGTGGGTATGCTGAGTGCGAGTGAGCGCGGCGTCACCTATCAGATAACGTCTCAATAATATGACACCCACTACACGACTTTCCTCATCCCGGGGCACAGCGTGTCATTCGATACCGTGAGCTCCGCTGCAAGAGACATTTTTTTTCTAAGCCGCCGCCCATGATCAGACGACCAGGAGTGTCCATCCACTGACTCACGCGACAACAGCACCTTACGTTAACACCTCCCAAGACAAAAATATGAAGAAAGTCGCGACACTCCCTGCTAAGAAAAAGGAAAGCAAACAAAAACAAAGCTAAATACAATACTTAGTAAGTTAGTAAAATGTCATAAGAAGAGGCAAAGAAGTCAAGACTAAATGTAGCTTGACTGGCCGCTACACCATTCCCAAAGAAGATAGTGAGAAGGAGAGAGTGATCCAGGGGTTAGTGGTAATAAGCGCATGCAAAGCTTGCATTATAGAAGAGGGACAGAGCCTAGTCACACCCGGAGGAGTCAGATCCTCACCGAAAAGGGATACCGAGCTAAGCAAGCTTGTTGCTCGGTAAACCCAGGTCGGTGGGAAGTATCGTAGGCTGATTTACGTATTGTTACGTATCCAGGAGAACTTAAGTGTGACTTGTAAGTACGCAAAACAAGACGAGACGACCGGTATACAAATAGCAAGTAATGTAAATAGCAAGAAAGCTAGGTCATTGAGCGATGGCGATGATTCAAAGACATACAGTTAGTACTGTACGTACTGTATGATGTTTATAGGGAGAAAAAGCAAAGTTTAACAAAAAGAAAAGGGCAAAAAAAATGTGGGATAAAAGTTCGAGAAGAAGTAAAAGACAAACAGGGAAAAGACATAATACCACTAAATACCACCACCTCTTGTGGCGATCTAGGTACCCAGTTAGAACATACCTACCCAGTTAGGTACAGGGATGTACAATGTTCCAAAATTAGGTATGCATAAGTGATATGCATTTGTTATAGACAAATTCTGTAATTGTGTACATATAACTATGTACTGTGCAAGTATGTACCTGTGAGAGAGCGGGTAAAAATACATTATCAGGTAAATGTACGTACATACCCACAATAAATAAAATGGGGGATCATTTCATTGGCAGGTATTCGTATGTTTACGAACGCAGGTGGAACACAAGAACAATAATGTCAGTGTTGGCAATGGTATCAGTATTGATTGATAAAAAACTGCTTTGAGAAATCCTTGATTTCTCTCTTTGTTAGTGGAACTGCTTCCATATCTGTGAACTTAGGACCAATTATTGAGTTCCAAATTCTAGGTGCAAACCACCTAGTAGTGTAGCTGCGATAATTTTTTTCTGAGAAGAACTCGTGGAAATGATGGGTTGAGCGAGTATCTCGAAGCGGTTCGAGTATCGTAAAAAGTCTGTCAATAGATGAAGGCAAAGTTCCTTTCAACTTTCTATGCATTAGCAGAAGCATCTGCTGCTTACCAATGTCTCTCAACTTAAGTATTTTCAGTTTCTTAAAAATTGGTGCTGTGTGTGCGAGTCTATGTACGCCATCAATCATTCTGACCACACGCTTTTGTAATTTCTCGAGCTTATCTACGTTTGTAATATAAGTGTTGCTGTAAAGCATACAGCAGTAGTTGATATACGGAAGGAAAAGTGCGTTATATAAAAGAAGCAGCTGTTTAGGTACCAATATATACCTAGCTCTGCTTATGAGTCCAACGTTACCTACGAGTCAGCGTTGTAGAAAGGTGTGAAATGTGTGATTTCCATTTCAGATCGTCATCTACGTACATGCCCAAGTACTTAACTGTTTTAACAAATTTAATATGTGCACCAGAGAGCAAAACTGACACATTGACAGCGCGTTTAGAATTATTGTAGAGCTGACAAAAAGTTTTGTCTGTATTTAAAGATAATTGGTTTGCTTGAAACCAAACAGCTATCTTGGGCATTGTGGCGTCGATGACTCTTTGCAAATGGGCTTCATCATTGCCTTCAATGAAAATAGCTGTGTCATCTGCATACAGATATGCAGTTATATCATCAGAAATGGAGGGAAAGTCATTGATGTAAATTAAAAACAGAAGTGGCCCAAGGATGGAGCCCTGGGGAACACCGATATCAACCGAAGCAAGGCTGGAGCGAACATGCTCTACCTCAACACACTGTGTGCGGCCTTCTAAATATGATTTCAGCATCATAAGTGCATTGTCACGTATACCGTAAGCATACAGTTTCTTAAGTAAAATGGTTTGGTTCACAGTGTCAAATGCTTTTCGGAGGTCAAGGTATAAGCCGCAGACAACTTTGCCTGCTTCAAATGCTTGGTTTACCTTTTCTTGAACCAAAAGAAGGGGCATGTAAGTGCTCATGCTTTTTCTAAAACCAAACTGAAATTCGGTGATGATTTTGTTATGTTCAAAGAAATGCTCAAGTCGGGTATGTACTAGTTTTTCTAGTATTTTCGATATAAAAGGCAGTATGCTTATTGGTCTATAGTTTGTAAAACGTTGCTTATCCCCTGCTTTAAAAATTGGTTTTATAACCGCCGTTTTCAAAGGGCGAGGGAACACGTTTTGGCGTAAGCATAAATTCAAGAGAAAGACAAGCTCTCTTAGGACAGTCTGGTAAGTTGCTTTAAAAATACGTGCATTGATGCCGTCTATTCCACCACCAACTTTTTTGGTGCTATTTACTATCTCAGTAACTTCAATGTCATTAGTTTCGGTGAATGATGATAGTGAGTTTCCTAGTCCTCTAGGAAGATTTTCAATAGGGTCGGTGGAACAAGGAGGTATCCGCTCTTTTAAGTCATTGCCAACACTAGCAAAGTATGAGTTAAAAGATTCGGCGATTATTTTTGGGTCATTTTCAACATCATCACCAATCTTAAAAGAAGGTGGACTTTCTTGTTTAATTATGTTTCCTTTCGTTATCTCATTCAGTAGCCGCCAGGTTTCCCTCGGGCCACAATCTTTTAGTGCATTCTGATAGTAAGTTTGTTTGGCTTTCCTCAGTATATGAGTGAACAAATTCTTATAACGTTTGTAGTTCTTGATATTGAAGGGAGACGGGTGTCTATTCTTTATACGAAAAAGCTCGTTTTTTCTGTTAATGGAAACCAATAAGCCAGGGGTAATCCATGGTTTAATAGGTGTCTTTTTCCGAGTGGGAGTATAGGTGTGGCTGCACCTAGATATCTCGGAAGTGTAGGCTTCTATGAATATTGTACATGCGTGTTCCGCATCAGTTTCATTACAGAAGTCTCTTAGTTTCAACTGCAAACGAGTTTGCAAGTGAGGAATCATGTTATAGTTAAAAGAAGTGATGGTTTGCCTCATATGTTTATGAGAATTGTCTGTTCTGAGAGTAAGATCGACAAACACTGGGAAATGGTCTGAGAAGTCACTCAAAATAAGACCTGGGTCATTCAATATTGAAAGGTTATTAGAGAATATGTTGTCAAGCAGTGATGCACTGTCGACACCAAGTCGTGTAGGTCTAAAAATACATGGAAAGAAACCATTCGCGGTAAACATGTGCAGAAAGTTTTCAACAGAGCTATCTGTTGCAACTTGGAAAAGGTCAAAGTTAAAGTCACCGGTGATAATAACATCCTTATGACATATACTTGTGTGTTCAAGTACCTCAGTCATTTGGTCAATAAACTGGGAAGAACAGAGACGTGGGGGCCTGTAGACAACACCAAGTACAATTTGTTTGGATTGTACAGTACTTTCAACAAATAAAGATTCTGTCCCATCAATCTTATTCATTTTTAGAGGCGATGTTGAGCTTATGCACTTATTGCATATATACATTGCAACACCTCCACCTGTTTTATTAGGACGACTACTAAAAATTGAAGTATAGCCTGGGAGATGCCTGTACTGCTCTGTGAAAGGACACTGAAAACAAATTGATCCGGCGACAGCGGGTAAAACCTGCATTTGAAGGATACCCCTATCCACCACCATTTTTGACCACTCTGGAGCGGATACGAAATATACGTGCCTCGCGGATACTGTTTATCCGTTGACAGCGGGTTAATCCGTACAGATTACCCGATCAAGGAGGGTTACTCGAATCTAAATATCCGCTACTGCCGGGTACCTCGATCCGTTGACGCGGAGTAAAATCCGCATCTGAAGGGTACCCCTATCCACCACCATTTTTGACCACCCTACACCGGGTATCAAATATACGCCACTGACTGATACTTATTACCCGTTTACTGCAGGTTAATTGGTGCAATCTATAATTTTCGTTAACTTTGAGCATCCATTTCCCCCTTCCCATGCATTCGGTTGCTGTCACATTCGTAAGCACTTAAATATGGTCTTATTTATTTATTTAGTTAGACGTACAACAATATCCACACACATGAATTATACGAGCTAAATATGAGTTAAGGTCATAAGGCCCCGGTGCCTTGCGCCATGCACCACTCCTCGACCGGTCGTTTTGTGTCTGTCAACGTCTCTCCACTTGGCTTTCAGTGGTCGAAACCTCCCATTTCGATTCGTACGCCTGAAAAAATAGCCCGTATCATAAACCATTCCCACATACACAAAACCGAATTGTGCATTGTCATCTGAGCTTTCGCCTTACTGGATTCGCCGCACGATATGACCTGTGGCCACAGAGAAAAACGATTACGAGTCCACGTGGTCACCCAATAGGTAGGTATATATCTACACGAGATGCAATGCAAGAATCATTTGGCCCTAAGTGAAAGGGTACACTCACTCTGTATATCTCTCCGGGTTAAAAAGTTAGTTTTGAAGAGCGTACAGCCCTCTGCACACTGCGTGGTAGGTATTCTTTTTTCGACAAAACCGATAATAACTCAAAGACTATGCTATCAGTCGGTCGGAACTCACTGCACATAGGTGCACTATGCTCCACTCCTTCGATTGGGCGTATTACTGAGCAAAGTTTACGCCTAGAGTGGCAGCAAAATGCAAAAGTTTGTTTTTGGGGCAAATCTAAACTTTTGTGTTTTGTTGCCAAACTGAATGGAAAGTGTATACCTTGATAGGGCCAATCTAAGGTGCGGAGTCTCACGCGTCTTGCTGTTACGATTCCCGAGTGACAGAAAGCATAGTTTTCGAGTTATTATCGTTTTTGTCGAAAAAAGAATACCTACCACGCAGTGTGCAGAGGGCTGTACTTACCTCTATCCGCGAAATTCAGCAGCCAGAAGTCCACAGCAGACGCAGTACCACAGCCAAACCACAGCGCCGTCAACACAGGAAGATGGCTTCGCACGAGATTCGTTGCCGGAGGTGCACCGCCGGCAACGCGCATGCGCACGCGCATGCGCGGGATGTGTATCCGCAGTTGGCGGGTGAAAGAATCCACCAGGCAAACTTGACAACCCGGTGTGAGGGAGTACGTGACACTTATCCGCGCTATACATATATAATGAATCCGCCTGGCGAGAGTAACCGATACCTATCAGTCCCGGATTTTCCCCGCTATCCGCCACCGTCGGCTAGCAACTACACGTAAAAAGTGTATCAAGCCCCTGTCAGCGCGGATTTATCTGTTGTTTCCAGATATCGCAAGCAGGTACCCTATCTACTCGCATGGTTCTACCTGCACTTGAGTGATTAACCCGGACGTACCTTACACTTAATTAAAGGATAACCCGCCACAGCCCGGCCAATTTGTTTTCAGTGGATCTAGCCAGGTTTCTGTTAAGCAAATAACACTCCAGTGTTTGCCAGTTGAGTAAATGAAAGTTTGAAAATCATCAAACTTTTCATTGGTGAGAATGGATCTAACATTGATGTGTATAATAGAAAGCCCATCACTATGCTCATGGGAAAACAGTTCCGGTTGAGAAGGAGTATAATATTTGCAGTTACGTTTCAGGTGTTCGTATTGCTCATGTAAAAAGGAAAGGTTCGTAGGGCCAACACTTTGAAACGGGTTAAATATTTTGTTATTAAGGAGAGGTGGAAGGGTTTCATGTGGTTGCGCTTGCATATAGTATTATGCAAAGAAGGTTGAGTAAAAGGTGATGAAAGGTACTGGAAGGAAACCCTATCAGGTGTTTAGGGATTGGGTGTAACTAAAATAAAGCTATAACAAATTTACCAAACAATGCCTGATATAATTACCAGGACACATTTGATACATATATCAAAACGTTGATGCATGTAAGTTAGCACATATTACGAAGTGGTAACTGGTATGTGCAGTAGTAAGCTGGTGACATGAAATAATTTCCATGAAGGGAGCTAACCATGCTACCAAGTAACACCAGAAGGCGTTTAGCACTCCTCAGTATAGATAAATGCAAACCAAGGTAAGTAGTGGGCGTAGGCAAGTATGCAGTCACTATCGCCGGTTACACACAGGCCTCAACAGGCCTCCACACGAATGGAAGACAATCCGTGAGGCATCGACATGGAATACGATCCGCCGTCTCGGCTGGCCGGCCTGGACCCGCCCAGATCCCGCTCTGGTCCTTTCCGTCTGGGTCGGCCGGTCGCCCCTGGGTCTGTCCTCGTCCCCCCAGGGGAGGGGGTAGGGGAGGGGGACGGGGTGGCCGGAGCCAGGTGACGAGCGGTGGGCTGGAGCGGTGCCAACGACAGCAGACACCGGCGCCGTCGGCAGACAGCGGACGGCCGGCCGGCCCGGCCCGGCGGCGACCCGACCGACACAACTGAGCAACAGGGTGCCGGCCGGCCGCCAAACCGGGGGGCAGCTGGGCGAGGTCAAACGGTTATCACTTCTGGGACAGGTCTCTATTTTGAACAATGGCCCAATATCAACAGCCTATCGTTATGCACTCACAAACACGCCGTTGATTTTGCGAAATTTCTTTAAATTTCATGCCAACTATTTATGCAAGCGGGTAGGAAAACCACCGTCTCGTTCTTCTTCGTCATGAGATCTGTCACGTGAACGCCTCATGACACACCTGTCAAGGGTGACAAAGTGAAAACATAATCTTTCTCAGTCGAGTCTGGAAATTTACTATACAAATGGTTGTCAAAAATGATTACATAAGATAAAAGGATTTGCTTACAATATTCCTAACATGGCATTGAATTCAAAATTCCACCTTTCACAAGATGGAAGAAATTTGGGTAGCCGTCTCGGGCCCTTCATTATACATAGGAAGATGACAAATATTTCCGCAAGGCAAAAGTAAATAACATCGCACATAATGAAGCGATGAAGTTATAAGTCAAATGAAGCGAAAAAGCTAAAGGTCATTGCGAACAACTGAAACGAGCAAAAACCGAGAAAATTTTGGACTAATGTCGGCTAATTTTGTTTCGCAACTTTACCACTAACTATTCTTTGAATCTTTTTCTTTTTTAACTACTTTTTCTAGGCAGCGATCCAGAAATTTAGTTCCTTGCAATGGTCACGAAATAATTGGTCATGTGCTCTTGTATTTTAAGGGTTGTCTAAAACCAGCTATCATGTTTGATGTAGCTTCAGCGCAAGCCTATCTACAGCAAGCTTTGGAAGTTATAAAAATATACACGCATCGAATAACCAAGAACGTTACCAGGGCTTGCTTCCTCATGAATGTTCGCCTTCGCTGTGCGAACCGTCGCTGGACGGACGCATTAGCTCAACAGCTGACCCGTCGTGTAAGAACAGAGCTCCTGCCGCCGGCCCCGGGACATTTTAGACGAGAGAGCGGTGGCTGGGCGCCTCAGGGCCAGTTGGCCGGCCTGCATAGTTGGCCTACTGCCCACCGACCGCTGGGTCCGCTGCGCCAGCCCGAGGCTACCCGGACCAGCAAAGCCTCCGCCGAGGTTTCATACAAGACCCCATGACCGGCTCTGAACCGCGGACCTACTCTCTAACGCAGCCATCACCTCTCAGCTGTCGAAGTCATCACTGTGAACTGTGACTGACGCCACGTCACTGAAGACTCTGAACACGTCAGCGGGCCATCACTCCGCCGCCGACCGAAGGCCACGTCACTGTGACGTCATCACGGTCCGGCTGACTCACCATGTCGCTGTTCTGATGACGAAGGAGGACGGCATTGCCGTAGAGCAGAGTCCTGTGACCAGAGCCAGTGCCCTTTCCCTGTAACACGGGAGGTGTGGTCAGATCTCGTCGTCAGCTTCTTATTTTCAAGGCTCCGACTGAGAGGCAAGCATAATAACTACAAATGCAATGAAATGTCAGCTGTCAGCACACAATACACAACACATAACCGCACAGATGTACAGAGACGTTGAGCATACGAAGACCTTGCAACAGTAGAAATGCATCCTACAGAAGGAGATCTGAAAAGAATTATGTGAATGATTGTGGCTTGGTCATTAGTTCAACGTGATGAAAGTTGGCTGACTGTCAATGAAATGCAAATAAGGCCCCCTATAGCTGGGCATAAGCTGCATTACATTACATCAGCAATTACACCAATGTGTTTCCACGGAGCTTCAGCGAAGCAGGTGTTGGTTTGTAACGCGCGTATTACTTGTATGTATGTATGCATGTACGTACATATGTATTGACACCAAAAGCCTTCCACATATGGCGTGGCGATTTACTTCAGGAAATAATGCGTGAAAATCAATGAAGGTTGCAAAATAGATCAGAGCAAGTCACGGTCCAGCAGGAAGGACAATTTCGTATTCGGTAACGCCGACGAATTCGCTATAGGGCCGGAGCGCCACGCCCAGACGGCCACGGTGCCTTGCGGCACAGCGTGATTCAGGCGTAACCACTAGCGACACCTAGCGGCTAGAATATAAGCACAGGTGGCTGCGGTGCTATGCGGCACAGCATGATTCAGGCGTAACCACTAGCGACATCTAGTGACAAGATTGTAAGCACGGGCAGCTGCGGCGCTTTGCGGCACAGCATGATTCGGGCGTTGCCGCTAGCGACACCAGTAGTGACGAAAATTTAACCATGACGGCGATGGGGACGACGGCAATGCGAGGGAACGTAATCCGTTGCTACAATTTTTTAGCTGAATGTCACAAATATTACAGCGCTTGTCTTAGAAAGAATAAAAACTCAACCCTTTCCAGTGCATGTCCATATCATGTTATCAGTGGCGGCGGAACACCTTCAATTAAGAAGAAGCACTGCTAACTTTTGGTCCCATTCTTTTCATGCAACGCCCATAGGGCTAATGTTAAAATGCCAAAACCAAAGGGGGCACGGTGCCCTGGTGCCCCCCCCCCCCCCGTTCCGCCGCCTATGTATGTTATTGTATTGCCATGCGTTTATTGCAAGAAGCTCTCGCAGTGGATTAAGTAACGGATTAAGTCAACGAACAATCGCACGCTAACACGGACACGAGTAGGTACCCACATTTACAAGCACAAACATTCGCATACACATTACACACACGCATACGGTATGCAGACGCACACACATTGAAACCAACATGTATGTACTATACAAATTCACAGACAAAAGACAAGCGACTCACGAGCAAAAACACCACTACCTTTACCTAAACCACACCGTACCTGGTATGTGGGCCCGCTACACCAGCGCGGAGAGGCAGCAGCGACAGCGGCAGAGGCGGCAGCCGAGCGAAGACAGAGCGACAGATGGACGGAGAGAGGCGGGGAGAGGGAGAGAGGGCGGTCCGGGAGTGGCAGGGAGACCGGTACGCAACATAAAGGGGATGTGGGGAGCAAGCAAACAAACCAGGCAGTGTTGCATAATCGATTGAATAACAGACATAACAGAAAGCGGTTGCTGCAAAATGCATAGGTTTGGCGCTGACATTGGTAATTTTGCGAAGCACTAGACCCATGCTGGCCAAGAGGTGGGTAAAGCAGCCTTTCTTGACAGGGGCACGAAAGCAGTAACATTCGAACACATCATTCCCTAGGCAGCTACCATTTACAGGTGAGCTTCAGAAGAAATAAGTCAGGGGTATCATCAGCCATTTAGCAAAGGCAACTGGTAAGTCTCAAATGGTGCTTGGGTCATGTCAACATCAACAAACGTGGAACCGCAACTTCATAGTCGACACTTTTGAAACTGAACTTGTAACCATCACATTCCATTTCGGCATCAGTCGCAAGCTTTTAAAATTCGTCAAATGATATTTTTTGCAAGCTGGTTAACGTTATAATATCCGATGATCCGTTGTATTTTTTACAAGTTCTTTATTCGTGGTTGCATACGTAAAAGTTCAATATAAAAACCCAGAAAAAACACCTCCGCATTTCAACCGATATGCATGTCAGCAAAACTTGCATCACGAATGGATAAGGATGAACGCGAGCTTTGCTCAAAGGATTTCACTCATTTGACATGAAAACCTGACATAAGTACTAAATACATGTACTCAACAATTTTAAGATATACTTGCGCAGATTGCAGCAATAAATATTTAACGCGTGTAAACAAATCAAGCTAGATATTTATGTAGCTAACATCTTGCCAGATGCTATTTGTTGTTGTTTGGAGTTTGGCACCACATTAAGCATTGTTACGGTCAATCTTAACATCATTCCTAGCGTATAAACAAGTGCTAACGTTTGAAATCAAATGTCGACCGTGTGTATAGGGTATACCGTCGTCTGCAAAGCGTCTACGAACTGTAACACCAACTAACGTCCACTGTAAACGTCTTTAGCTTGGAATTGTCGCATCACTTAAAGTTAAGAAGCAAATAATTATTCAATGGTAATTACGTGAAGTAGCTAGGTGATTTAAATGATACAATTGTATAACAAACCGGCAGTCAGGGAAGTACAAATGCGTTCGGTTAATCAGCAAATTGCACGCGAGACACCAGTTGAGCTACACACAAACGTGAACAAGCGAACACACGCGAACAATAACAACAGTGTCCATAGATGGGATGTTTACGGAAGCTGATGGATGTTGATGAACGCATACACATCATGTCATCACCAGCCTTCCAAAACATCGCACCTGAACACCGCTGAGGGTGTATGGTTCCGCCCACCGGCGACTACGAACAGCTGGGGCCGGGTCGAGTCGGGTCGGGTCGGCTCGACTGGGGTCATGCCGCGGAGGGAGGGGGGGAGCTCCCGCCGACCGACATCGGCCAGCGGGACAGTCTGTATGTTTGTGTGTAAGGTACCTCTGTGGCGACAGCCGCGAAGCCAGTACTTACTACAGAGCCGTTCTCCTGCAAGTTATAGAAACACAGGCGTAAAACGGAGAGCAGCGGCATGACTGTCGATCAGCTATGTAGATGCGAAAGCAATCAACGTGGCAGTGTGTTTCTTTTTATGACAACGGAGCGACTCATTACTGTGACCGTGCTAAACCATTACTATGGTCACTAAGGTGTGTAATGTGTCGTATCTAGTGTATACTGTTTTATGTAGATGCAGCAGGCACTTCAGGATGAAAGCTCTCAGAAAATAATAGTTAAAGCAACAAAATAACGCGTTTTAATAATCAAAATAGCAGCTCCAGCGTCCAGATGTTTAAACGTGAATGTAATGTTTTTAAAGCACTTGTAATGTTGGAAAACGGTCAAACATGCAAGATTAGCTACACAGAATATAATCACAAGGTAGGTACGTACATACTAGAAGAACGGCTGTACATACTAGAAGAACGGCTGTGTAAAACCTGCTCGGATTTATAAGCGAGAAAATGTTTTTTTTTCTTTTTTGCTACCATGAACGGCTGGAGCTGCGGTTGGTCCGGTTTTCAGCCATGTGTGATCGTGAGACTATCGCTGAAGACGCGAAATGTCGAATAAGAAAGTTTTGAATAAGGCCTGTCGGATAAGAAAAAGATCCCTTCGATATTCTAGAAAATAATATACGTTACCGGTCACTGTTTCAACTTACATGGTTAGATTCACTAGCAAAAACTTTGTGTTTATCATGACCACTAAGTAAGTAGGAACGCTTAGTTCGAATGTAGCACAATTGTGTGCGTATGTTCAGAGCAAAAGTCGAACTGTGGATCTACTCTGCAAATGTGTGTGTGCGTGTAGGTAGTAAGCAAGCAAACGCGTGTCTACAGTTGCTGTGTGCTATGAGTATGTGTATGCAGTGTCATTCGGCCGTCACAGGGCGGCTGCTGGGCGCAGCGGCGGGATGGGGGCGGCGGCGGGGGCGGCGGACTGACCGTGTCAGAGGCGGCGGCCGTCACCAACTCCTGAAGAGCGCGCACTGACAGCGCCTGCTCAATGACGAACACACAGGCGGCCAAGTCCGGCGGCTTGTTCTGAAACGAACGTCACGTGAGGTACGAAGGGTACGGCTGGCATGGCACATCTAAGGGAAACTGCACAATAGAGCTGCCCTGTCACACGGGGGACTCGTGGTGAAATGAAACAGTCCAGCCAAACATCTACCCAAAGTACGTCTGAATTGCAATGTTAATGCAAGAACGTTTTTCGTTTTCCAGTCGTTTATCGTTACTAGAGACGAAAAACGTCCCACCATATTTTCCACAACCTGCTCCCCCCCCCCCCCCCCCCGATGCTGACGGATAAACGAGAGCATCTGCACGGCATCGGCCACTCACCCGGTCTGCGATACCCTCCAGGAAGCAGGTGCGGTTGCCGAATCCCTCGGCGGCCAGACAGACACGCTCTCCCGTGGCGTTACACGAGAGGCACACCATGTCCTCCTGTAAACGACACAAGTTGAAGTGAATGTGAGGGTGCTCTGAGCACACAGTCGTGAGTTGGGTCGCTACTCAGTACTCTCAGGCCTCAGCGATAGGAGTTCAAGTTTTATTGACTAGAAAGTCGCATTCCTAGGTGATAGCGGGACACGGATAATAAAGCATTACTGTATAAACCAGAAAATGCATCATACTCGTAATTTACGAAATTCTTCTTAGCCGGACGCCGGCCCCAACTCAAACTGGAACGGATGTCGGACTCGGTCGAAGTCGACATTTCCTGTTAAGTTCCAGAAATGTGGTCAACGAAGAAGAATTATTTTGTTTTAACTAGGTACTTACAGCATTCAATCGTTACGACGTTCATGCACTCATTTCATTCATTTGAATGAATCGCGTGCCTTTTACAAAAAGTTGTTTTGAACTAATGGCGCCAAATAAGCAAACAAAATGATAACTAAAATACTGCAACATTAGCAGTGCACTTATCTAAATCGTACATCGTAATAAGGTTTCAATGCACGACTCCCACGTGGAAGTAAGATGTCGACGTACCAGCATGCGAAATACTCGTGAGAGATCTGAAGGCATGCGAAATTCCACGGAGCATGCAATGCAATGCAAGACCACATTTGTAAGAAGAATAGGGATAGGATGGGTATGTGAAATGTGAACGTTTATTTCCAATCCAATGTTTTATAATTGATGTGAAACATCATGTTTTCATATAAATTAAAGTGCATTGCACAAAAGTCCGGTCAGGTCAAGGTCAGTGGCCATTCTAAGGATCGCCCGGGGGCGGATGGGCCGGCCGCCCCGTGCCGTTGCCGCATTTCTGCCAGCTGGGCCTGGCACGGTGCCAATTCCTTCGGACGCTGCCAAATGTCACGGATGCCTAACCGACACGACCTCAGGGGCGAGGAGGGAGCGCAGCCGGCATGGGAAGGGTGGCAGGGCTGTGTTGCCACGCCGCCGGCCGCCGGACCGCAATGACCTATGAGTGCGACACCCGGTCCTGGGCGAGGCTACCTGTGCTATAGCACAGGTGCCGTCTTCTCTGCCCATGGGCATGATTACGCTTACATAATGTCCCCACGCCAGGCGGCCCGAACAGTAATGAAAGGTAACACACTACACAGGGCACAAAAGGACTGTCGAGAACTTATTTGATGGCGTCATGGTAGTGTAGCTATACCATAAAGTAAAAACACAATATCATGCCCCACCGAATCGTGATCTTCGGGGGACACGATCGACCACTGTTTTTGTCAACCCGTCAACGTTCATCTGTTTCACTGATTCCATCTGGGCTGACTCGGCGTCGATCCCCGGCTTAGCCCGCCGCCCAGTAACGGTAGATAATTATACTGAACTGACCGTTCGGAGGAATGAGACGTCATCCTGCTCGGAGCCGCCCTCGTTCTCGGCCATGGCTGCCGTGGCCGATCGCGCTCGGCGCGGCCCCGCTCAGAGCACTCCGCCCGATCACAGCACGTCCTCGTCCGCCCTGCGTTCGCACCACTCCTCCGCGCCCCGCGCGCTCCACTCGCTCGCTGCCCTGGGGCGACACAGCGACCGACGGAGCCGCGGGCGCCGGTGCCGTCGGGCCCGCGCCCCTCCCCCTCCCCTCCCGGCGATCTTCCTCGGCAGAAATAGCACCGTCGTTCGTCGGTCCGTGGCCCGTGCACGTGCTCCCACCGCCACCGACGGCGGACAGCCCGCTCCGCGGAGACTACTTCTTGCCGGCGTCTGGTTACATGGGCATCGGGCATGGCCGAACGAGGCAGGCAGTTTGATTATGAAGATTCTAGTCGACCACTCATTCGTTGGTGACAGCCATGCTTTCAGAAAGGAATACCTACTAAGCCATAAGATGTTTATAGGTAAATGTACGTTACTTAATACTTTATGCATAAAAATTGACCTACCTACTTATTTACCCATGAACGATCACTGCGATGTCAAAATAATAATGCCGGGAACAATAAAACCGGAACCGTATATAACCAAACTGCATTTATTTGGGTCCGACCGGAATCGGAACTTGCTAATAACTGGGCAATAATCCCGACCGGACCGCCTTCTTCAAACCGCCGTCCGTTCGAACCAGACAATAGCCGTTTTCACGACGGCCATCTGGTAGGTACACATTTGGTGCACATCTGGTACAGATGAGGTGCAGATTTGGACTTTGGTCAAATCAGGTTCAGTGTGTCTCTTAGCAGCTATCAGCTAGGGTTGCACCAATTGCTATATGCCTGCTTTGTCATATTATCAGAGAGCATCATCGATTAAAACACTGAAATAAATTCATAAAATGAAGATATTCGCCGTAAAAGAAATTAGGTGCAGATTTGTTCAAATCAGGTGCATTCGCCGGATAGCCCGTCGTGAAAACGGCTAATAACTCGGACCTTCGGCTCGGACCGGGCGATAACTCGACCCGACCGTCTTCGGCCCGGACCTCGAACCAAGTCGTGATCGGGCCGTAGTCCGTACCCATTGCTCATTGCTGAAACTGGACTCCTTTGGCTCACCGCAGGCACGTACCCAGGATTTCGCCCAAAAGGGGGCCACCTGCCCGGGTCACCCAGCGCAACCCAGCGGCCCAGGGCCCCAAGGCCCAAGGCAGTGTTTTTATATACCTTGGCCCAAGGGTCAAGCTAGGCGGGGGCGCATCCAGAACCTTTCGATGGGTTTCAGAACCAAAGCACAGTGGGCCTGTTCCCCCTTGCAGACGGGCCCCTCTGTAACGGTGTAAACCCTGAAAAAAAAATGGGGAAAATTGGCAGGCAAAATTAATATCAATTTTGTCTGAACCTTATCCAAAACGTAGCTGATGATTTTTCCGATTTTCCCGCAGCATGCCAGATACCATTTGGAAAAAAATATCACAATACTGCTGCACCAAATTTTCAGTTCATTAATATTTCGCCTTTAAGTCTCATTCAAGATTCTTATAGATTGTCTCATTAATTCATGTTTACGTTATTTGTACGCATTGTTCGGCTTTCGACTACGCATTGGTAATAAATGAGGAAGCCGAAACTACTATGACGTCATATTAATTTATGTGTGAATTTCAGCTCAATACTCACATCCTTGAATGAAAACCGCGGCAAATGTGGTGGTACGGATTCATTTTTTCCGCCGCGCTGGTGTGTGTTGGGAAAAGTTAGGATAGGAAGTTAGGTTGTATTACTTTATATAATTTGCATCCAACTCTTTTTAAAACACATTTAAAAAGCTGCAAGAGTCCAAGGCCATACATAGGCAAGGCAAGAATCCTTAAATTTTTGTCGGCAATCGACGTGTGTCGGACAGGAAGCTAAGGCGGCCTTGAGGGCATGGCAAGATGAATTAAAAAAAAAAAAAACTAGCCCTCGTGACCTTTGATGTGTCTATTATTTCTTAATTGTACCTATACTACCCAGGATTCAAGCCAATATGCATAGCACTTAAATTTCACAATTTGTGTTGAACAGAGAGGGAATTTGAGGATTGTTCAGTATTGTAAGACATGTTTATAAAATCTGATGGTCAAGAGTTGCGAACGAAAATTATAATTAAAATCTAAATCTTTTTGTATTTCAGACGTTTCGACAACACTGTGCCATCGTCAGTAATTGACGATTGACGATCAATTACTGACGATGGCACAGTGTTGTCGAAACGTCTGAAATACAAAAAGACTTAGATTTTAATTATAATTTTCGTTCGCAACTCTTGACCATCAGATTTTATAAATTTGAGGATTGCGTGAAATTGTAAACCTATGGTGGATTTAAAATGTGATATTGGACGACACATCTACTTTTCCAGGCTTCATGACATGAAGTCAGAGGGATTAAGGCTTTCAATTCTCTAAGTTCTTTTAAACCCTTTCATTTTTACTCCTTGTGTTACATTTTGGAACTTCAAACAGACATTTTTATTGTTAATTGTTCACTTGTGCAGTTATGCATGCAAAGAAAAACAATCTATATTGATATTACGATTTATTTGTGAATTTGGACATTGCAGAAGGGGCATTTTGAGGTGCTGTTCATTCCCTTCCCCGCTAAGTTACAATTGATCCTTCAATTTTAATGCAGATCGAGATGGCTTAAAATTAGGCACCTACCATGCGCTGATTGTGATGCCTTATTTCAGAGCTGAAATAGCTGTACCTACCTCATTCAATTTCCCTTGTTTGTTTGAAGTGTTTTGTGCTGAATGAAAATGGTTGATGATGCCACCTACATTTGAATAACAAATGTTATTACTTTAATAACTATGTTTTCTTCATTCTTTAAACAAGGTTATTGCAGTACTGATTCTACTTGCTCCTATTTCCATTCATGCTCAAAGGATGTCAATTCATATCAGAATGCCTTGCACCAAAAACAAATTTATGTTATGAAATAATGAAATATTAAATCAAGTGAAATACAAGTTTTATCCTGGTGTAACTTAAGATGGCACGCATAGTGCCTGGTCATTTATGTACCTACATGAATTATGAGTTTCACAATAATTAAAGTAAGGCATTTGAACAAATAAACTAGACAGATAGATAACAGACACCTAATTGCCATTATATTATCAAGTATCTTGTGTTGCTGAATTGCATGCCTACATTACACAAAATCAGCTGCAGTACAATCACTGTCACAGTCAGACTTCAGTACCATGCTATAAGTTTATACTTTGTTGTCACACGCCAAATTTTTGCTCACCTTGCAATAGTGAAGGTAACTCATTTGGAATTATCACAGACATGGTCTTGTTTATAGGTCAAGCTCTGATGTTTCCCAATCTGGCTTCTTTAGGATATTTAGCACTTATGGGAAACGTTGGCTAAATGACTTAATACTCTGACTTGAAGATCCATTCATGTCTGTAACCCAGGTCATAGGACCTAGATAGGATAGGTGGTAGCCTTTTACCTTCATGGTGTTTTACCCAGTAGCATTGTGAATTTATTGAAACTCCTAACTTATTTTTATGCTTTCAGAAATCAAAATGGACTTCATGTCTGAAACTTCATCTTATAAAGATCAGCAAGCTGGCATTTTAACTCTCCCTCCTGAGGTCCTTGAGCTCATTATCAGCTACCTGCCATATGAGACAGTCTCAAACATCAGATTAGTAAGTACATTTATATTATGTAGGGAGTATGTATGTCGGGATTTCAGGCTGGATGAACCTTTTTTGACTTATTATTACCATGACTTTTTTATTGGGTTTGTGTGTGATTTTCAACTAGTTGATTACTTTACGAAGATTCTTTATTACATCATTTCCATCGCCATCACTCCACTTGTGCAGGTATGCCGCGCGTTCGAGCGCGCATGCCGCCACCGACTCAACCAGGGCTTCTCGCGCGCGGAGCGGTACGTGCAGTCGGCGCTGAAGATGTTCCGGGCGCAGCTGCCGCGCCGCGAGTCGGAGCGGCGCGAGCACCCGCTGTCGCGGCGCGTGGAGCACCTGGCTGCAGTGGAGACGCGGCTCGGCCTGCTCAGCATGACCTACCGCCGCTACATGGACACAGACGCCTGCTGCTTCATTCCCGGAAAGGTGCGTGAGTCGTGACTGGCCGAACAGAGTGGTGGCTGTGGTCGGCCTAAGGGGCAGGTCAGGTGTCAGCTAGATTATACAAATGTCAGTCTGTCTATGAGGGCATGCACCGTCGCATTATATCTTAGTGAGTCTAATTTAAGTTTCAGTTTATCTCAATTCTGAATTCTGAGCGTATTTTAGGGTGATTACAGGTCACAGCATAAGCACTGCAGCTGGTCTACGTCGGCATAAAATTAAGGTGCTATGAAAGATATGCATTGTAATCATGATTCCCCTTCCGTTTCACACCTCATGCCAGGAGTCCTTCCAAGTTCCAACTAGCCTGAGCGCTGTTTGGCCGCAGTTTTTATCAGCAGGCTGCGAGTCTGCTGCTATTTCTTGGCTCCTTATGAGGCAAATTCACGTGGTCTATGCATTTGACCAATGAGAGTCCAAGAAACGCCAGCAATCAACTTCCTTATATGGGAAAACCGACAGCATGCTGATAAAAAACTGCGACCGAACAGTCGAGCTTTTGTCAGTGTAACTCGCGAGTGATGCAGCTGGTCGGTGCACTGCCCGCTGAGCCCGGTACCTCTCCTCTGCAGGTGCTAGACGAGGTGTTCCAAGTGGTGCGCTACCTGAAGGACGCCCGCACCGTGGAGCGTTCCTCGTTCACTGTGCTCCAGGAGCTCCGCGACATCTCATCGATGGCCATGGAACACTTTGAGGAGCACATTGTGCCGGGCCTGAAGCGGTGCGAGACTCGGCCTCGACCGCTCTCGCTGCTCAGCCTGTTCTCCGGCGGCGCCAGCGGCGGCAGCGGTGAGTGTTCGGTATCCAATGAAACCGGTACCGCTCTGTCTTTGCTTCATCATTCATTCGTAGTCACGCCGACCTCGTAACTTTCATTCGCAGCTTTTCTTTCGTAAGGATACATTGCATCATTTTAGCGAGGTGTTTGTTGATTAGATTGCGATAGAACGCGATAGTTTGCGATAGATAGAGCCTCCGCAGCC